TATCTGTTATCTTGAAACCCAGGCTAAACACACTTGTGAAATTCCTTATAATAGAGGCTTTGGTAAGTATACATTTAGTCAAAACGACATGCTAGCATTGGTTGTTTTCATATGATTAAACACATGACTAAACACATTTAACACATGATTAATACATTGAAGATGGCTTGACTAAGTATCGCTGCCCTCAAGCTCCTAGATCTTGCACTATTTATGCAAACTTAACAACACAGAGTGCACAGACACATTTAAATACAAAAGATGCATCTCTTTTTACTCTGAGTTCATAATTTGTAATCTGTGAAAAAGTATATAATATATTCTTACCAGTCAGTGCAGTCACAGGAGTCTGTCCACAGCTCTCTATCCCATGTCCGGCGTCAGTGTAAACTTCAACCATGTATCTCCTGTAAGACTTGAGCCCTCCAATCACAGCAGTGTATGACTGTAATCCAACAGAATATGATGACCTGGAGATGTTGCACATCCCAACTATTCCCCCCTCTTTGAGGTCATGTCCACATAGCGCACAACAAACATACATCCAGCCTTTGACTGTGCATCTGTCTGCATCCAGTGGACCATAATCTGACTGTTACAAGACCAACAGTGATATTTAGAGGTGGAAGTGGTCCTGAAAGAAAGAGAGTATTAACATTTTAAATTGCATATTTTTGCATAGGGTGTTGCTTGTGTAACTTGTGGGCATGACAGGTTGTGTGCAGACTCACTTGTAAACGCGGTCTGAGTTTGTGCTAAGCTCCAGGCTGGGCCGGCAGGGTGAGAGCCTATGCCCAACTATAACATTCATAACTCCCTGAATTTTGGGCAGATTTTCACATGGTTTGGTTTGTTACAAACAGCAGAGATGTAGTTATGATACCAGATGCTGTCACACGTTAAAAATACGTGATTTCATACAAAAATACTTTATATTATGACAGACATATGCTACGGCATATTAATAAATATGAATTAATTTATATTTTAATAAAGAAACAGTTTGATTGTTCATTTTAATTTATTTCACTCTCTCTCTCTCTTACTCTCTCTCCCTCTCTCTCTCTCACACACATACACACACACAATCATGACCCTTCTGTACATATCTCACATAACCTGTTGACATGAGTATTAAACTTTAAGCATCTAGAGGACAAGGTAAGCACAGACTTCTTTGTCCTCAAGGAGGTGCCAGAACTGACACTATACAAAAGTTGCTCACGGGAGCTTTAAAGTGCCTTTTGGAGGCTTTAAAGGTGAGTTTTTTAGACAAAGAAAGGACTTGCACATCAATCTTTAGAGCAAGAGCAGCAAAACGAATAGTATTAATCGCACAAAACCAAGCTTTTTGTATCTTTGTTTTCCAAGTGTGTAGCAGTGAGCTGTTTAAAGTATTGCATGCACTCGTTTGGACAATGAAGACATGACAACCACCATGTAAAGGCTGTTTGATCACTTGGGGTAATGAAGAGTGATCCTGCTTACAATGAGTTTAATCAAGTGTGCTTTGGTGACATTACCAGTAAATTCAACACTCGTGCAAACCAGCTTTTATAAAAGAACTGTCCCCATTATTTCTCTTTATTTGCCCAGTTGATCCTAAAATCATGAAGTCAAGAGGGCTTTGTGACCATTGTTTTGCTGTTAAAATGACATTCATATAAACCTATTTAATGTAAGCTGCTGTAAAAATACTATGTATTGTATAAACCAGGCATAAAAAGGCATAATGTGAGATGCTTGTAAGCTTTATTTTTATGAGACTGAAACGATCAAGTGACATTGATCCTCTCCATTTTTGGTGGGATAGAAATAGGGAGACCATCTCTCATCACAGTTCAAAACAGAACCAGTGGAGGTCTGCACTTCTCTTGATGTTACTGAAGTATAAAGTGTTGAAGATTCAGGCAAGAGGAAAATTGTATGGGCAATTTGAAAGTGGCCAATTAACCTAACTCCACTTAGGAATGTTTTTGGGATGTGGGAGGAAACTGGAGTACCCAGAATAAACCCATGCAGATACAGGGAGAACATGCGAACTTCACACAGAAATACCCGGAGTCGGATTTGAACCCAGAACCTTCTTGCTGTGAGGCGTCAGTGCTAACCACCACACCACTGTGCCACCCTATAGTATACCCATTTACACCTTAATAATGATTTATTAGGGCTGATCCACCTCACTGTTATCCTGGTGAGTTAACAGCAGCCTGTTCCACTCCAGATGTTCTTTGATGAGGCTGTATTGTCTTGTTAAATATCTGCCTAAAGGATCCCCTGTAATAGCTAAACAGTAAGGGATCTCTCAGTTCCAGCAGGTGGGTAGGGTTTTCCTACCCAAGGTCCCCCACCTTCGGCTACTGCCTGGCACGGACTGCACCGGACCCCTTTGGCCTCTCCTATGGGTGGTGAGCCCATGGCAAGCGCCAACAGGTGCTCGCCATCAAACCCAACCCCTAGGCCTGACTCCAGGGCAGGGCCCTGGTGACCCTCTTCTGGGCAAGCGAAACTTAGTACCAATTATTTTCTTAAGAGATCTATTTGAGCTACCCTTAGTCTGATCCCTCTCTCAGGACCTGTTTGCCATGGGTGACCCTACCAGAGGCATAAAGCCCCAGACAACTTAGCTCCTGGGATCATTGGAATGCGCAAACCCCTCCACCACGGTAAGGTGGTAGCTCGAGGAGGGGAAAAACCCTCCCATGGGGGAGGGAAAAACCACAAGGTTTTTTTTTTGTTTGTTTGTTTTTTTGTTTTGTTTTTTTGTTTTTGTTTTTTTTTGTTTGTTTGGGTTTTTTTTTGTGGTTTTGTTTTTGTTTTTTTGTTTGTGTTTTTTTTTGTTTTGTTTTTGTTTTTTTGTTATTTTGTTGATTTCCAACTTTGTGAATCACTGATCAGTCCGAACAGTTCGATTGATATTACAGGGTTTGGATTTGATATCTCTCTATCTGTCTGTCTCTCTCTAGCAATCGAAGAAGCTGACAAGCTTTTAGATGTTCAAATACATACATTCTGTCCTTTGACAGGTCATAAATTCTGTCCCCAGATGATGTTGAAATGACATCATCAAAATTTAAACTTTTGCTGGGTTATTTGATTTCACAGCCTCAGGTACCGGGCCTTCATATAAAGCAGGGTTTTATTAGAGGCAGGCCTTCATTGTTCACTAAACCTAGACAAAAACACAAAGTGAATCTCACAATGATGTTTACGTGAATTATTTAGAGCAGATCAAGCCTTTCTCAGTTTGCCTGGTCTAGGGTATTGGACCCCATAATTAAAGCATAATTATGCATCATAATTCAAGATGTTTTAAATTTCAATTGGTAGCTGACCTAATTTTGGTCATGTGTGCCAAAATTATGTAGGGGAAAATCTGAGGACTGTGTTAGGTCTCATTTGAAAATCTGTTGACTGTCAAAACACTGGGATCAGAAAGATACTCAGAGACAACCCCCATGCGGATCTTAACTCTGTTGCTTCATTTAGGGATTACTGCACTAAGCAAAAACACGTTTGATTTTTATTTTACATTTATAAAATAACTGAAATTCATACCAGTGCCTTTTTATGACTTACAGAAGCACACCAAACCATCAGAAACAAGACTGACATTTTTTATATAGTTTTTTCTTTTATACCTGACACCGGCATGAGGGGGTGGGTAGGTGTCAGCATAGCCGCTGAAGAAATAGCCCTGTTTTTACAATGTTCACTATCAATGATAGATTTGACAGTTACAAGTCAGCAGGATGAGATTTTTGTCAGAAGACAGTGTTTAAGCATCTAGAGGACAAGGTAAGCACAGACTTCTTTGTCCTCAAGGAGGTGCCAGAACTGACACTATACAGAAGTTGCTCACGGGAGCTTTAAAGTGCCTTTTGGAGGCTTTAAAGATGCGTTTTTTGTTATTTTTTGGAGGGTTTTTTTTTTTTAGTTTTTTGTTGTTGTTTTTAGCTTGGGATGCTCTGGTCTAGGTGAGTCTAGATCAGGGGTTGGCAACCTTAAACACTCAAAGAGCCACTTGGACCAGTTTCCCACAGAAAAGAAAACACAGGGAGCCACAAAACCTCTTTGACATCTAAAATGAAGATAACATTGCATATATCTTTTTTTTTATCTTTATACAAAGTATATAAAAAACTGTAGCGAGTTGTATTTATGAAATAAATTAACTATTTCGGCGAGTGTCTGTCTTCTTCTGTAGTTAAACCGCAACATATCAAAATCTACCCGGATACAGCAATGCTGCTTTTTGATTGGCTGTTCAGTAGATATACTTTATTTGATTGGCTTGTGCGTGGCACGCAGCTTCTGAACTCTCAGAGGAACTCAGTTGATTTCCCCCTGTTCAATAGTTGAAGAAGTGCAACTTGGTGGACATCACCGTGTTCATTTAAATGCGTGAGAAATACAACGTGTGGTGTGTGAGCGTGTGAACGAGTGGGAATGCGTGTGTCATACGCTGAATGCGTGAGACTTGAGAGCCCTGTGCTCACGCATCATCGATGTACTCCCGAGCCATGCAAAACGGTCTTTGCAAGTGTTGCACTGAACGCCTTCCTTTTCAGTCTTGGTAAAGTTTTCCCACACCACTGATGTTTTAGGTCGGGATTTGGGTTGGGTTGTGTCCATGTTTTTCTCAGCCGCTGCCTCGGCTATGGCTGTTTCTTTTCTGTGCGTCCTGCTGATGTTTACACGCCGGTGTCCATGGACATATATAAAGACCCGACGAATCAATTACAGAATTTGTTGGCAACGGATTTTTTCGTCACGACGAATCTACTTAATCGATTCGTTGTTGCAGCCTTAATAGTTTAATTAATGTTACAAGAGCATTATAATCTTTGAATTTAGAATTACAAAAAAATAATAATAATAAAATAAAATAAAATGCAATTAAGTATTTATTATTTATTTTCCAAATCCATTGGGAGCCGCAGCTTAGGGAAGAAAGAGCCGCATGCGGCTCCAGAGCCGCGGGTTGCCGACCCCTGGTCTAGATCTTTGGCTCTGGTTTGACAATGAGGACCTCGGACTTGTACTCCTCAGTGAGCCTTTGTGTTTGATTGTTTGCTTGTTTTATACCAGCCATGGGTGGTCCCTTAGTGCTGCCAGGGTTGCTCTAGTCTCTGGATTTTTGGACAGACTCTTTAACAGAAAATCCTTGCAGTCTGGAGAGACAAAACAGAAATGGTCAATGGTCAGATACAAACACTTACTGTGGATCTAACTGTGCTTAAACTGACTTTATGTGGGTGTGATTACTTACTGTTGGAAAGTTTTCCATTGACATGTAGCTCTTTCTTAATGATTTCGGCAGTGGTAACAAAAGGATAGCGTCCATGAACCATAGCATAAACTACTACTCCAAGCTGCCATACTGTAGCTGGTTCAGCTCTGTAGCTCTTAGTGATGAACCACTCAGGGGAGCTAAAATCAGGGGTTCCTACAAAAGACACACACACAGGGGAGATTAGGAAAGATGTTGTGGACTGACACAGCAACTTTGTTTGGTAGGTTTCAAAAAGAGAACAGGGCTTTCCACATACACTGGCTGTTGGCAAGAAAGACCACTGGTAACTTACTAATATCTAATATTTTAAAATCTCAAACTCAATTCATACAGTGACTGCTAACACTGCAAGTGGCCTACTTTTTTACATTGACTGACTACCTGATGTTTGTGGAAAGCCCTTAAAAAACAATGTTCATTGAGAGATAGCTTACCTTGCCCTGAATGGTACGTCCCCTCAGTCAGAAAAGTGCCGCAGCCAAAGTCGATAAGTCTCACACGAGGGATTGCAGAGCCATACTCGATCAGGATGTTGTCCACCTTGATGTCATTGTGGAAAACTCCTCTTGAGTGGATCTCTATGAGGGCATCTACCAGCTGTTTTGTCAGGATCTGAGGTGGAAAGGGAGATATATACAGATTGAGTATCATGGTGGAGACAGACAGTATAAAAAGAAAACATTGCAAAACTCATTTCATCAAGTACTTACTTTTTTCCCATTCTCTGTCATGCGGCATCCTTTTGTTAACGCATCATACAGATCCATGCAGGGCACTGGTCTCTCTAGGATGAGTATCAGCTCCTCTTCTAGATCGTACCAGTCAAGCAGGGCCACGGCTGCACTGGTTCCTGGGGTTCCTGACTGCACTTTCTGCATCATCACCACCTCCAGGGGGACAGAGTCGATGTTTTCCTCTTTGATCTTAATATAAAAAAATAGAATAAGAACATATGGAGCATTTTCTCACAGACTAAAATCAGTCACTTGTCATGGAACTGAAGTGACAGAGGACATTTTTTTAACAATGTAACATTGTGAAAAGTGTCTGAAACTGAGGTATTGGGCGCTGTCAGTTTATAAAAATCAACAGCTGTGAGTGGACACAGTTCCTTACTTACCGATATGCGCTTAACGCCCTTTTGAGGAATATGTTTGATGGCAACCTAGAAGAAACACAGGAAGACCATGGTTAGCTCACACTGAGTACAAAGCAAAAAAGCAAGGGTATGTTTATACACTGGTACATAAGTGTATGGAATATTTAATCTTACTGGTAGATTGTCCTCATTTCTATATCCATCATAGACTGACCCGTATCCTCCTTTTCCAAGCAGGTCCCTCTCTGTGTATTTTGCTTGGAGGGCAGCTACAAAAACAAGAAACACACAAAAACAGTTTGATAAAAATAGTCTTACTTACTACTAAGAATTGTACTCCGATGATCAAACATACTCAACATTTAAATTCATAAGGCCTTTATGTAAAAATTTCATTTCTTTGCCATCTTACCTCTTGTGTTAGAATTGCTGATCTCTGCTGATGAGATGTCACGGTTCCCTTTGGAGGTTTCAAGGTGGTCTTCAGCAGTGATGGTGAGCCTGCTTCTCTTTCTCGGGCTCTCTTCAGTCACATCAGTGGGGGCCTTTCTTTTACTGCTGCTCTTCGTCTTTGGCACAGACTCGCTGGTGGACAGAGAGGGGAACCAGCTGTGTTCTGAACAAGGGAGACAACCAAGAAGACAAGAGAGGACACAAAAATAAACATATTATTTATGGAAGCCAGCTAGAATAAGGTTGACATGAATTAAAAAATCAGAGAACCAACATCAAATGCCAAACCAGGCACACTGGTACATGACTATCCAGTTCCATTTATCTGATACATGACTTGCTCTTATGTCTCAAAGTAGCATTTACCCAATTAACACAAGCTTAATTAACTTTTCTGTAATTTCTTTCTCATCTTACCTGAGCGGACAGAAGACTTGGTGGAGGAGTCTGAACTCAATGAAGGACAGTGGACAGTCAGGTTGCAGCTGTTGGAGGGACTTAGGCTCGTCCTGCTCCTCTTGCTGGGTCTTTCATTGAGCGGCTCCTCAGACTTTCTCTTTGAGCTGATCTCACGTTCTCCCGCTCTGCAGTATTCTAGAGGGTTCGAGAAACTCCCTGAAAAAAAACAAAGATAAAATCATGTTAGCTTCACCTGCTTCATGTAACCAATCGTGTAGTCCTCAACCTATTTCAAAGTGATCATAGGTAAACTAAACATGAGTTTGGTCTCTAACCATTCTCAATACTTACTCTCTTGTGCACGGAAGAAACGAAGATCTGGAAATTTTGATTCCATTGTTCTCATAGCTGATCAGTTTGATTGGTATTCAAAGATTTGGATTTCACGATTCTCAAGCACCGATGATTTCCAACTTTGTGAATCACTGATCAGTCCGAACAGTTCGATTGATATTACAGGGTTTGGATTTGATATCTCTCTATCTGTCTGTCTCTCTCTAGCAATCGAAGAAGCTGACAAGCTTTTAGATGTTCAAATACATACATCCTGTCCTTGGACAGGTCATGAATTCTCTCCCCTCTGATGTCGAAATGACATCATCAATGACATCATCAAAATTTAAATTCAAATTCAAACGTAAACAAAAGACTCCAATTTTCAGGCATGTTTGTATTAATGTTTCCATGGCAACTGAATTAGAGACAACTTTTGCTGGGTTATTTGATTTCACAGCCTCAGGTACCGGGCCTTCATATAAAGCAGGCTTTTATTAGAGGCAGGCCTTCATTTGAAATTCTCCCCGTCTCAGAAAATAACTACTTTTCATATTTAAGTGTAAAGTGAAGGCATTGTTCACTAAACCTAGACAAAAACACAAAGTGTAACTCACAATGATGTTTACATGAATTATTTAGAGCAGATCAAACCTTTCTTGGTTTGCCTGGTCTAGGGTATTGGACCCCATGATTAAAGCAAATCCTATTTTATCCAGCTCTACCTCGCCCATACCTGTGCAGCTCTCCCCAGGTTGTTTTGCAGTCAAATCTCCATCCTTTTCTCAAAATACAGAGAATTTTTCCTCTATGTGGTTTTTCCGATTCCCCCCTAAACTTTTTATGTTCTTCTACACACAAAATTTATGATTAACTCACAATACTAGTGTGTGAATAACTATAGTTTCAATCACAGACTATTCTGTTCAGCTTTTTCCTCTTTTTTCAGAGGTGGAGGCCCCTCATTGTCTAGTAGTATGGAGCGGGACAGAAAACCTGACAGTCTGTTAGTCCAGTTCATCTGATGACCCACCAGATGCTTATAACATCACATTCCAGCCTCTTATTTACCCCTCTATGACTCCTCCATCTTCACTTTGGATAAACAAGTCCAGTCCTGCTGCGCTCTGGGTTAATCAGTCTGTGTGTGTTAATTTGGGTCCATTCACTCCAGGTCAGACTTATGAAGTTGGAGTGGTCTCGTTGATGGGAAAGGACAAGAGTCGGAAGACCAGCGTCATATACACCACGAGTAAGATAAAAAACTATCTAAATTGATCTTACATGTCTGGATATGCCGAACATTTTTTGTGCAAGGAAAAACCAGGCAAAATGAGAATTTCCTAAATCTCACATGATTGGAAGAGGATCTGACTGTCAGTGTGGTGCCTGACAGTAAAGTTGTGATTTCAGTTTTTGCTCTAATTATTAGATATTAATCTAACCGGATCAACAGCGACCCTAACACAACAAGTGCCATCATTTTAATAAGAGCATTTTATAATTTAGTCAATTTAATTTTTTAATTTTTATTTTATTGAAATAGAGGTTCCTGACAAAGTCATAAAAGCTTGATGTAAAAAAAAGCTGATTTATGTGGTTCTTGTAAGCATTTAGAATAAAAAACGGGACGGTGCAGACCCTAACACCGGAGGAGGGTTAATAAGTTCAAGCACTAATGCAAATTTTCCTATTGTCACATTAAAGGATTTACTCTTTGGAGATATTTACTTGATTTGATATGAAATCTGTAATATCAGAGACTGACGTTGGAGTTTAGTCTATAGTATATAGTCTTTTTGTATTTTTTTTATCATTATTCTTTTCCTCTACACCTTTCTCAGTAGAAATAAATGCACTGGAAGCGTATGTGGGACCCATCCAAGATCGCGGTCGCGCTGATACATCAGCTCCAATGGGCAGCGTCAGTCTACGAGGCGTCTACATATATTATGTCTATGATCAATCAATCAATCAATCAACTTTATTTGTATAGCACATTTAAAATAACCACAAGGGTAGCCAAAGTGCTGTACAGTGACATAAAAACAAATAAAACAATCAAAAAACAAGATAACGCAAGCAGAAATACAGTAATGCAAAAGAATAAACAAGTGTATAAATAAGGAGGCTCACAGCAAGTGCTAAAATGATAAAAAACAAATTAACACTACAATGTACTAAAAGCCAATGAGTAAAAGTGCGTTTTTAAAAGGGATTTAAAAACAGGAAATGAGGAGGCCTGTCTAATTTTCAAGGGCAACTCATTCCAGAGCTTAGGGGCAGCAGCTGCAAACGCTCTGTCCCCTCTGAGCTTCAGCCTAGTACTGGGGACCGTCAGTAAAAGCTGATCAGCTGATCTTAGGGGTCGGGGTGGGCGATAAGGCTGGAGCATCTCCGAAATATAGGGTGGAGCAAGGTTGTTCAGGCCCTTAAAAACAAATACTAAAAGCTTAAAATGTATTCTGTACTGAACAGGGAGCCAGTGTAAGGATGCCAGGATGGGGGTGATGTGCTCACGCCTGCGGGTCTGTGTCAGGAGACGTGCAGCAGAGTTCTGCACAAGCTGCAGGCGGGCAAGGGAAGCCTGGCTGATCCCTACGTACAAGGAGTTGCAGTAATCAAGACGGGTAGTTATAAAAGCATGGATTAATTTTTCCAGGTCAGGTCTTGATAAAATGGGCTTCACCTTCACTATTTGACGTAGCTGATAAAAACTTTTTTGTACCACTCCGCTGATCTGCTTCTCAAATTTAAAATCCGGGTCAAATTTAACTCCCAGATTAGTGACGACCTCCTTTAGGTAGGGTGAGAGGGAGCCTAGGTCGATGTTGGGGGGGTGGCCGCCACTTGGTCCAAACAACATTACCTCAGTCTTGTTCTCATTTAGACTGAGGAAGTTAAAAGAAAGCCAGGCTTTAATGTCCTTAAGGCAGTCAGTGAGTTGGTGGACTGAGTTGGAGTTGTTCTGTGCTAGTGGAAGATAGATCTGACAATCATCAGCATAAAAATGAAAGGAGATGCCATGTTTCCTAAAAACAGAACCAAGGGGGAGTAAATAAAAGGCAAATAAAAGAGGGCCAAGGATTGAGCCCTGAGGGACCCCATGTGGAAGAGGAGCTGTTGAGGATGCAGAGTTGTCAATTTGAACACAGAAACTTCTGTCCGTTAAATAAGACTGGAACCAGTCCAGGGCGACACCCTTAATGCCCACACAGTGCTCCAGGCGAGAGATTAAAATGCTGTGGTCAACAGTGTCAAATGCAGCAGACAGATCTAGGAGCACAAGGACAACAAACTTTCCAGAGTCTGTTGTCATTAGAATATCGTTTGAAACCTTTAAAAGTGCTGACTCTGTGCTGTGGAGAGCTTTAAAACCAGACTGGAACAACTCTGTGATACCATTGTCTTCCAAGAATGGTAACAACTGGTTGTAGACAACCTTCTCTAGAATCTTGGACAGATATGGAAGATTTGAGATGGGCCTGAAATTGGCACAGAGGGATGGGTCGAGGCCAGTTTTTTTGAGTAGAGGTCGTACCACAGCATGTTTAAAATCCCTAGGTACTGTACCAGATGAGAGGCTACAATTTACAATATTAAGGACATTTGGTCCAATAGTAGCAAGTACCTCTTTAAACAAGCGAGGGGGGATGGCATCAGCAGGGGAACCAGAAGGCTTCATATGGCCGACTATGTCCTTTAAAATAGAGAGGGACACAGACTCAAATTTAGAGAAGACAGATGAGGGGTGCAGAGGGGCTGAAGGGTCGTACGATGGCTGAGAGATACAGGCTCTGGTTGACATAATTTTATCACTGAAGAAGTGGAGGAATTTTTCACAGATTTCAGTGGAGGCATCAAAACCAAGAGACTTGGGAGCCTCAAGGACAGTGTTTATGGTTTTGAACAGAGCTCTGGGGTTGTTGCAGTTAAAAGCAATCAATTCAGAGAAATATTTATTCTTCTCAGCTTTCACAATCCTCTGGTAATTCCTCAGACTGTCTTTAAGGATGCCAAGAGACACTTGCAGACTGTCCTTTTTCCACCTGCGCTCTGCCCTCCTGCACTCACGCCTGGCTGCACGAGTGACGTCGTTCAACCAGGGCTCGGGTGTAGGTTTGGTGCGCCGGGTCTTCAGAGGAGCGATCGTGTCCAGTGTTTGTAAACAGGTGGAGTGAAATCTCAGTACCAGTTCCTCAGTATCCAAACACACAGGGGCTGCAGAGTCATCCTCGCAGAGACCAACGTAGGTAGAGGAGAACAGAGCAGGCGAGGAAGAGTTAAACATGCGACGCGGTTTAGGTGGAACGCGCAATTTAACCGGACACTGAGTGGGGATGTCAAATAAAATCGGCATATGATCCGAGAAAACAGCGTCACAAATGACAAGGTTAGACACACACAGACCATGCGAGAGCACCAAGTCTAGTGTGTGCCCGAGATTATGTGTAGAACCGGACACAGACTGCACGAAGTTAAAAGAGTCAATGAGATTTAAAAAGCTCCTGGAGACCGGCTCTTCAGGGCAACAGGTGTGGATATTAAAATCACCAACAATAAGGACACGGTCGTATTTCGGCAGAATTTCGGCCAGAAATTCAGAAAAGTCACTTATAAAATCCTTATTGTACTTGGGTGGTCGATAGATGACGGCGCACAGGACAACATGAGAGCAGCCCAGTTCAAACAAGCACATTTCGAAACTTGTGAATGAGAATTTCAGGCAGATCTGCCGGCATTTAAAGTCGCTTTTAAAAATAACTGCTATTCCACCTCCTTTTCGACCAGACGACCGCGGGGAATTAAAATAGCAGCAATCCGGCGGGCAGAGTTCAATAAGAGGACTGGACTCACCGGTACTCAGCCAAGTCTCCGTCACACAGAGAAAATCCAATCCACGGGACATGAAGAAATCCTTCAGGATAAAAGTTTTGTTTGCCAGTGATCTGGCATTGACTAGGCCGAACCTGGCAGAGATCGGCACATCCGAGGCATCAGCTGATCGCGGAGCCCGACACAGGGCCCGTAGATGGCGGGGATTCACCCCACGCCGGCGGGGACGAGGAGAGCAGGGGCCGCGGGGACGGACCATCCCATCGGATCCGACGACAGGTACCAGCCAGGAGTCGACAGGGTGCAGCGATCGCAGATGAGGAAAGAGACCAGATCCCACTCCATTTCTCCTCAGGGAAACCACGGAAGATCGAGCCAAGAGAGATTTAACTTTCACCTGCTGTCCGCTGCGTTTGCCACGGCGGCGCCGGCGTTTACGCCGGGGAAATGGAGCGAAAGTGCAGCGAAGGTGAGCAGGTATACCGCAGGGGTGAAACGGCTTAAACGTCGTGTGACCACAGTGATCAGGATCTACTTTCACCAAATCCTTAGCAGAGGGGCGAAGATCCAGCAGTGTTTGGTGGTCATACACATACAGTGAGCTTACTTTACTGATAACGAAAGACACAAACAGCACAAACAGGAACAGCGCTGACAGCGAGAGACGGCAGGCCACACACACCGGCGCCATCTTGGATCCACATTTGCAGTGAAGGCCGCTATGATGCCACTCCTCTGTGTACTGTGAACAAACTTGTTTGAATTTCAATCAACTTTATTTACACCTTGACAAAGACATTGTGGTCTGCTTAATGCTTTGTGTTTTTGCTTGTTTTTTATTTTTGATTTTGCTGTTTGATGAACTTATTGATATTGTGTAATGCTAAAAATATTTTTCACTTTTAAAGGAACTTTATTGAAATGTATTTTTTAGAGACTTTTACATATGTATTAGTCTAAAATGACATATTTTAGACTGGGTTACAGAAGAAAAAGTATGATTTAACTCAAATTGAATGATAAATAGCTTATTTTCACTTTTAAAAAGTCAAATACTGATTTAGCCTAACAGTGATTCCTCAGGTGTGGTGGTAAACTAAAATAACAGGTAAAAATTCATGATGGACACTGATGTTGTATGTTGATCTTGTTCAAATTAGGCTCAGCTGTCAAGACCAGACTGATATAAATAAGCTCATACATTTCTAGCTTTGTGTAATCTATGGTTAAAAAAAAAAGTTTTAGCAACTTTTTTAGTTTAAAAATGGAAATTAGTACAGACAGATAGTCAATTTAGTGACTGTTGCATTTTGTGTGTTTTCTTTAGATTTTATTTTCCTTTTTCTGTGACTGTGTAGATCCAGTGGTATGAAGTACATGTCTCTGTTATTCTACATCTTTATCATCCTCTGTGGCTCTGGCTTTCCCCTCTTCCTCGCCATGCGCTTCCTGCCTTCATCTAACCTCTCTCGGGAATCAAGACATCAAGACCTCTTCATCTTTAAGAATGGGTGGAACCTGAATGAAAAAAGAAAAGCAAAAAAAAAATGACATTGTGAATTTATTATTTTTGTTTTAAGGGAGAATTTTATTTTGTGTTATTGGTTTAAACTTACTGTGAAAGACACTAAAGTCTAACTACTTTTGAGAGTCACAGGTAGTTTTCAGTCTGTCTATTAAACACAATAATGAAGAAGTCTAAAAGTCTTAAAAATGGTACCTCTGCTTTATTCTATACCAGCTCCTCATCAAACCTAGACCTTAACCCTGCTAATAAAACCCTAGACAGAGCGTTTGAGAGGTCAACGCTTGGAAAGGAGCCAGTTGAGGGGTTTTGTCCATCAGATTAGGATGCTTCCTGCCTTTAGAGTCTTTCAGGGCACATCAAACTGAGGGAAGCAGGTGGAGAAAACTGGGGAGTAGACCCAAAGCTCTCTTGAAGGATTATATGTCCCATCTGGCTTGGGGACACCCTAGTAACCCCCAGGAGGAGCTGGAAAATGTTGCAGGTGAGATGGAAGGATTAAGAGACAGATGTATGAAATGTTCTACATCAAGGCTGAATTTCTGCCAATTGGTCTGGTTCAGTTCGGTAAGAGACAGCATGTAATTATTTGCATTCCCTCTATCAGAAGTAGGTAAAGGTACCAAAACACTAAGTTTGTGCCATCCTTATTCATATAAACAGTATATGATGCCAGAGGATAGAGCGAAACACACTACAACCTGTTCATTGAGAGAGGGGAGGGGAGAGGAAGGATTGTACTTGATTCTCTTAACCTGCTGTTGTCTTATTAGTAAATTTTACCCTGTTATATGTTATATTTTTCAGGTTTTAGATGACTTAGCTTGTGATTTTTTTATGTATATTCATGCCAAGATTCACAGGCTGCTTGTCAAAAAAATCTGCAAACTTTCCACTCTTTTTTTTTTTTTTCTTGGAATTGCAAGATAAGCATGGGATTTAAATTAGCGAACAATCTGATCTATCAATTTGCACGCTGGATTGACATAAAGTCGCTTACACAGCCAATATGCTTCCTCTGTAAAGCACCAGGGTACAGTCAGCTGTGGAATCACACTGAAGATCAGGGTTTACTGCACAAAACTGTACTTAACCAAACTGGACCATTTGATGGAAACACATAACCCCTCCCAATTTAGACCTTTGATGTGACACTGTAAACCACACGATAAATGGACTGTGTCTCAGTGGTGACACCCGTGGTTTCTGATGTGGCGATGCACATGACGATGGTGGTCACCATATTGGAAATACCTTAGAAAACCTAGCCAGAGAAGTAGAGTTGCTTTATAATAGGCTCTCTTGGGCTGAGTAAAAACTTAACTAATGAAAAAGTTAAACATGTATGCAGTCTAAATGTGTGAGGTACATCTAATAGCAGGGTAAACAATACTGCCACAGAGCTGGAGAGTAGGCAGACACGCATAAGGTGGGATGGCGGGCGATGGGGGAACAGAACAGACTTGCTTGCTAGTAACAAGCTGTGTTGTCTTAACAAGGACATGCTGTCTTTCTGCCGGTGAAACAACAGTTCTGTGTTCCTGCGCAGACAGAAACAAATAAAACCTAAAAAACAAGTAAGGTACTGTGAGTGTTGCAAGCTAGTACTGATGCTTTATTACTACAATTTACTGACAAACTGGAGCAAAGCCTTCATGAATGCCTGTTGGAAACATTAACGAGCCACAGTATTTGAGAGTATTATGAAAAATCTCCAAAAGTCACCAACAACAGCTAGCAAGACATGGGTGTGTTTTCTATCCTACATAACTTTAAGGTCTAATATATATTTAAATGAGTTGAGTTACACAATGAGCCCTGCATAGCTTTGAGAAAAGGCTGTAAGTCATAAACTCCAACAATTTTGGGGGGTCTGTTGAACCTTAACAAAAGTAATTCGTTAACCAGCACTGAAGGGCCAATGGGGATGGACTGTCTCTTAGAGCTATTATCAGGCTGCAGTTTTTGGCACATAATTTTTTAGTCTTTTGTATCTACCACTTGCAGGCTCCTCCACTGCTTAGACCTAAACTTTGTATCTTTTCAATTGAAGTTAGCTTTCTGATCAGTCCTCATTATGCCACACTATTAGTCCCTAATATCCACAATGAATGCTTCTCCTCAAACTAGTTGATATTGTGCTTTTCTTTGAGAATATTAAAAGCCTACAAACAACAGAAAATTTTTCATTCTTTTTTATCTGTTGAATAATTTAAAGCCTGCTAACAGGCATGTGAAAAGCACTGATTAATGCAAAAAAGAGAGAATGATATATGGAGTTACAAGTTTTCTGCCCGACAGCGATGAAATGCATGTCACAGCAAAATTAAATTTCTTTTCATATTTTTTGTCCTCTGTTCATGTTTTGCATTTCATGCCATCTCAGTTTCGTCTTATTTAAATAAAATCAGCCAGCTTTGTCTGCAGCCTCTTCGCACCTCAATAAATCGTGTGTCAAGTATGTATCGCAGTATGCAGGATGTAAAAATATTCAGTGATTTAAGTCATGTATGTTCATGGCATTTTAATTTACGCTCTATTTATGTTTGCACGATACACCTCTGGTGATATTTTCCTAAATATATTGCTGCAGTGACAGAAATTAAAATCATCCACACAATTATCCTTTAGTCGGAGTGGAGACAGACGCAATCAGCTCTGAGAAAATTGCCTCACACATGTAAATAATGAAGCCAGAGGAGCATCACGAGGTGGATTGGCTTTAACAGTGAAAGTAAAGCAGAAGTGATGTCACACAGCGGGGAGCCATGCACCGACAACAATATGCTGCTAACAGCAATCTGAGGTGGTTGTTCAAGGTGCCATGATGGCAAGAACTAAAATCAAGCAATTTACGTCAAACACGTTTTTAGCCATGCTGCAGCTCGCTTACAGCCAACTGGGAACATTATTCATCTCTCTTTTGCAAAGATGAATCATTAGGATGTCTTTGTTAAACTGAAGCATGATGATTTGAGATCTACAGACATGTATGAAATCACCACCAACAAGTCAAATAGTCTTATTTTAATCCAGAGAATCTGCCTAAAAATCCTCAATCCCCCTAATCTTTGACTGAATACGGTTCAAGTTTCCAGAATCGAGATGTCAATCATCACATGGACATGAAGAAGTTGATTTTCCTTTAAAAAGGTGAAGGTTAGAGATTCAAGCTTTTATTGTTGTTGAGCGACACAACAAACAAACAAAGCATCTTCATGAGCAGGTTAGTGCAAAATAAGATTAAAGCAGTCAAACAAATAGGACTAAAGGGTGAAAAAGTAGAAATTTTAATAAAATAAGGATTGGATTATGTCAATACTTTATATTCATGAATTAGAACAAAGCAAGAATGAACGGTAAAAAATAGCAGAAACTTGCACATACAGTAAAGTATGTTGACTTGTGATAAATCTTTAACCCTAAGTAGTGGCAGGAATCTATAGCTGATCTAGTTTATAATATTCTAACGTGTATGAAATCTTTGAGTGATAAACTTCTCCATTTACAGCCCATGCTTACAGTATTTCTTGCATGCCTGACTTCATATGACTTTAAAACTGTTTCATTATCATCTATATAGTGTATGAATATTTCTTTAAGTCTTTATCAAATCAATCAATCAGGTTTCAGCTTCATCACACATGCGCAGCTATAGTATGTATTCTACATCGTTTTCATAATGAATTTCTGCCCTTTTCCTCCTATTTGTTAAAAAATGAACTCATTTCAGATTAATATCATGCCCCCAATTATCCCTCAGCCATTACAGGAGAAACGTAATTATCTAAGCGAAGATTGCTTAGAATAAAGTGTCAGAAATAATCCATTGTATAGGATAATATAGCAGTACCATGATTGTTCTGATCACATCTGTTATAGGGATGAGGTAAAGCAGCAGACCTGAACTCATTTGCTTATTTTTCATTCTGTTTAATTATTTTGATTTGTCTAGTTGTCTTGTTCAACTGCACTTTAGACATCATTAATACTAGTTTGTCTTGACTGATACAAAGAGGTTGACAAAAAGGGCTTCATGAATAAAACACCACCTACATAGACATCGGAAAGTAATGAGTTTGCAAACCAAGGAAAATGCTTATTTAAAAGCCATCAACATCACAAAGCAAATGCAGATTAAACCCGTTTAACACAATCATGCCATACCTGCTATGGGCCCTTTTAGGGCAGACGTCAAAGCTATGTCAAACTGCAGGTAAACATGAAGTGGGACCATAGGGCAGTAGTATATACTGTATGACAGTGATGATGAGTGTGGTCTGTCAGCAGAACGGTGACCAACATCTAGAGGCCCAAGAGCTGTTGCAGATGCATGCATGTAACTCACGTCCCTATTAAATAAAAAAGGAGGAAAACAGGCAACAAAAATGTTAGATTTGTAGATTTGTGTCTGTAAAGAAAACCATTTTTTTGATGTAGTTTGTTGGTAAATCAGTCTATATGGTATTCAAATGTGAGTTTATCGTCTGTCCAAATACCAAAATATTTATACCGTCACAATTTCAATATTGTTACCTTGTGTAGAACACAACAGCTTGCTGGGTAATGGAATACAAAATTGTGTTTTCAAAATGTGCATGACAACTTGTTCAGAGAGGAATAATATCACAGATGGGGCGGCAGTAGCTCAGGAGGTAGAGCGTTCGTCCAATAACCAGAAAGTTGGCAGTTCGATTCCTCCCTATCCTGAGTCTGTCTGTTGTGTTCTCGGCCAAGACACTTAACCCACCTTGCTCCCAGTGTGTTTCCTCCACTGTTCCCAGTGTGTGTCCTCCACTGGTGTATGATTGTGAGTGTTGTGTGGTGGTGGTTGGAGAGGCCATAGGCGCAAACTGCCAGCCACATTTCTGTCAGTGTGCCCCAGGGCAACTGTGATTACTAAGGTAGTTTACCACCACCAAAGTGTGACTGTGTGAGCGAATGAATGATGTACCCAGTGTAAAGCGCTTTGAGGGTCTCTGATAAAGCACTATATGAAATCTGATGCATTATTAGATGTAAATAATAGAAAGTACAGGACCTTAAAAAGACCCTTGAGGTTCACCCATGGCTATCGTCAAAAACTCAAAATGAGTAGGTCCTCAGACATTAACAGTAAAAAATGCAGGACCTAAATTTGACCCTTGTGGTACACCTATGGTTATCGTCAAAACTCCAGGAGACCAATATTTCTGCCTGGCGCCCATCTGACAGGTAGTCTTGGAACCTTGTTCCAAAGGGATTGCCTTGCCTTCAGCTAATCCCTGCCCACAAAAATCATCAAACTACTAACTAACTCTGAAGGGGTCAATAATGTGTACCTGTTTGTAACATTAGGATTTCTCATTAACAGTGCTTGGACAGCACTCTTGTTAGTTAGCTCTCACAAACAGACTGTATGTAATAGATTCAAGAAAATGATATAAGTTTCTATTCCTTATACAGAGCTGGTAGAGTTTGATTCCCACTTAGCCCACCATTAAGTTATGCAGGTTTATTACAGCACTCCTGTTCATGGGCCAAATGTCACACCTTGTAGACGTAATCATCAAACACATATGAGCCTCGGCCTGCCATGTTGATGAGGAGACGTAGGCGGTTTTCACACTCAATGACACAGCATGTACATTCGCACATGATGCTATATTAAGGTTAACGTGTTATATTGCTCAATTAAAAAGGAGGCAGGAGCTGTACAGGTGTCATCATAGATGTCATCGTAGCCTCTTATGTCCTGCTGCAACAGGGTGACCCAAAGACAAGCAGAAAAAACCTGAGCAGAACTCTCCTGGTATGAACCTTTGTGTAACAACAGCTGTATCTGAGCAGCAGCGCCTGTGGTCGTGTTCAGTGCTTTGCAGCAGATGTTAATGCAAGAACCTAAGAGGAGAAAAAATGTTTAAATGTATCATGGTTCTCCTCAAAAGCAAGCTGTGTTGAATACTTACATCTGATTTGTAAAAACCTGCAACAAGGGTGGCTCTGAACAGCTAATCACTACGCCGGGGGGCAGCCTGATCATACATTGTGAAACCGAACAAAGGTAAACTTAAGTTACAACTTGAGTTCAGACTTGACACCCTAACTTAAGTGTGACTAATGCACACATAGCTTGTGCAACAGAGCCCTGTGCTCTTTGTTGGGGAATCTAACCTGCATAACTGCCTGTTCACTATACATTATGTCTTGCATGCGGGCAGGGCCTTTATTCTCAGTTCATTAACCAAGCTAACACACCTTACCCATCAGTGATTACCAGCTCAGACCATCTCTCAGTATCATTAAAAGTCTGACTAATGTGTCCACCATAGATAAACTCTGACTGATTTACTGTCTGATTTAATTCTGCAATAACAGATTAGCTGAAGAGAGTGACAAACGCACGAGTTCAAACGACATGGCAGGTCAATTCATTAACTACAGTGGTGATAGTAGGAACCTCATTCAACATTGCAGCAAGCTGCTTATCTGCATTTGGAATAATTGGAATGTGAGTGGGTGCATTTTCAAGCCAGAACAGCAAGAGAAAAAAATCACAATGAAAAGATTTTTCTGTCTGTCTACTTTAGGATGTGCTTGGGAGTTATTTGAGTTCAAATCATCTGTTATTTAATGCTGAAGTTGGAAATTCTAGAGGGAGCAATTTAACTTGTTGAAGCGCTTTTTTTCCAGCACTACGTGTTGTGAGTCATCTGACCTGAGGAGTTTCTCTTCAGAAGCATCTCATGGGTGTGAATGGACAGACTTTGCTCCACAGACCTTGATGAACCAGCAGAAGACCCGCCAGCTTCAGCGCAAGCTTTCATCAATTCTGGGACACAAGAGCGCTGTGAGATGAAGTGATCACCACCTGCACACGGTTCTCTTGATTGGAAGGTTATCTAAGTTCAAGGCAGAAGTGATGATTTGTACTCAGGGTCAAGCTGGTCGGCTGGGATTGATTTAAACTTTAACCTGCGGCAAGAAATGAGAAAACATGGGATTTATTCCAGAGTGAGTGATGAGTGCAGGCAGAACAGACTTAGGTAGAGTTTATACTGGATATAGCAATCCTTTCTCTCTCTCTCAAAAAAGAAAAAAAGAAAAGCTGATTATACTGTAAGACAACAAATATAAGGCAGCATGTGAAGCTTTCTGCTGTAAAGTCTCTATGAACAACTTCAGTCAGTTTAGGGGCCTCTTCCAGTTAAAGTGGTTTGTCATATTTCTTAGCTGAGGCTGTCCTGTATGTGCTCAGGTAGTGTTTGAGACAGAGAAAACAGTCACTCTAAAAATGTTTAAGACGCTGCTGTTTCTGGCACTACCTACTTGTGGAGATAAAAAGCATAACAAATTACAACTCACAGTTAGTTATTTAGCTTTTGGAGCACATAAAGAGGAACCATTATTTGTTTTAGTTTAACAATCAGCTTCTACACACGATACTGCAACATCACTGTGTGTCAGTGTGGGTAACATAGCCTCTGTGGTCCACCTTAGTGGCTTCAGGAGCAGTCAGTATTTACTGATATCAGACTTTCAGCAGGGATTTCTCTCCCTGTGTTTTGTTTTTGTTTACAGTCTGATGAGCAATTTAAGAAGCATGAGTGGAGTTGGTTTGTAAAAAGGCTCATGTAGCACTTGCATGCTGTTTAAAAGGTCTTAATTAAAGCTCAGTCATCATGAGATGATGATTGCAGACTGGTTCGGGGTGACATCAGGGTAGACTGCATACTATTGTGCTGCTGCGTTTCTTGTCCAGGACACTCTTGTAAATGAGATTGTTTTTCTCAATGAGGTTTTCCTGGTTAAATCAAATTTTTAAGAAAATTCATCCCTTTTTCTTTCCACTAGATGGTTTTCCTGCTGACCCCCAAATCTGAAAGAAACTAAAATTATTCCCTCAATTCAAACTTCTAACTGTACACTTTTACTGTATATATCACAGTGTACCATTAAAACACCTCACCTTTTCTCTACCTTACACTATAACTGCCAGTACTCAAGTTAAGACTTGATTAAAGTCTACCGAAATATCTGTGCAAATTTCTGTCAAGACAACTTAAGTTAAAAGATTATTATTACATGCAGAAATATATGTATTGGGGTATGTCTGTGTTCTGAGAGCTCGCTGCCCTTCCACGTGTGTTTTTCACCAAAGCCTGAGGCAAAGTGAACACACCGTGCATGTCGAGGCTGGGAGAGCAGCAGCGAAGAACCCAGGGCTACAGAACGAAGCAGGCATCAGTGACAGTACATCAAATTAGAAATAGCCTGAAAAACAGAACTGGGGTGGAGGCAGGCTATACAGCTTATGATATTTGTTCATTAGGTCATCTCTGAGCTGTTGGCTGATATGGGCAGGTGTTAAAATCACCTGACTTACCTGCCTGAACTAACACTATATTGAAGAGCACCTGATGGTGAGTTCAGGCAGGCAACTTTATCATTTATCATTACTTTAGTGGAAACATTACAAAACAATAAACAATTTAAACACCCCCCCCCCCCCCCCCCAAGTCAAACAGCTTAATCCTTACTAAACAAGACTCCACGACTTTGGGGTACAGATAGAGACCTAGAACACGTGTTACAGCTAGCTGTAGAGAAAAGGGTTTCTTTGTATTGATATTACACTTTCCTTCCTGGTAATGTGGTTTATACTTAAGCAAAGATGGGCAGGAGGGTCAATTAAGGACTATAGTTTACATAAGTCTTGAAGCCCTCTACTGGGCTGAACAGCCATGCAAACCAAAAGAGGGTTTAATGATGGAGGCTCCAGCTGTAAATTTACTGTGTCAGACTGTTAAAGGGAAGTGGGGAAAAAAGGTGTGAGCAAATCTCTACAGCTAAGAAGAGTAAACAAACAAACAGACAGACAGACTTGCTCTGCAGTAGTAAGTCGCGGATAAGATTTGTTAATAGCTTTTGTATTAAAATCGAATTAGTGTATTACATTAGCAGTTAAGATGATCAGTTTTAAACTCTTAACTTGAGTGTTCGGTTGGTTTTATTAGAGATAACTTTGCATGTCTGCTCTTCTCAAGTGATGTTTATCCAGCGCTTCTCTGGACAAAGGTGCATAAAGCAAGAGAGCTCCTCAGTGATGGCTTTATTTATATCGATGTGCTCCATGAAGCAAAAGTTTAAAGATGTCATAACATTGCCCCTCTATTGATTCAAATTAGTTTCCATATTGCACAACTCTGACTCCAAGGAGAGGCTCATCTGAAGACAGTACACCCAGCGCCTGAGGTAACAGTAATGTGTCTCCATTTTTATTCTGATAATCACTTGCAACGGTAAAATCTTCCACATCAGGGGAGTCAGACAAGAAGTTGTGCGTTTTCTTTATGTGGCACAGTTTTTGATGTATGTGTGTTCACGCTGCTACTTATCTCTGGAACATGAATGCCTTCATCTCCATCAATCGTCCACCCTGGGAAAAAGATTGATGTGTTTCTTCTGGATGCATTTATTATATATGGTGTAAGATGAAGCGCTGTCTCTCTTTGTTCAGATATGGGGAAATCATTTCTGTATCCCCTCAGCTATTTTAGTGCCGCGCAGGCATACTGTGCTGCTTTGTGCAGAAAAGGGATGAAGAAAAAATACTTTTGATAAACTTTGCTTTATTGACTTGTATGCTGCTTCAAAAAAGACATGGACTTTTGAACTCCACTTTAGTTTTGTCAGTATATATAAGAGTATATAGAAGAATATAATGCAGAGCGATAACTTTATGCATCAATAAGAAACTGCTGTAGGAAAGTTATGAACATCTTCCTCATAGTGTTTTATCCTCGTGCCACTGTGTGCTCATGCGTTTGAAGTTTGGCGTTGACATTTCTGAAACACTCACATGAGAAGCATGAGAAGTGATATTTATCAGTTTGGCCTTTATACAATTAAATTTACAGTTTAATGAGTACTTGATGTTACTTTTTATGTGCGGTTTTCACCATCATATTTGTAATCGATGAATGAAACAGACTAATGTTTTCAAACATAACCAAAAGGTACCATTTGTTGATTTAGTGAGCACATGCTCACTAAATGACTGTCATGTGGAGTGCATGAGCTCCCCTTGGGGTGGCTGTGTTGGCTCAGGAGGTAGGATGGGGTCCATTAATTCTAAAGAACTGGGTTTATTTGCACCCGAGGAAAGAGCCTGAACTGAAGTAATTTTAGTGTTTGATAGCGTGGAATGGAACAGTGTATGACTGTGTGTGAAAAAGTGAGGCTGGCTTGTAGTGCACAGCTACAACAAGGGTCTTTGAATGCAGTCCATTAACAGCTTTTAATGTAACAGAGTGCTGTAAGAGGAAACTTGTGTCCTCTTAGAGAAGGCGTGCTTTTAACCTTGATTTATGGTAGAGGACCAAACACTTAAAAGAAAATGGAATTAGATTTTTATAATAAAGTTGGTTTCAGCATCATGTAACAGGAATAATGGAAATGGAAGGTTTTTGTTGTACAAGATGAGAAATGTGAAGAGACAGAGACAACACAAAGAGTTTTTCCTTTCCCTGCACACAGTCAAAAACCTGCTGAACTCAAAAGTGAAGGTGTTTTATCTCTAGGACGAGAAACAAAAGTATACCCGATGTTTTTCAATGGCTGTAGAAATAAACTTGACTCTCAGTGAGGGGCTCTGTTACCTTATAGCAAGATGCTTCCTGGTCCCTGCTGAATACAGATGGGTTTCTTACAGGTATGTCTGCCTTCTCCTACAATCCAAAGACATGCTCACTGGGTCACGTTCCCTCATTTGCATCTCTGCAGCACCATGGGATGATCTGTAACGGGTATTGACTGGACCCAATTGCAGCACAAACAAGCAGGTTCACTTTAACAACAGTCTTTATTGAACACCAAATCCAATGAAGCAGCAGAGTATAGCAGGTGGGTATGGCAGGATTCGAACTCGGGTCTTCCGGGTGATAGGCGAGCAGATTAGCAGTGGACCACAGGTCAGGCAAGAGTTTTGGACTCGTGAGCAGGGAATTGTCCACAGTCTTAATTTGCTCCACGAGTGTAGTAAAGGGGAAAACGCTCAACTCACAGCTGGAGGAAGATTTCTTGGAGAGTGGTTCAGGTGAGGACTGGGTGAGGATCCAGAGCTTGCAGAGGAGCTGGCAGAACCAACGTCGGCAGAGGAGGTGAGTTGGCGAGGTGAAGCTGACGAGAAGGGGGCTCTCAACAGAGCAGGAACAGGCTGAGTGCCATTCAGCCGCAGGCAGACGAATAGCAGGAAACAGGCAGGCAAAGCTCGTAGTCAAGGACAGAAGGCAGGCAGGTTTACCGGGGCTGAGGCGAGAAGCAAAGGTCAGGGGCAGATCAGGTCGATACCAGGTAAGCAGTCCGGGAATTAACGCTGGAGAGTCAGGCATGAGAGCGAAGACAATCTGGCAAAGAGTGAGGGGAAAGAAGCTGCATATATACTGGCCTGATTGGAGATGATGAGCAGGTGAGAGCAGCAGGTGGAAGCAGTTAGCTGATGAGGGGTGTGGCTGAGCAGCAGAGCAGGAGAGGGGCAGAGCAGACTGTTACAGAACCCCCCCCCCCCCTCAAGGGATGGCTCCCGACATCCCCAAAGGTTAAACTGGGGGGGGGGGGTGGAGGTGGGCCTAAAACTCCTGGGAGCAAGACCTTGTCATCTCTTCAGCAGGGTGGGTGGAGGGGGTCTGGAGGAGGGTTTCTCTGACACCTGACATCTCCCCCGCAGAACGGTCCTCCACATCCTGGACAGGTGGGGGCAAGGAGCGGGTTCCTCGACGAGCTGACTCATTGGCTGGCTGGTCAGGATGTTGCCGATGAAAGTTGGCCACGAGGTTGGGGTCCAAAATGTGGCGAGCAGGAACCCAAGATCTCTCCTCAGGACCGTAACCCTCCCAGTCCACAAGGTACTGGAGACCCCTACCCCGCCGTCGCGAACGAATTAGGCGGCGCACTACATACACCGGACCACCGTCAACCATTCGTGGAGGGGGAGGTAGTGGTGCCGCAGGGACCAAGGGGCTGTTGTGGACTGGCTTAACCTTGGAGACATGGAAGGTAGGGTGTACTCTCATGGACCGTGGGAGTTTCAACCGGACTGTCACAGGGTTGATGACCCTCTGAATGGTGAAAGGCCCAATGAACCTTGGAGCCATCTTTTTGGATTCCACCCGGAGAGGTAAGTCTTGGGTAGAGAGCCACACCTGCTGACCCGCTTGGTAGGTAGGTGCAGCAGTACGGTGGCGGTTGGCATTGGCAGCGTAACGACTCACGGAACGGAGGATGGTGGAGCGAGCCTGGAGCCATGTTCTGCGGCAGCGACGGATGAAGGCTTGGACTGACGGACAGGAGACCTCCTTCTCCTGGGCTGGAAAAAGTGGTGGTTGATAGCCGTAAGCACACTGGAATGGAGAGAGGCCAATAGAAGAGCAGATGAGGGAGTTGTGGGCATATTCCACCCACAAAAGTTGTGACGCCCAAGAAGAGGGGTTATGGGAGGCCACGCACCGCAGGGCTGTTTCCAGTTCTTGATTCATACGCTCAGTCTGTCCATTGGTCTGAGGATGGAATCCAGAGGACAGACTGGCGGTAGCACCCAGTAGACTGCAGAACTCCCTCCAAAACACGGAAGAAAACTGGGGACCACGGTCTGACACCACATCAACAGGGAGACCATGAAGACGGAAAACATGGAGCAGAACCAACTGGGCAGTCTCTTTAGCAGTGGGAAGCTTGGGCAGAGGCACGAAGTGGACCATCTTGCTGAAGCGGTCCACGATGGTCAGGATGACAGTGTGACCATCAGAGGTGGGAAGACCGGTTACAAAGTCCAAAGATATGTGAGACCATGGGCGGTGAGGAACAGGAAGAGGTTGAAGTAGCCCAGCAGGAGGCCGACGGGAGGTCTTATGTTGGCTGCAGGTTGGACAGGCCTTGACGAATTCCCGGACATCCTCTTGCATAGTGGGCCTCCAGAAACGTCGGAGGAGGGCATGCTGTGTCCGTTGAATCCCAGGGTGGCAGGAGAGCTTGGAGGAGTGGGCCCATTGTAACACCTCTGACCTCAAGGCTGGTGGAACAAAGAGGCAGTTAGATGGGCAGGAACTGGGGCCCGACTGTCCTTCTGTGGCTGCCCTCACCTTCTCCTCAATGTCCCAGGTCAACATGGCTACAAGACAGGAAGTAGGTAGGATGGTCTCAGCTCCAACAACCGAATCCTCTGTCCTCTGGAACTGTCGGGACAGGGCGTCAGGCTTGACATTGCGGGAACCAGGACGGTAAGAGAGGGTGAAGTTAAAACGGGCGAAGAACAGGGACCAGCGGGCCTGGCAAGAGTTCAGTCTTTTTGCAGAGCGTATGTACTCCAGATTCTTGTGGTCAGTCCATACAAGAAAAGGTTCCTTCGTGCCCTCCAACCAATGGCGCCACTCTTCTAAGGCCATCTTTACTGCCAAGAGTTCCCTGTTACCAATGTCATAGTTTCTTTCTGCAGAGGATAGACGGCGGGAGAAGAAGGCACAGGGATGGAGCTTCTGGTCAGTGCATGAGCGTTGAGACAAGACGGCCCCCACCCCAACATCAGAGGCATCTACCTCGACCACAAACTGGCGTTCAGAGTCAGGCATCAGGAGGATGGGCGATGAGGTGAACCGATCCTTGAGGAACTGGAAGGCCGCTGCAGCTGCAGAAGACCACTGGAAGGGCACCTTGGGGGAGGTCAGAATGGTGAGAGGGGCTGCAACTGAGCTGTAGTTGCGGATGAAGCGACGGTAGAAATTGGCGAACCCAAGGAAGCGCTGAAGCTGCTTGCGGTTCTCCGGAACAGGCCAGGAGGTAACAGCTGAGACCTTGGCTGGGTCCATCTGGATGCTGCCTTGTGCCACAATGTACCCCAGAAAAGATGCTGAAGGAACATGGAACTCGCACTTTTCTGCTTTAACATAAAGGGAGTTCTCCAAGAGGCGCTGAAGGACGGACTGGACATGATGAATGTGTTGCTCCTTGGACCGGGAGAAGATGAGTATATCATCTAGGTAAACAAAGACATACTGGTTTATCATGTCTCGGAGAACATCATTAATCAGAGCCTGGAAGACGGCAGGGGCATTGGTGAGGCCAAACGGCATTACGAGGTACTCGTAGTGTCCGGTAGGGGTGTTGAATGCCGTCTTCCATTCATCTCCTTCTCTGATGCGGACGAGGAGGTAGGCGTTGCGTAGGTCGAGTTTGGAGAAAATGGTGGCCCCCTGGAGCAGTTCAAAGGCAGTGGACATGAGTGGCAGTGGGTAACGGTTCTTTACCGTGATCTCATTCAGTCCTCTATAATCTATGCAAGGTCTCAATGACTTGTCCTTCTTCTCAACAAAGAAAAACCCTGCTCCAGCAGGGGATGAAGAGGGACGAATGATGCCTGCGGCCAAGGAGTCATTTATGTACGTCTCCATGGCCCTTCTTGCGGGTTCAGACAGGGAGCACAGGCGACCCTTGGGAGGTGATGAACCAGGCAGGAGATCAATGACGCAATCATAGGGTCGGTGTGGAGGCAGAGAGGTGGCTCTGGCTTTGCTGAAGACCTGGCAGAAGTCATGGTACTCGGGTGGCACCCCACTGAGGTCAGGTGACACCCAGAGGGATGAAGCGGAACTGAGGCTTGCTGCAGGCACCTCTGATGACAGGAGGAACTCCACTCCCGGATGGTCCCAGTTGCCCAGTCGATGTGAGGATTGTGAAGACGGAGCCATGGATATCCCAGGATAAGTGGCAGGCAGGAAGAGCTCAGGATGTGAAACTGGACGGTTTCATGATGGTTACCAGACAGTAGCAGGTGAACAGGAGAGGTCTGATGCGTGACGGTGCCCAGGACATGTCCATCTAAGGCTCGAGCAGGAACCGGGTGAGGCAAAAGGAACCCGCTCAAGCCCCAGCTGAAGGACCACCTCCTCGTCAATGATGGTGGCATCAGCCCCGGAGTCAATGAAGATAGCCAAGGTGTGGGGGCCATCTGGAAGAAGGAGGCGGCCTTGGAGCAGGGGTCGCTGGCTTTGGGGAGGTGACAGGGTAGTTGAGCTCACCATGGTCTCCCCAACTACTGATGAGCTCTGGCTTTTGCTGGACAGCCGGAGATGTAGTGTCCCGCTGCCCCACAATAGAGGCAGAGATTAGACTTGCGTCGACGCTCTCTCTCTTCCAGGGAGAGAGAGGTGCGGCCCAACTGCATGGGCTCTGGATCCTCAAACTGCTGACCCAAGGGGGTGGAGTTGGGTGCAGCAGCACCCCCACGGGAGCGAGGTAGACGAGAATGTTGGGTTCCTCCTTGACGCTTCTCTCGTCGACGAGTCTGAACACGAAGGTCGATACGGACGGCCAAGTCAATCACCCCGTCCAAGGTGAGGGAGGCGTCATGTGAAACCAGTTCATCTTTAATGTAATCTGCCAACCCATGGAGAAAGGCATCACGGAGAGCTGCACTGTTCCATCCACTTTGGCTGGCTCTGGTGCGGAAATCAATGGAATAGTCAGCCACTGTTCGTTCGCCTTGCTTCAGTCCCATCAGTCCCCTTGCCGAATCAGAACCAGAATTCTCAAACCCAAAAACCTTCCGAAGCTCGGCAGCAAACAGGTCAAAGGAAACACAGGCTGGAGACCGCCTCTCCCACTCAGCTGTTCCCCATAGTCTAGCTCTGCCTGTCAGGTGGTTGATGACAAACGCTACCTTCGCCGGTTCTGTGGCGAAGGTGCGGGGCTGTAGGGCAAACAGGAGAGAACAGTTGGTTAGGAAGGGGCCGCAAGTCTCTCGATCTCCATCATAATGCTCTGGGGTTCCCACCCGTGGCTCAGGAGCATCGCTGGGTAGAGAAGAGGCGGGTACAGGTGCAGGAGCAGAAGGTGAAGCTTCTGAAGAAAAGGCAGATCCAGCAGATGAGGGGAGCTGGGTCAGTTGAGCTGCTAGCTGTTGCATCTGTGCGGCTAACGCTGCAAGTGATTGTCCCTGAGTCTCAGCAGCTCGTCTGGCTTCAGTGGCAGCTGCAGTCATCATGGCCTCATGTTGCTGCAGAACGCCCTCAATTCTCTCAAGGCAATTCAGTGGTGAGGGATTGTGTGCTGGGTCCATAGTTTGGCCAGATTGTACTGTAACGGGTATTGACTGGACCCAATTGCAGCACAAACAAGCAGGTTCACTTTAACAACAGTCTTTATTGAACACCAAATCCAATGAAGCAGCAGAGTATAGCAGGTGGGTATGGCAGGATTCGAACTCGGGTCTTCCGGGTGATAGGCGAGCAGATTAGCAGTGGACCACAGGTCAGGCAAGAGTTTTGGACTCGTGAGCAGGGAATTGTCCACAGTCTTAATTTGCTCCACGAGTGTAGTGAAGGGGAAAACGCTCAACTCACAGCTGGAGGAAGATTTCTTGGAGAGTGGTTCAGGTGAGGACTGGGTGAGGATCCAGAGCTTGCAGAGGAGCTGGCAGAACCAACGTCGGCAGAGGAGGTGAGTTGGCGAGGTGAAGCTGACGAGAAGGGGGATCTCAACAGAGCAGGAACAGGCTGAGTGCCATTCAGCCGCAGGCAGACGAATAGCAGGAAACAGGGAGGCAAAGCTCGTAGTCAAGGACAGAAGGCAGGCAGGTTTACCGGGGCTGAGGCGAGAAGCAAAGGTCAGGGGCAGATCAGGTCGATACCAGGTAAGCAGTCCGGGAATTAACGCTGGAGAGTCAGGCATGAGAGCGAAGACAATCTGGCAAAGAGTGAGGGGAAAGAAGCTGCATATATACTGGCCTGATTGGAGATGATGAGCAGGTGAGAGCAGCAGGTGGAAGCAGTTAGCTGATGAGGGGTGTGGCTGAGTAGCAGAGCAGGAGAGGGGCAGAGCAGACTGTTACATGATCAGTATATGTAACAGATGGGCAGATTTCTATGACAAGTGGAACCTGTAAACCTGAACTTTCACACCATATCAGACAGCTATGATAGAAATGAACAATCAGGTTTTCATAGTAAAGCAATTTTGACTTTGTCCTGTTTGGATTTACAGAAGAAAAGTGATTTATATTTTGAGTATTTGGTAGATAAATTAACATCATCAAACCCATCTAGATGTAAGGTCAGCTCTGTTTTTAATTTCAGGTCTTCCACCTTGCCCTTCGCTTCTTAATCTCTTGTCTAAAGTTTTGTCTTGTGTATTTGCAGACACCTGTCAAAACTGCTGCAGTGATGTGTTTACTGTCAGGCTCTTACTGTATTTCCTGGCATCCTGACAGTATTGTGCAGCTCAGACTCTGGAGGGCAGAAGTCTGGCAGTCTTACTGTACAGCTGCTCGGACACTGACGCTCTGCAGCACATCAAAACAGCTTTCCTTTGTGTATTCCTGCCATTTTAAACAGAGCCTCTCTAAGCCAATTCCCCCTGAAGAATGACCATCCATCGCCCCTTTTTATCTCCCCCCTTTGAAGTGCCGAGTTGTTGGGATAGACTTGAGCCCAGGAAGAGAGGAGCAAAGTGGAAGTTAATCCTTGTCTGAGCGCCAGAGATGTGGGCTGGAAAAAGTCAGGTGCCAGAGTGATTTCTGCTGTTCCTCTGTAGCTTTTGTCCCGAATCATCACATTCTCCGAGCGGCAGATGCAGGTCCTTCCAATCGCAAACTGATTCAGGGAATTTTCCTTCCTGATGAATCACGAATGGTGGTCTGAAAAGGCCAGGTGCTCTTTATTATTAGAGAGTCGAGTTTTATCTGCTTTCAAGGCAGAGAACCGGCGCTATCAATGCTAACTCTTGCACAACTTAAAAGGAAGAGCGGGAAAAGGCGGATTCCTGGATTCACTATCAGTTTAACGCATGATCGGGAAAAAGGCTCATTTTTTCCTTTCAGAGCTGAGTCCTTTAAGCTGACAGCTGGCATCAAAGATACCCAGACAAAGAGGGCTTTTCATGTACAAAGGGGCATTGTTTTTATCATGGAGGATTTGGGCTGTTTTTTGCCAGCTCTGCCATTTTTTAATCAACAGATGTGTCAGAAAAGAGGGGAAACTTATCAAGAAGTATGCTCAGATCTTTGTGAGTCCAAAACCAGTTTATAAAAACATTCAAGAGGCTCAAGAAACAAAAGTTTGTCCCCTTTCTATGAAAAATAACTTCCTATATAGTTAAAAATAGCAGCAAAAACTTTTGAGGGTTTGTTTTGAGAATTGAAAAATCTTACACTAAGGACAGGGATTTATCTGATTAATCAGGATTGACATGACAGAGCTGTGGATTTAATGATTTAATAATGAAATATTGACAGAATGCGGGGATCAGTAGAATAAAAAAAAAATAACTGTGTGCAAAAGGACAAACAGAAGACAAGTCTCATATTTTGTCAGACATTGACACTAACAGAACTTTATTTCACTTTTTAGATATTCAGGGTTTTGAGAATTTTAAAAGAGACTCACAGTACTTCCACACCTTGAAACCTCAAAATCTCAGTGAATCTCACATGTTTTTTTCTTTTCTTTGTTCTTTCTTTCTGGTGTTTGTGCAGAAAAAATTAGTTTGAATTTTTGAATTTTTTTCCCTGTTTTGGGTTTTTCCTTACAGAAATAATGAAATCTTAAGATTTAATTGAAAAAATATATATATATATATTTTCTAGATGTCACAGATTTTATCTTCCTGACACATAACCTCAACATAATGCTTGGTACCCAAATATTTAATATTCTTCTTTAGCTTAATCTATCATTCTGACTAACAAGTAGATTGTAATGTTTACTTCGTAGTATCTATCTTTCACACACATCTTTATCTTAAGAGCATTTTGAACCCTTTACCCCAAATTCAGGGAGTTTTTTTGCGTGATTTAGCGAGAAAACTGTGAGTAGATGAATTACAATGATGCACTAACAATAGAATTGAATCAAATGTTAACTATGTCTTTCCTTATCTAACCTGGTTGAGACATTTAGAGAGCTCTGCCATTGTGCCCCAAAGTCATCCGGCACAATTTCCGACTTTCTCTTTAATTGTCACAGTCTTTGTCTCCACAGTCACCTCTTGCAGCAGCTCACTGTGATGAATGAATAAAGAGATCACACACACACAAGACCACGGGCGAGCTTCCTGCGCAGTGACTCAACATGTCACTGGTGCCATATTGGGGAAAAGGTTAGGACTTATTTAACTGTCAGGAGGTCAAAAATCATTGATAGCACTTGTAAGTGTGAACTGATGTCCTCTCTAGCTATCTGTTCATTTAAAGACATTACATCAACCCTGAAAGTTATAATGTCACTCCACAACATGCAGTCATTGTCCTCTCTTCTCTTTTCCCTAATGGTTTTGATATATACAAGTGTTTTATGTGTTTTATGTGATGCTTTTTGAGTTCTGAAGAATAAATCATAGCTGAATAGTTAATTGTCAGTACTGGTGAGGCCGTTTGTCTGCTGAACTTTGAAAACATAAATCACTGAATGTCATTATCTTTTAATAATAGTAATAATGCATCAGATTTAATGCAGCACTTTTAATCAGAGACCCTCAAAGCACTTTACATTAGATACATCATTCATTGATTGACAGTCACACCCTGGTGGTGGTAAACTACCTTAATAGTCACAGCTGGGACAGTCAGCTCTCCGACCACCACCAAATATCACTCTCAATCATACACCGGTGGAGGACACACACTGGAAGAAAGGTGGGTTAAGTGTCTTGAACTACTGCCGCCTCTTGGGCTGCCTCCTCAAAGTTGATGATTTGAATTATCATTCAAGACAACCACGAGGTCATTTTATGTTTTGTCAATCAGGTCAGAGTCTGTACTTAAGCTGCTTCATTGTTCACATAGACGTACAGGGGGTTTTCATTGAGAGGACTTAAAGAAAGAGGACTGCCCTTCTGACACAAATAATCTGGGGATTGAAACCAGACCTACCCAAGGATTTTATCATATACCAAAATGTGATACAAACAGGAAATTTAAGGTCATAATGATACAAAGAATAAAGCCAAAGGGGTCTATTCTTTTTTTTACAAGACAGTGGAAAAGTCAGAGCACTAAAAATCTTTTAAACTCTTTTAAGGATCAAATGTGATTGAGCAAAGAGTCTTTCTCAGTCTTGTTTTTCTGACAAAAGCTTCAGATTATTTTACTTTTAGAAATAATTTTTGAGGAAGCAAAAATGAATATATCACATCATTGTCTGTGACAGATCAGTCTAGCTGAAAAATTGGTACTGATGTCTCTGCATGACCCCCAGAAGCAAAACAGACTGCCAAGGATGACAATTACTCTGTAGTAATTTTTGATGTCTGAAACTGCTGTGAGGATGATTGACAGCAGGCTGAAGTAAATCCCGTGTTTACTTCTCTCACGGCAAATATTCAGACAGAGTGAGATGTTTCTCTGCTGCATGGCAACAGGGTGAGGAGATGGTCTAAAAACACTATTTTCACATGCACAGGACAAAACATTAAGAGTTATCACTTTTTCCACAGGGTCGCCTAACTAAAAGTTCCATACTGCAGCTTTAAGACAAAACTCTGCTCAGAGAGATTAGCAAACTTGTCCGTGCTAATGGCACATGCTTTAAGAAAGGTAAAAACCAAGGAGGGAAATGAGGGAGAAAAAACTACAATTCTGTCCTCTACCCAAAATAAGCATGAATCCTTAAGGTGCATCAGTTTTTCTCTTAGCAGGGTGAGACCACACACTCACCATGACTCCAAAAAAATGATTGACAGCATCTCTCTGACAGAGTTCAAGCCCAGTGCTGCAGGAGCAGGTTTGCCGTGATGCATCAGTTCTGTGGGCTGAGCAGCAGCGGGCTGATGGATGCTGGTCATGTTTCGAAGGTGTTGGTAGAGAGGAACAACAGTACCCACTCAGGTTCCTGTAGAATAATAAAAAAAAAAAGACCTCAATAACTAAACACAACAGCTGTTTATGACTAATTCTCTGTCAGGCGGGAGAGGAGAGGCCGTTGCTGTGTTCAGGCTCAACACTGACAGGCAGAAAACAACTGTATCATTCTTGATCTAACTGTGTCTCAGTTTGATTTAATTCATCATAATCCTACCATTTAAAGCATAGTTTCTTTTCCTTTGTTTTCAATAGGATTAATAAGGAAATTGACAAGGAAATTCATCTTTGATAGCTAAAGGTTTACCCTGTCCAGTGGCCACCAATTCAGGTTGTTACAACGTTTAATTCTTTGATACCCTTCTGTAGAAGTTTAAGTTTAAATGAAGATTTTATCTTTAAGTAAACTAGTGAAATATTTAGTTTAGATAATTAATTATAAGGATCAAATATACGTAAACATATGGTTTAAAATAATTAAACTTGTTGTTTATATTGATTTAAATAATCATCTGTATATATGGACACTGTCTGCCTTCTCACTGCGTGAAGCCTCCGCGAGAACAGCACCCTCTTGTGACGGGCTGCAGTATAGGTCATAAATCCCGCCTCCTCCAGCAATCCCTATGGAGTTGTGGACAAACTTTAGAAATTTATTACACAGAATATAAATTTTCCTCCCCCCTAGCTGCGATGTTGACATGTAGTTATTCTGAGACTGGTTTGTGTTCAAGTCCTCTTTTTTCTGTACAGCTCCTCCATTTTTAAAAGTTATTAGAGGGTTCATGTTTTCTTTGATTGACACTTGATACAGCCTATGGGTATATATGAAGACTGTGCCGCTCACCCAAGGGATACCCTGTTTGACGCGAGGGTCATCACAGCGACTCTTTCGCCGAGTGCGTACAACACCACTGCGCAAGTGGTGGTTCCAGGAAGTGAAGAAAATCCTGGAAATACACAGAGGAATTCGGCTCCAAATTCATATAATGACAGAAGGCAGAGCCATGTTGTCCATAGTATATACAGTCTATGGTTGAGATGAGCAGTACGCAAACTGTTGTCTTTTTTTTTTACATAAAATGCGATCTTAGTTGAACCCCTTTTTTAATATTTTATTTTTTTTTTGAATGGTGCGCTCATTGGAATCCACATCTGTCAAATAAACCTATTATATGAATGAAAGTGGAAACACGTCAGGACACCAGTAAGGCTTGTCTCATTCAAGTGGCTTTTAAAACTGTGTATGTATTAAATCTGCCACTACACTTTCAATACCACATGCTTGAAAAGATTCTAAATCCAATACATATACATTAAGAAGTGTCAAAAAGCACTGAACCCTGTGAAGAAAGAATTATCCACACACATATTTTCAATCAGGAAGCTGCCAGTGACTGGAAGTCAGAGTGAGCATCAGTGATCAATCAAGTCGCTCAAGCCTCAAGGCAAAAAATCTTTTTTACTTCCTTGTTTAGTTTCACAGTCCTAAAGTTTTCTATGGATTAACTTTACATCTCTAGAAAGTTAGAAAATGCACTGTGAAGAAATGTGTAAGCTGTTGAGGTAATACTGCTCTCATTTCAGAGAGCTGGTCAAAGGGCAAAAAAAAAAAAATAGGTCTTTAATAATGATGGTAAACATGAACATAGTGGGGGTGGGCTTTTCAGGAGGAACGAGCTGTTGCTAAAGTTACAAGCAACTCCTGCAAAGACCTGGTCGCCCCTGGTGTTCAAGTAAGTTCTAGGTCCATCCTGGCACAGCAAACCAGTTGACCTTGGTGCTCCAGCTGAGAGTGTGGATGTGGAAGAGTTCTACTAAGCAAAGCAATGCCAAAATATGCTCAAAGGGGCGCAAAGGTCAACAGCAAAATCTAAAATCCAGTCCAATGAAAATATGATAAAAGGCAGAAGGAGCTCAGGAGGTAGAGTGGTTGTGCATCAACTGAAAGGTTGGAGGTTTGATCTCTGCCCTTTCCCTAGTCTGTCTGTTGTGTCCTTGGAAAAGACACATAACCCACCTTACTCCCAGTGTGTGTCCTCCACCGGTGAATGAATGTGAGTGTTGTGTGGCGATGGTTAGAGAGGCCATAGGTACAAACTGCCAGCCATGTTTCCGTCATTCTGCCCCAGGGCAACTGTGACTACTAAGGTAGTTTACCACCACCAAGGTGTGACTGTGTGAGCGAATGAATGATGTATCCTATGTAAAGAGCTTTGAGGGTCTCTGATAAAGCGCCATAAAATCTGATGTATTATTATTATTATTATTATTATTATTATTGTTATTATTATTGTTGTTGTTGTTGTTGTTGTTGTTGTTGTAATAATAGTAATAATAATAATATGATAAAATAAACAAATAATTTAAAAGTATTTTGTTATCCCCACAGTAGGCTAAAAAATATTATGAAACTGAAAATGTTGTTTTGTGTATCTATGCTAATTCACCACCAATTTGAGAGGGCAAAAGTTTATTTTTATGTTTGCTAGCTTTTCCCTTCTGCTTAAAACACTGAGAGACTCAACAACACATAGGTCCTGTTCAAACTTTTAAACTCTTAAAAGTGAAAATATGTCAGTATTCTGTTTTTGACATGTTTTGTCTCCGGCTGATGAATTCTTAATGAAACTAGTGAAATGAATACATTTATGAGCAGACTGATCACAAAGATGAAGACGGTTTTGTTATATTAATAAGCCGAAGCTCATTTATTTTCTGGTACTGAATGTTTTACAAATCTGACTCGATAATGAACCATTGGGAGTTTTCAGCTCCAGTAAATTACCTGTTACACAGTCAGACCGCTGTTAATTAAAAAGTGAGGCATAGTTGTCGAAGTTTCGAAGAAGATCAACAGGAAGTAAGACAACTTTGTGGTCCAGTTTTTCCCTCCAACAGCAGAGTTAGCCTCAGTCTACCTCACACACTCACTCCTGACTGGGTGGTGGATTGCCTTGAGCAGAGTAAAAGCATGTAGAGTCCCAGGTGAAATGATTTTCTGTTTCCATGATTCCGGCTTTCTCTCAGGCCTCTCCTCTCAGGAATCAAAAATGTGTTTACAGGGAGGTGTGGGTAAACAAACAGACTGTGGGGAATAAAGACTCGATCACCTCAGGTCAAAAGAAAAAAAAAAAGTCGGAAAAAAAACCTTCAAAGTCATGCTAGCAGCTCTGTCAGCCTGAGAGAGAGACAGAGAGAGAGAGAGAGACAGACAGACAGACAGACAGACAGACAGACAGAGACCAGTTGTTCATTATCTGTCCAGCACGTCAGAAATCTATTCAACAAAACTGTCAGGATTTCCCTGTCCCGTGCCAAAACCCATAACACCCAACCATGTTGAAATACTTTCAAAAACTTTTTCTTTTCTTTTTTTTAACTGAAAGTTTGTGAAACTTGCTGACTTGCTGTTTTCGGTGTCATGGTTCAGCTGCCAGAGGCTCAAGAAAAGACCACCAACTTGACACTTGGCAGTGAGAGTATCTAATGTTCAGGTCAGCTTAACAATGATCCTCTAGTATAGGTGAGGATTTAGCTGATGTTTAGCTCAGCAGAAAAAGGAAATGTTGTAATGGATTTTATTATTTTTTTTCCAGGGATCTATCAGAGGAAAGTTTTACACCTTTGGTTTTTTGGTTTAAACTCAGTTGGACTTACAGTCATCTTCACTGTACAAAAAGTCTTATATTTAAATTGTGTTTGGTAAAAGCTAAGTCATTCAACCCTCAAACATGTGAACTTTATCTTTTATATATATACAAATACATGAAGTAAATACTGGAGCTCAAAGTTATCTGCAACAATCTCACACTTTATCAAGCCTTTATCAAAGACTAAGTAAGTATATATAATACTGGTGTCAAGAGACTGATGCAGGTAGATGGATATATGGATATTTACAACACACAGATGTTATGGACTTTTGATTCTTGAAAAGGTTAAAATTGTGGAAAGAGGTGTTCCTGCCGGTGCTTCAGATTATTGTTTGGAGCCTCTCACTTGTTTTACAAGCCATCAGTCGTCACTGTGTTTGTCAAGTCTTTTCGCAGCATAGATCAAAAGAAATCCCAAGAGCTTTATAGGCTTTATTTGCCCATCGCTACAAACCATGCAAACAACTGAGATTATCTTTGTGAGAGTGACCCAAAATACACCTGGTTTTGTTCTTTATTTAGTTTTGTGCCTTCACACAGTCTGTTTGTTTGAGAAAGAAGTTTCTTTGGTAAATTTAAATTCCATTTTAGTCAGAATATAAGACAACCCTTTTCACAAGGTGACCCCTTTTTCAAGACTAGTTTTTAGAAATATTTTTTAAGACCAAATGTAAGTTTTATAGAGAAAAATAATCGTTTTAAGACTTTTTTTTTTAATGGCTAAAAATTCGACAGGTTGTTTTTGACAACTAAGGAAAAAATCTGTTTCAGTATCTTTACAAGTTTTTAAAGTGACACCTGTACTGTAACTGCCATAAAAATGAAAAACATACACAAGTATTTGCTACACCATCCGCCTCAGTTAAAAATAACTCAATGCAGACTCTCTGCTCCTCAGTCCCCATGGGAGCCTTGAAGCTGGGTGACTGCTTTGGTAAGGGGCAAACCTCGTCCTGTTTTTGAGTAACACTCTCACTCTCTCTCCTGTCAGTCTCTTGGAAGAGTCTGGTAAGATTTTTTTCCTGTGAGCGTCTTGAAGACAGTTTTTCCTGGCTGACAGCTCTGAGAATCTCCTGAATAATGCACTGACAGCAGTGTTTACTGATATGGAGGAAGACAGGCCAGGTATGAAAGATAGAAGAGAGCTGAGATGGAAAAGAGTGATCTGATTTTTTCTGTTTTCAGCAGTAGCATAAACTCTGTGATTGGACAAAATATTGAGTACCCTCCAGAGGTCAGACTGCTTCTAGCTTAAAGACAAGAGTGGCACATTGACACATAACAGGTTTATATCTGTTTCTTTATTCTGTCAGTATATGGACATATTTTTAGAGCTTGTAACTTTTTTCTTAAATCCTGAGGAGACATTCTTGACTTCTTTCGCTGGCACATCTTCGACAGATAGTGACAGATGGTAGCAATATTTGGAGGGACGGAAAAAAATATTAAAAAACGAGACATATTTGTGCTGAAAATCAGTGAGATTTTATTATCCCTGGGCTATGAAATACAACCACAAAGACACTGTGCAAAGAAAGCAAAGATTAAGTCACACTTATGGAGAGTCGGCAAGCACATATTACACGAACAGAAAAGATATATCTGCATGTACACAGTATATTGCCAAAAGAGTGCATGCTACAAACAACATAGAAATCAATAAAATCAGGGCTAATACAGAAACACAAACACCTCAATCCAAATGTGTAAATGAATACAAAGTTTAAAATATACCATTGTTTTCTATATAATCAAATCAAAGTTTTCTTTTTTTTAATCTCATAACACTGTTTTCTTTTTTTGTATATTTGTCATTGTTTCCCATCTTTAAAAGTCTGAAAAGTTCAAGCCCAAACTTTGATCTTTACATTCGAGTTGCTGCAACCAAATCAGATGTTGCCGTCTGCCTCAGACGTTCGAGAAAGCTACATGTACTGCTACTAAAGAAGCTGGTTGAATTCAATAAGATCATTGTTTCCCATTTACCTGCTACCTAAAAGGAGAGGGTTTGGTCTGAAGGCCAGTCTCTCAATCTTAAAAATAAACCCAACACTTCTTTTTAAGCGAGGAAAATTGTCACAACAAAATAAGGGGTGCTGCCGTGATAAACAACAGCTCCAGAGTAATACAAGAGACGATACATGAAACACAGGGACTTATCTAAATGATGTGCTGCCCACCTAAAGCAAGGTTACATAACATTTGAAGAAAAGCTGTTTCTAAAAAGCACTGAGCATTAAATGAGTTAAGAAGTCAGAGAGAAATAAACCACATGTTGTTGTGCTGGCAGTATAAATTTAGTTTAGAAATAGCAAACACTGAAAATCTTGTTTCATCATTGACTGTTTGCTAAGCCACGCCCCTTGGTTACTGTTGCCATGTCTATCAAGCCCTCTATAAAATGATCTTCTTAAACTAAGAGTGACGGGTTCGGTACAGAACAATTTTCGAATTTTTGAATTTCATCCAAGAGCTCCGACATGCAGACAGCAGGAGAGGAACTGCAGCCACAGGAAAAAAAAACAGGTAAACTTTATTTGAACTATGTGACCACTGGCTCAAAAATGTACCTGTTATCTACACTTAGCTTTCACAGATGTACTTACCAAACAGAAAAACTGCCTGAATTTGGCACTTGTATCAGATCAATTCAATTGTGTTTTCTTTAAACTGTAACAAAAAAGAAACCTGCACAGGTCCACAAATCGAAGCTGCCAGATTTTTCTTAAGTGACTGAAAACCTGAAAAGACAGAGCTCTGAGTATCAGCATGCCTCAGGTAGTTTCTGGGAACAATTTGCAGTCAGTGAGGAAATAGTTCACAGTCAATGTTCCAGTTTGAAACTGGGCGGTAGAAATGCAAGCAGGAACCCCCAAAAACCCTTTAGACACAGCTTCTTAGCCTTGAAATGATACTACTTTAGGAGGAAATGTTGAATTGATTGGAGGTTTTGATAGAAGCGAGTGACGATAGTGAACTAATACGTCTTTATTTTAGTCAAGAAAACAAAAATTTGCACTTCATGTTTAATAGATGGCAGTGTAACCGTTTTAACTCTCCATTTGTCAAAAGAACCCACCATCTAACTACATCCACTACAACACCTGTAGTTTAGAGTTGCTAAGCTTTGACTGGGCAGTTGTTAGTTGGGGGCGGGCTTTCACAAAGAATCAGTTGCTTCATGTTTCAATATTTGGCACTAAACAAGGTCAAACACTTGATCCAAAATCAAATTTTGATTGCCTTTGCTCTAATCACCAGCGGCTCTCCAAATGAACCTGGATATCCTTGGCTGGTTACATACACCGACATTTTTGTTTTCTGGATTGTGATATTTAGTCGTCTAAAAGTGCAAGCAAGCGAGTACAAAGAGAGCAAAAGCGTATATGGCATGACCACATCTTTTTTTCATCAATTTTTTTTTTACCATAAATCTTTAAAGCACAGAGTTAAAAAATATACTACAAAATTGTCTTAAAAACAGGAATATAAGCTGATTGATATTGCTGTAGCTTATTGATATTAGTAATACATTTCCAAGCTGGTAGGTGAATGTGCAACAAAACACAACACGGACCGACACAGAGGACGAATGAAAAAGTACAGAATTGAAAACCTGAAGAGACAGTTATGGAAGAAATCGTCCTTTTGTTTATAAGTGCTATAAACAATATCCTCACGTCCTCAATCGTCGTCACTCTTGTCCGACTGATCCTGCAGAGGGACAAAGAGAGAGATGAAGAGTGTGATGAGAGGGGGAGATTTAAAGGCAGACAAAGGAGGGAGGAAGAGCGCTGTGTGATGAAGGTTTATTGTCTGTACAGAGCATCAACAAGAAGTGGTGTAAGGTCACTGCAAGATGAATACATCAACACCGTGAAATAAGAGAGAATGAAGAGGAGCCTGGAGGTGACGCCAGGACTGAATCTTCACATCCTTTCCTTTTATCAAGTCCTTTTCTGGGAAAGAGGCTCGTTAGGGGGGACGTGCTGTACTTAGTCTCAGATGCATGTCGCTCAAGTGTCTCCTAAATTAGATTAGTATTGTAACATAGGAGTACATTTACAGACTGCAGTTACATTGTTCATCACAGCTTGAATAGAGGTGAATAAGAAACAGGCTGAAACTGAAACTAACGACAACAAGGCGGAAAATCCTTCTGTTTCAACTTTTGATGCTTGAAACCACTGTGAGGGGTCAGGTGTACTCTTTCATGGTAACAGGGTAAGGTTTTTGTTCAGCATAGTAACAATATGAATAGGGTTGGGTATCGTTTGATTTTGAACGATTCCGATTTTGATTCCTCGTATCAATTCCAATTCCCATTGATGCTCTATTTCAATTCTTTTAAAAGGCAGGATATTTAAAAAAAGCATGGTTTAAATGAGGGTGCTAACCGGAGTTCTTCTTTTTGGATAAAATTTCCGAACTGCTTCACAAATTTTTAAATTATATTTACTTTTTAAAAACTTTACTATGAATTTCTCACAGGGCTATTTGCAACCAGTATATAAACATCAATTTCTGTTGTCAGGTCGTTTGTCTATGAAAAAGCACAAGGGCTAACGTTAGTTGGATATTTAAGTTTACTCACTGTACACAGTACAATTTGTTTGACGCTTCAATGTTAGCAGAGGACAGAAGTCATTTATTGTTTCATTTATCTGATCCTGACTGGTTAGCGAAAGACAGGTGTTGTGCCGTAGAATGCATCCCTGCCGTAGAATGTCTCCCCTCCACTGATTAGCTTCTTAAAGTGGAAGAAATATGATCTCATATTTAAAAAAACACGAGTATTAGATCATGACAACGTGTCAAATGGAGCAGTAAACTTTCGTTTTGTTTTTATGTGTCTCAAAAATGCACACATAAAGGTGTTCTTGGGTATATAAACTGTACAGTTAGCTGTTAATGTAGAGAACATAATATTTTCAGGACAGTAAATATTCCGAATCAGAGGGCTATTGTTTTCGGCATATCTGAATAGCCTGAATGAAATCATTAAAGTCACACGCTTTAGATTCCGTTCAACGGTAAGGAAAACTTGGATTGTTTCGCCTTGTTAAATACTTTCAATCGCGCTCCCGGCAGGAGACGAGCACTCGGGTATTTCTCCTCCATGAATCCTGAGGTGTTCAATCATGTTGGTCGTTTACCCTCCTTTGCATGATATAACTGTATTGCTAATGTTGAGATAAGAGTTCATTCTTCCTGCTAAAGTTAGCCAAACTTGTGACCAACGAAGAAGAAGCTGCCGAACACCAACGAGAGAGAGAGAGTGCATTACAACCCTCAGCAGCTGCATTTGTGGGTTGCAATGCACTCTCTCTCTCTCTCTCTCTCTCTCTCTCTCTCTCTGTGGCTTCGTCTCATATGCTCCATCCTCGTTGGTGTTCGGCGGCTTCTTCTTCGTTGGTGTTCGGCGGCTATTTCTTCCAGTCGGCAGACTCCGGCATCGAAACTTGGAATCGAAATTTTAAAATTTGAACGATACCGGGAGAATCGAAATGTTAGTCCCGATCCCCATCAATACTCGATTCTCGATACCCAACCCTACCCTAAGTATGAAAGTCAAACAAAAATACCAGGGTACTTAACAGTATAAGCTACAACTCAGTTTCTGTCCAGCTGCTGTTCTTCACATCACATTTATCCCACAGGTTATTACTATTTTTAATCCAAAACAAATCTGAAAAGTAGTCCTTCCTACCATTGAAATGATAGAAAAGGACTACCATTACCTAATACCACTGAACCTCCAGCACTCTGCAGATCAGGACCACTGCCAACATGCATGGGACCAAAAACCCTCAGTGATCCTTTAAACACAACAGTTCGAGCTCAAACTGCAGCTCCTCACCTCTGTGGGTTTCTATCCTCTGAATATTGGCCTGAATTGAAAGAGAAGAAATCTTTTCAGGTCCCTTTAGGGTTTAAAATGACACTAAGACCCATCTTGACTTGTGTGGTTTAAATATCAATATATACTGGACTGTGAATACCAAGCTAAATGCAGATATTTTGTTCTGGGAAGCAATCAGAGGAAAAAAAAGCCAGCCTTAAAAGAGAAATGGAGAATGTCTTGGTGGGACTGCGTAGTCAAGTTACTGCAGAGAAAATGAAGAATTATTCAAATTAAAGTTTTACTCACAGGTTAACTGTATAAAGGCTTAAAGGCACATCATGATTTTGGGACTCAACACACTAACCTGATTATGTTTATCTAGTTATTTACTGTCTAATCATGTTTATTGAATCATCTTAAGAAACAGAAATTATATTAGGGGTCCATTAAGTAACGTAGTGAGTCCTAGGGACCCGCTTAAATCACCATCTGGGGGTTCCAGGGACTCACTACATTAAAAAGCTATCAACATCAATGCACGTCAGAGACAGAAAGAAGCTTTTAGAGAAGAAGCAGTGAGGGATTTGAGTGAAATCTCAGTTAAACAATATTAAACAGAGCTCTCCTAAAGCTTCGAGTAAACTGTAAGCGCTCCACACAGCTCCTGAACTCTGGAGGCAGAGCAGCACTGCTGAGCGGATGGTGGACTGCTCAGAATTGGTTGATGATCTATAATTACGCCATAAATCTGAGGAGTTTTATTCTTTTATGAAGAAGCTGAGCGCAGAGCTTCATTCATATCTGCAGAAATAGACCACTGTCTATAAAGAAAGAGTCTGTTTTTAGCCCAGTGAGATCAGTCACCATACTTCCTGCTACCACAGTAATAAAGCTTTTTTTCTTCCTTGATTCTCAAAGGGTCAAACCGGTCACATATAATTAAAGTCTTCAATTTTTTAAGGGTATTTAAATTTAGAAAAGATTAACTTGAATTGATTTTCAGAGAAAAAAATCCTTACTTTGTATTGTACTTATTCTGAGACGTATATCTGCTTCATGAAAGTGTCACAGAGTTTTTTCTTTTACATAAAAGTGACCTAGATCTAGCAGACATTTGAGGACATGGTCCTATATATATATATATATCTTGGTGTCCCTGTTTTTTCTATAAAGGCACATTTGTGACCTTCTACTCACACATAAAGAGGATGAAACTGAAGCACCCATTGAGAATCCAATTTGAACCCGAGAACCTTGTAATCAATATATCCTCAGAAGAATCTGTGTCTCTGATGGAAGACACTCAGCACCTGTGATTGAAAACAAACGCTGCCTCACCAGAGGAAAAAAAAACCTGTAATTACGGCAGGAAGGAGCAACAGACACCTCTGTTAGCTCAATGAGCTGGAAGATAGAAGCTTGGATGAACAAGTGCTCAACAAACACGCAAACAGTCAAAACTATGGTGGCTCTTAAAGGCCAAATAAGTGATTGCTTAAATCCACAGACTAACCTGCTTGTGGACAGTTATTAAGACATTGTAGTGATAGACCTACATCAGGCTGACATTACATTCAATTAGGAGTGGGTACAATTAATCGGTGATCGATTAATTGATCGTTAAGAATTACGTCAATCATGCAAAATTTTGATCGATCTAACGTTATTAAAAAGGGCTGACAGCGGTGTTGACTATCACCGTGCAGAAGGATATTACAAGGGGGGTGATACAGCGTCAGCGAGCTTCCATAGAAGTCGCAAAAAAAGTGAAGAAAGCGAGACAAAGTGTGGTTTGGGACCATTTCGAGCAGAAAAATTATGAGGTTTGCTGCAAGTAAAACATGACAACGACCCCAATGATGCACTTGAACCACATTAATGACTGAGGTTATTGAATCTTCCGAGTCTCAACCTAGCATCAGCTCCTTGCTAACAAGGAGGACCGGTAGGGTGACCAGACACCTCCAATTTTGGAGGACAGTCCCTGTTTTGGATGACCTGTCCACAGCTGAAGTTGTCCCCGGAAATGTCCCTGACTTTCACAAATGAAAAAAAAAAAAAACGACAGTTTTTACTGTAGCCGGGCCAGTAGGAAGCGCAAGTGAGCATGTAGCGCGCAGTCCTAAACAACAATGTGGGGCTGGGGGGGGTGAGGAAAAACACGTTTTTTTGCATATTCTGCCATTTGTATAAAAAATTATCAAATCGATGATTGATCATGAATTTACATGATTTATCGATCGAGCGACATTCTTGAAATGCCAATTCCTACATTCACTGTACAATAATTTGCAGTCCAGGTGTTCAAAGAGATCATTGAAAACAAGACTGGACTGAAAACACTTCATCAGTATTCAGGCGCTGAAATTCAATAGATTATGGTGTAGTAGAGACATTATCCCCCTCATCTGTTTGACAAGATATAAAATAAATAAATAAAACATCTCTAACAAAACTTCCTGATAGGCCTTTAAACTTTGGGAGGACTTCAGCTCTTTTATGAACCAAAAAGACTCAATTAGTATCATTTATAGACTCTTTTTTGGCCACAGCTGTAGCTAAAAAGGTAAAATTATGCTGGGAGTATATGACCACGGATACACAACCAACTACTTCACAGCACTGAAATGCCTTTGCTCTCCATCCTAAGAGTGTGATTCAGCTGCTGGTGAGACAGCTGGAAGAAAGCAAGCAGCACTTAATATTTTCAGAACTAAGAACAAGACCAGAGGTGTCAAATGAAGGCTTTTAAACACTTCTTAATGTTTTAAATTATTTCTACAGCTGTTGTTTTCAGCACTTCCCTTTAAAAATTCATTTCACTCATGTCTCCATTATCTCATTTATGGGAGTGAACCTGCTGAGTTGGAAACAGACAAACACGGGAGACTCACTTTTCAGAGACAAGTTATTTTGGTTGAACGCTATGGTGACGATGCAGTGAAGTGAAATGACCTACATTGTCATCCTGGTCTTCGTCACTGTCGTCGTCACTGACCACCGGCTTGGCTTTCCCTCGGCTCTGCCTCTTCTTCCCTTTGTCGCTGCTGCGTCCCTCCTTACTCAGCTTGATCTTAACCCATACTGACTTGGCTGGAGGAGAAAGGAGACGAGCAGGAGTGATTCAATCTCAAACAAAACAAGTCTGACACAAGAAGTGGTCAGTGCTCCGTCAGAAAATAAACAATACTAATCTGGTCTTCCAGAGAGAAGAGTGATTACATGGCAGCATTCAATATGAATGATGTCCTCCAACCCCCAAAGACGAGATCTAAAGAGGGCTTTCTCTTCTTTACCCATTTCTTTTTCCTTTCCCCTACATTTTTATTCTCTTTTTTACAATGTCTCTGGTCAAGGTGTAATGTTTTCGCCCTCTACATGTGCCTGTTTGTATAGCTATCTAGTATACTTAACCCCTCTTTTTTGTTATTACCTCCCTGTTTTGGCTTGTTCTTGTTTAATTTTTTGTTTGTATACTTTTTTTTTCTTTCGATATCCAGTTGAGCGTGGAGGAAATATTTATGTTTATGTTTGCATGCTGACTAAAAAAAGGAAAAAAAAAAAAAAAAGAAAAGTGTCACTGCTCCTTTTTCCCCCCATTAATTTAAACTCAGTATTATGGAGCACTGGTGGCTTAGGTGTATAAATATATCTCATGTGCTGCTGGTTCAACTCCTGGCCATGACCCCTTGCTGCATGTCTGCCCCCACTCTCTACTCCCCATATTTCCTGTCTCTCTTCAGCTAACTTACCCAGTCAGGGCACATAGGCCTTAAAGCATGACAAAACTACTATTACAGAGAAAAGAACAGGATCCTTCACTTTAATCTTTAAACTAAAAGAATAATAGTAGAAAAATAAACCTTTATGTGCAGAAGTACTCCGATCTGCTCAAAATACGATGTTTCTATTCAATTCAAAGCAAAACCAACATGTGTGGGTGCTGAGTGTTGTTTTTTTGTATGGATGCCCTTGAGGTGGTTTGTCATACCCTCTGACTCAGACTCATCATCCTCATCCTCGTCCTCATCGCTGTCGTCCTCGCTCTCTTCGTCTTTGGCGATCTTCTGCCTGGCACTCTTGAATACGGACTGTAGGACAATGGAGTCCTCGTATATCTACAGGGGAGGACGAAAAACACACAGATGGCACGAACAGCTCCTTAAACAGTCTGAATGACACACAGCGCAGGAAGTACGAGAGACAAGGGCCTGTGAGACTGCAGCAGAGGGGAAAGATTTAGTACTGATGGAGGGACAAACGGGACAAGAGTAAATCTGTTGGGTAGAGGGCTGCAGACTGACGACATGGAAGTAAAAATCTCAGGAATACTGAGGAGGCTAAAAAAAGAGGCCTTGTTTGCAATTACATCTTTGGTCAGTACCTCGAGGTGAAAACAAAGACACGTTCAAAGGAAAATCCAGTTTTAAAACAGGGCGGTTTCTGACCTGGGATCCCTCGAGGTTGAAGGTCTGGGCGTTGTGACAAAGCAGCATCACATCCTTCTCCAGGTCCCCGACGTTCCTGTATTTATGATTCCTCACACGCTCCTAGAACGAGGGAAACAGCAAAAACATGATTCACACTCATATTAGAATTATTAAATGTTTTTTAATCGTGTGCTTCGAGAATTTAACTTATAAAAAGGTTTAAAATACTTGATTTGAAAAGATATTTGTCATGAACTCACTGAGGCAGATTACTGTTATTCAATAAACCAGATTACTTTCTTGACTTATCCATTAATTGATCAATCCATGAAATGTTAGAAAGTAGGAAATAACTGTTAATCCAATTTTCAGACCAACATACCAACAATAAACAAACCTCCAAAAAAAAAAAAAAGTTTATGTTCATTCATTACTGCTGACTCCTCGGTTTGGACGAACCTTGATCTTTTTGAAGTCCACGGGTTTCCTGATGAGTTCATAATACTCTGGGAGCTCTTTTCTGGATGGTAACTGCACAAAGACCTCACTCAGCTGTCTTCCTGACCTGTGACACAAAAATGATTTCACATTAGAAAACCTACCATCTTTACTTACAGTTCATCACTCTGCAGGCTTTGAGTCCAGTTTTTCTAAACTTCTTATGTTTTTAATTCTTAAATATCAGCCTCTAAAGTTACAGACAAAAGTTTGAGGTTATGTTTTGGCTTCACAGAGAGGGTAACTTGATGAAGTGTAACGGTGAAGATTCTTGAATGTATTCGGTGCTGCTCATACTTATTGACACAGTCTTGATGGAAAATGTAAAACAGCCTGCTGTGCTCCTCCAACACACACGCACACACACACTAGTGTTGTTTTCACTGACAGTGTAGCTTTTTGTCAACGTCATCAAAGAAAACAACACTGCTACCATCTTTACTTACAGTTCATCACTCTGCAGGCTTTGAGTCCAGTTTTTCTGAACTTCTTATGTTTTTAATTCTTAAATATCAGCCTCTAAAGTCACAGACAAAAGTTTGAGGTTATGTTTTGGCTTCACAGAGAGGATAACTTGATAAAGTGAAACAGTGAAGATTCTTGAATGTATTCGGTGCTGCTGATACTTATTGACACAATCTGGATGGAAAATGTAAAACGCCTTTCTTTCCTCCATTGTCGAGTATTGTTAGCCAGCAGTGTAGCTTTGATTTTCACCATCAAGGACAAAAAAAAATCAATCTTGCTTCAACATATAACTATAGAAACACAGTGTGAGGCAGACTGAAAGTCGAGACAACATAAGAATGAGTCCTCTGCTCTGACTCATGTTTTATTCTTCTCAAGTCCCAGACTTTCCTTTGCTGTATTAATTGCACTTTGACTTTTATTATCGAATTTAGAAACACAAATAATTAAGAAAAATCAAGAAGACAGTGTTGATGCTTGGGGCCAAGCTGTGAGAGTGAAACCAACTAACAACAAGCAGCTCAGAACGCGAAGAGAATCGCAATAAGGGGGAAGGATAAAAACTGGAGGAACTATGAAGTTAATGTGACAAAGATTATATATGAGAAATGATATATGACAAAGATGCTGAATAAAACAATCCTGAGCTACTGCAGTGTATGTTCAACAACATCAGACATGAGATTTTATGACTGTTTGAGTTTTTTCCTTTGGGCGGTACAATGATGTCTAGTCTCCATGCTTTGAAACACCTGTTAGTGGAGGGTCACATCCAGAGTTTATTTCACAACTTGGCCCCTTAGAGTTTATCTGCGGCATTTACATGTTAGATGAGATATCTACTCTGAGGTTCTTCAGACGCAGTATGCAGCACTCCACCCTTCAGAATCAGAATCAGCTGACTTTATCTGGAAATTGAGACGCCAGACTGTCCTTGATTCCTCCTTCCTGCTACACCGATGAATATGGATGAATATTGACTGAAATAACTGCAGTGTTGCCCCTACCTAAATTCCCAAGAGTTGAAAAATGTGGGGAGTAACGAAGAGAGTTCAATTAAGGTTTTAAAATCAACCTTGTAAACACTTTGAGACTCATGTCAGTAATATTAATAAGTTCTCACAAGCATTACTTTTTTTGTGCAGACACAAACGCCTCCTCAGCTATTAAAGCATGAGAACTGCATCAGAGGTTGAACTCTGATAACATGTATGTCTCACTGTTGTGTTTGGAGACTTCATTAGCATCTACTTCAGAGATCCTTTTGTGCATAAAAGTTCAGTTTAAAGACTGGTTTACTGCATCTTGGCCGCCCTGTTTAGACCTTCCATCAATTAATAAGAAACAGAGGAGCAGAGGTTGCTGTTTCTATCCTGAGGAGAAAAAGTTTTCACTCTGAACACACAGAGAAAAGGAAATAAAGTTTCAGGGTAATTGTTTTTCTCTGAGAAAGCCAGAAAAAAAAAGTTACTTAACTAAACCTCAACTTTTTTGATAGCTTACTTAAACAAGATTGCTGAGAAAACATCAAACTCTGGAAAGAACAATTCTGAGTAGATCAAAAGCTTGGGATAAACAGCAATGAAACAAGGCTTACAATCAGCTCGAAAGCTTGTCATCCTTTCAGAGTGATATTATGAAGCTGCTGAAACTTGATCAGCAACAGGGATGAAAGAAAAAGAGGATTGATCGAGAGGTTGACAGACACATTCACAGTGATGTAGAAGAGTTGTTGCAGATTAATTTTCTGCACTATTTATCCTCAAGTGTAAAACTTTTATCAACTGCTTGATTGTGAGGATCTAAAACTTTGCGAGACAAAGGCCCCGCACTTTTTCCCTGTCCTCTTTCTTGCATCTGTTCGGAGCTCTATTTTCTCTCCTCCTCTTCTTCTTCTGTTTTCTTTCTTTTGTTTTCTTTGTTGGTGTGTGGATGTGGCAGGAGGCGAGAGCCAAAATGAAGGATGCTGTTTCTCAGACACCGAATTAAATTGTAAAGCCTCCCGGTGGTGTTGTACACTGACTACAGAGGTTGACTCCACATGTTTTCACCTCAGTTATATTCGAATGAATCTAAAATCTCCTCTTCTTTGACAGGATACAGAGCAAAGTACTTTCCTCTGTATCCAAATTCAAACTCAACAATGAGCCTGAAGGTTAAACTACCTGCCAAAGATCATAAAGCTCAGCAGTTCCTCTTGATTTAGAAGTACCTCAGTATTGTACGATCAACACTCCAGGGTGGAGGCTGAGATCTGCACATGTTGAGCTCAGATCCACTGAGCAGACTGTGGCTGAAACCACAGAAGTGGATGGTATGTTCAAAATGGGATTTTACATATTTGATGTATGATTCCTCTCAGCCCCTCGTTATGGGAACAGGGGCCTCTGGGAACAGACTAAACGGCTGACTTGCATGAAAACCACTGGAATGAACAGAGACGTGAACATGGGGTTTTCGACTTAGTACAGCTCCTGATAGCTTGGTGTGATAAGACAATGAAATAACTGAAGATTTCACAGCATCTGTGCTTGATAATTAAAGAGATAAGCTTCTTTATATGAGAGATCTCGGCAGTTAGACATCAATCTGTTGTATGACAGAAATAAAGGCCGTACTCATGTTCGACTTCATGCAGTTTTGAGGTTAAAGATTCTTTTGTAATGGGGATACTTAAAAGTCCTCCTGGAATTAAAAACTCCAGATTCTGTCTCCCTCTCCGTCAGTGAGAGGAGTGCCAGAGGTTTGATTGAGATGCTCTGGGATGAACGACCATCAACCAGGAGAGGAAAGAATTTTTCCCTGGAAAGGCAGGTTGCACTTTCCTGGACAGACTGCGACACAGTAGTCAGCCAACGCATAGTTTAGTAGAAGGAACATAAACGCACATGTTTCTTCATGCACGGGTGCAAATGAGCGGGATGAACACACACGGACACACACAAGACTTTACACTTAGACAAAAGAGAAAAAATACACACATCCAGCTGAATTACACACGCTGACCACTTGACGTCAGCAATACAAGGAGGATTTTTTTTTTCACGGTTTTATTTCAAGACATGACCTCAGGTCTGTTCCAGGGAGAGGTCTGTACTTTTTATTGGATAATCAAAGCAGAGTCTCACACACAGAGGTGCTTTTTCTGTCCACAGAGAACATTCTTATAAAGGTGCACAAAAAAAGCAGCACACCACAGCCTCATGTGAGTGGTCATTAGAGCTTTTACCTGCTGGAGAACGACAGTATTTTTCCAAAAGTTGAGCAACCTAAGTTTCTAAAACAGGCTGATGTGCTGAGTGAGGGTCATTGGGGGACATATGCAACACTTTGCCATAACAGCAAAGTGTCCAGTTTTCCCGATCAGCACCATCATCTGAACCAATGATCTTACCTGGTGTGGACTAAATTCATCCAGATCTACGTGTCATTTTAGTTGACAGAGTAAATCAAACCTCCTTACCCGTCTCTGTAGTTGATGACTGTATCGATGATGGTGTTCATCTGCTTGGTGAGTCTGGGGGGGTTGGGGGAGAGTTTCTCAGCTGGAGGACGTCCGCGTCTCTTTTTGGCCTTGGAGCTTCCCTCGTCTCTGCTGGATGAGTCTTTGTCTTGACGTCTTTTACGTTTGCGCTTTTTCAGCCGGATCTCCTCCTCCATCTCCTCCAGGTTCCCGTCCTCAATAGCCTGATGAAGAAGAAGTAGAAGTTACGATCTGTCCTTAATCACTTTACGGCTTCAAATATCAAGTCTTTTTCGATAAACGCACATTTTTCACAAACTATCTGTGTCATCACATTTACAATTCTCAAGGTGATGAGATGGCAACAACAACAACAACAGCAGCAGCAGCAGCAGGTACTTTCACTGACAAGTTTCTTTTGATAGTCTCCTTAGATTATTTTCAATTTCTTGCGCTGTGCAAAAAAAAGTCTCTTTATAATAATAATAATACATTTTTAATTAGAAACTCTCAGAGTAACTGCAGTTCATAATGTAAACACTGTGTCTCCTTGGTCTCCAAGCTCCTTTGTTCTGTTCTTGTTTCCCCACATCACCTCAGCTCCAGTCAATAAAATAGATCTACCCAGGTGACATGTCTGTCTGCGTGTGTCTGCTGCTGTAAGCATCAGTCTGAGATAATCTTTGTATTAAATCCAGTCAAGAATGATTGATTGCTTTAGTTTGAGCAACATTTCATAAAAAACTGCAGTGAGCAGCTGTTATATGAAAACGCTGAACTTTGTTTTTGAAGAGTTGTAACTTTTGATCCATTGGGCTTTGACTGAGACAAGGAGGTGGGGCTGTGAGATTCAGTGTATAATAAAAACTTCTGATAACTTTCTTATCTAAAAAGTGGGCTGCGATGTACTAGAGGTGGGTGCAATTCATCGATGTGTCAATGCATCGTGATGCTTCAGGTGACGATTCAACATCGATTAATGAACATCAATGCTTAAAATAAATAAACAAATAAATAATAACATTGGTGCTACAAGGCCAGAACAAAAAAACACTTTACCGGAACCTTAACGTGCGCCGCACAGACTGTTTAGTGAGTGGGACCACAACAAACAGAGCACGTATGAATGACAGTATCTTAGCGAGAGCTACACATCCTAATAGAAACTGTATATTGCTGTGCTGGTGCAGAAACACTGACCCTTTCCCTTCAGGAAGCCCCCTAAAAACAGACTGCCTGAGTGCCAATTATTCCACAGATTTTATGCTGAGTGGACCGAATATGGATACATGAACAATCCTTTATTCTTTCCAGAATTAGGGGTCTTTTATTTTTTCATCTTGTCTTTGTGAGACTAAACAAAACCAAGACATTAAACTACAAAGACCGTATCAGTACTCTGGATAACAAAACAAGTTTTTCATTCTCAAAGTTGTAGAGCTGGAAAAATGTATCATATTTTTAATTACAGAGAACGACGTCGTGCTATTCAAATCAGACGGTAAATTACTCTGGATTGCTGTAATTAACAGCTGGAGAGCTGGGTTCACAAGAAGAGGAGAAAAAAAGGTTTTCCATTCCGCTGTTTGTTTGTGTGTGTGTGTGTACTGAGGGATTTCTGTTTGGTGGTTGCATTTCCTTTCAAATGTTTTACATGTACATTCACGGTGAAGGCCACAACAACTTGAATACATTACCCGGAGCCATTGTTTCTCAGTGAGTGCATCACTGTAGTCCACATCACGACGACAGCGTGACCCTCGCCCGAACATCTTCTCCTCCTCCTCTTCATATGTGAGCCGTTCCACCTCAGCGTCATCCTTGATGATCCAAGAAGGCAACTCGTCCTCCTCCATGAGACGAGGCTTACGCTTCGGGTTCCTTGCGTGCTCCCGGCGGCGGTCCATATCCATACGCTGCAGAGCAAGAATTTAGCAAAATCAGTTTCTTTATGCTGTACCACACACAAAGTTTTTAACAGTGATAAAAATTGTTCTTTTTAAACTCCTTTTATGTGTTTTTCTCACCATGAAGAGCTCAAATTCATCTTCGTTGCGGGCTATCATCTGGTTTAAGGTCTCGTCATCAGGTACTTCGTCTTCTTCCTGCAATTGCATTTGGAAATCATCAACAATCTCCTTCAGACTTGAAAATCGTTTTACTAGATTTAGCAAAAGGAAACCACAGATGCTTCATTCAAATCAAGTTATTGTGCACACAGGTTTAATCAAACACTTAAATCTGAAACGTCAAAAGCTATGTGAGACAAGTGCACTATGATCGTAGGGGAGCCTCTAGCTCTGAAGTAACTGAATCACAACCAGCACACTGACATCAACTGGAGCAACAAAATCCACTTAAAGACTCCCATATTCATATAAAAACCTGCAATGAAACACAAATACCTAACCTTAGTCCCCAGATGATAAACAACAGTACCTCATTCTGCTCCTCGTGCTCCAGGATGGCCTGCAGGAAGACCCGACGCTCATGGCTGGAGGACTTTTGGTCAAACATGCCCGCCTGGATGACCTTCTGATCCACATTTAGTTTGTATTTGGCAGCCGCCAAGATTTTCTCCTCCACGCTGTTGACAGTGCAGAGACGGAGCACACGCACCTCATTCTGCTGACCAATGCGATGAGCCCGGTCCTGAGCTTGAAGGTCCTGGAGTTAGATATATTCAGTCATTAAAGCTGGGTTAGTATTATACAAGAATTACTGAACAAAGAACAATATTATTAAGAATGAAGGGCTTCTGTTACTGTATCCATAAACACAGGCAAGAAACTGAACCATGCAAAGCAAAGGTGAAGCGGAAAGCTGACCTATGGCCTGTTGAATGAAAACATGGGGTCTTTTTAGGAGTCATGGACTCTGTATCTTCAGTTCTTAAGGGGACAGGGACTACCTGGCTTGATATCAGTTGCACAATTCAAAGGCTAGCATTGCTGGTGGTCTGGGGGTGGAAACCATAAAGGGGATATTCCGGTGTAATATTGTCAAACACACCGTAACACACAGTTAAGACACCCCGTCGAGAGATGAATGTTGCAGACTGCTTGCTTCTCTAGTTAGACCAACTTTAGTAACGACCACACAAACCTCAACCAAACTGCCACTCTATAGCCACAAATAATGCTCAGAACAGCACCTAACTTCATCAACAGTACATACAGGGTCCCAGCCATAGTAACAGCCATGAAACATCTTTTTAGCTTTGCCTGATTTCTTCAGCAAAGAGACTAAACACAACTCAACTACTCTCCTCCAGCTGCCTCGTTTGTGGCAAAGTCCTGACGAGTCGATCACCGAGTGCAGCGAAGTTTCGCAGCTCGAGAAAGAACATTTATGATCATTTCTTCATGGAAATGCAATCAGACTGAGATGCTGAAGCAGAAGAACTACCGCATCTGCAGTGCAAAATGATCAATATGGTGATTATTACTTCAAGGAAATGATCTGCTGCACTCGGTGATCAACTCGTCAGGGCTCCCCCACAAACAAGCAGCCACTGGAGGAGAGTGGGTGAGTTGTGGTTGTTACTTAAGTTGGTGTAACTAGAGAAACAAGCAGTCAGAAACATTCATCTCTTGAGGGGGTGTCCAACTCAGTGTTATGGTGTGTTTGACCATAACTTTAATTTACGCTGGAATATCCCTTTAATGCTGAATGATGGATACAGGTTTTGGAGCAACATAAGCTGCCTAGAGGACAGCACCTTTTTCAGGAAAGACCTAACATATTTCAGCAAGACAAATCCAAACTACCTTAAAGATGTATTTCAGCAGGATGGATCTGTAGTGGGAGAGTCTGGGTACTTAACTGGCCTGCCTATGGTCCTGATTATTTCTTTAAATACTTTCTTTTTCTGGTATGTTCAATAACAAAAGGGATAATAAAGAGCAGGGACTGCTGTTGGGAAAGTCTGCTTTTTCATGATGAGTATGTAGATGGTATGAGACATTTGACACTATTTATGAAGACTCTTCCAAGCAACTGTGGGGACTTTTGAGCTGTTTGTGAAACAGACTAAAATTGTTACTGATTACCCAAACCATGAACAAAAGTGCATATGCTTACAACCCCTCTGATAAGTCTTTATTTTTTTCTCACTTCAACAGTACTCAAGAAAACAAGACAGGTAAAGAAATAAGAGACTATCTTGTTGACAGGTCTCCAAAAAGCACCACTCAAAAGTAGCTCAGGCAACTTTGGGAAGATGCACTGACTTCTTTTATCTTCCTGTTTGTTGTCTTTCTCTCAGCATCTTTGAACATCATATAAATGTTAAAGTTGTCGAGTGAAAAAGAAAGAAACAGACAAAAAAACTTCAATTTTGGCCGTCCCTGTTAGCTCAAACAAACAGTAGGCTCTGTGTCACACACAAACTCTCCTGTTTGTTGGAGCACTGACACACAAAGTCAATGTCAAAGAGCGAATGATTAAAGGCATCAACACTCATCCTCTGGGGCTCATGCAGGTGAAGTTGAAATACCAACTTTTTATTTGGTGATCCCTGTCCTGAATTCTCACTAAAAGAGCAGCTTTTAAACCGCTGAGGATCTGCCTTGCCATGCACTCAGAATACAGATAGAGAAGATGCTTATTAAAAAGTTACATTGGCATTGGAAAGTAAAGCTTTGTTTTCTAAAGGGATATAATCGAGTCTTCCACTTTTGATTGTAGCTGAGTACATGCGAAGGCTTAAGGTGTGAATGAGCCAGCGTTCATCTCATTTGCAAACTGTGCAGCTAATTAAGTCACGGCTGTGGTGGCAGACGTTGCACTTGTCTGGAATGTGAAATAACACTGAATAAACTTGTTTATTCAGTGTGCTGCCAGGCTTGAGGTAAACATTTAAGAGAAGATCTTTGTTTGTATTATTCATTAAAAGTGAGTTCCATAGGAGTTTAGAAGAAACAATTCTGTCTTTGACTGAAGGCTTTCTATAAACATAAAAAAATCAGGATATGAACCAGCTTGAGTCAGGTATCCGTGTGGCAGCTTTAATCACTTTTGTGTTGATTGGAGCTCTTTGAAATCAGAAAAACGAAAAGCAGGAGGACACTGTCGCCGGTCTCAGTGTTGTTTACACTGACAGAAACAGAAAGAGTCTAGAAAAGTAGGTTTATATGATATGTCATTGAAACTGTCAAAGTCCTGTCCTAAAAAAGCTCAACATCAGGTGATCATCATCAAGAAATGTACCTGATGTGGGTTCCAGTCACTGTCAAAGATGACCACGGTGTCTGCAGCCTGCAGGTTGAGCCCGAGTCCTCCGGCTCTGGTGCTGAGTAGGAAGATGAAGTACTGAGATCCCTCCTCATTAAATTTCTTCAGCAGAGCCGCCCTGTCTTCAGACTTTGTGGTTCCTAATGCAACAAAAAAGTCTGTCAAATTAACTCTGATACAGTCTGCTTGAACTTTGTCTTCATCTTTCAGTGGAGCGAGTGCCAGAGTCAGGGAAGTAAAAATGTCACCGTACCTTCTTTTCTGACCAATTAAACAGACTCAGAGTTGTTGTTTGGGAAAAGCCCGTGAAATGTCTCTAATTAACGCAACAACCACACAAGTTCGCAAGTTCTTAATTTTCTTATTTAATGATTAAAAAATGTTATTCTTTTTATCATAAAGAAATGCCGAGTGGGATTTAACGTGTGATCAAAACTTAACATTTTAAACCTAATGTTTGCGGTATTTAAAAGTCTGTCTGGATGCAAACTGGGGATTCACTTTGGAAGAGCCTCACATTAACTTCAGATTCTGTGTCCAGAGCTAGAAGCTGAGACGATTTCTTGTTGTGTGAGATGCTGATTTGATCTATTTAGTGTAGACTCTCTGATGAGACTACTCAAACATCCGAGCGTGAAATATTTTAATTCTTTTATTCTGATGTGTCTGGTTCAGCTTAAATTAGAAATGAGAAACTGATCCTTTAACCACACCAATCACACCAAGGGGGTTAAACTGATTACGAGTCTAAAATCTGACTAAACGCCAGAAAATAATCTCATCTCGTTGGACGGACTGGTAATCAAGCAGTCATTTTTCTTCCATGGAGTTTTTCACAGTTTTTTTTATACGTTTACTCTCATGTAAGCAGTTCTACCAGATTTGTGATTGTCTGACTTGAGCTAATCTTTGTCACAGGAGCCCTGAATTCAGAGGAGTCAGCTCCACCAGTGTTGTCTCAGAGTCTCATTTTCACTCACTTGGGCAGAAAACCGTTCACACTTCTGAGTCTGGGAGTAATTAAGGAGATTAACTCTGCAACACAAATTCACAGGCTGAATTAGAGAAACTCAGAGCAGCATAGTATTCTAAGAATTTTACATCGAAATACAAATGAAAAATACAAACCATCAGCTCAAGAAACTACTCATGATTTGATGTACTTCCCTGGATGTATCACCCAGTTTGCAACACATGCACAATCCTAAACTCCACACTCAGACTTTGAGAAGCATTTCCACTGAGGCTGTGAGTTCTTAAAGCTGTCCCGCTGTCACAATAACAAGTCCAGGAGGGCTCTAATGCAGACTGACTGTCTCTTTGCTTGTGAGAAAGCCTCGTTTGTGTTGCTTTGTTTTGTAGCGCCCGGCACTGATGGCTGTTTGCAGTTTCAGGGAAAGTTCACGGAAACTTGAGACAGAAAGTCGGTCGGTATTACTTTCAGCGTAGAAACTAGAGCTTACCATCAAGACGCAAATACAGGAAGTTGCGATAGCTGAAGTAGTCCTCCATGATTGTCATAAGAGTCGTCATCTGACAGAAAAGAAGCACGCGGTGGTTTGTGGCATGTAGCTTTGGCAGGATGCGGTCCAGGAGCTCAAACTTGCCAGATGCTCGATACAGATCATGCCTGGGTGGAGATGATTAAACATGTATCACAAATCAATATCTGTCATACTGTACACATGGCTGTCTGGTACCTTTAGTTTTAAAGGCATTAGTGGTACAAATTAAATCTCTGATGCACTCGTTTGACTCATTTGTTAAACGTGAACTCTTCAATATTGTAGTATTGTTTTGCTAAAAGAGTTTGCATGGTGGAGGTTAAACATTGGTGGAAATGCTTCATTAAAGGTGGGCTAGACAGGAATCCGTTAAAGAAGCATCTTTTTTGTGGTGTATATGCACGCTCCACATCCATGAATAACGTGCACGAGCCCAAACAAAGTTAGCGTGCTACAATATCGGACAGTAGAAACCAAGAAAAGTACAGGAAATTGTCTGAATCCTCCTTTGGCCACAACTGCCAACACAAGCAAGAAAACGAAGTAAATACCGAAGACTCTGGCGGAATAACGGGCGCTTAAAACAGAGGTAGACCGGACAAGAGCTAAAAAGCCGGGTCAACATCAACAATTAAATCATGGGGGACACTTTGGGATCTTACTGGCCTTGTAACCCTTCTGCTGGACAGGTAAACCGCTTAAATAAAGCCAAGTGTCTGTAACTGAAGTGTTTCTTGTCAAACGGGACCCGCTGCGTGTTGTAGTGCTGCGAAACCGTTTACCTCGGGTCCTGGAGTATGTCCCTTTATCCTAGTTTTAGAAGTCCTGCAAACATTGTGTTTGCTGGTAATCTGTTGGCATCTACAGTAGCAACAATGCTTTTTACTTTCACATTGACTGGGCCCCATTTGTAATTATCTGAAATATTTAATTGAAACGATACGAGCGAGCAGGAGCATCTGTTTGTGGGCGGTGCTTGCTGGAGCAGAGAGGGGAGAGGAGGAGCTGAGGGGAAACCTAATGGGGGGGGGGGGGGGGGTTTACATGGCACTGGCACTTACTCAGATCCTGCCTACCCCACCTTTAATTTTGTGGTAAATTACACATTATCCAAGGTCATAAAGCCTGCAGAATTTAGCATTGCTGTAGATCGATGGATGCAAACCCAGCTGTAAAATCTCATCAGCTTTAGCAGGTTAGATATCTTTAAATCAGTAACATTCTTCTTAGGCAGAAGTCAGAAGAAAGTTACTGCATCCTAAGTGGGTCATTCTCATATTGAGGTGAATTGCCCGAGCACTTGTTTCCACTGAAACTAACAGTGGGAGACACAGTTAACCTCCGATCTTCAGCTTTATCAGACAGAGTAACTCCATTCAACTATCATTTTTCACTTAGTCTGACACATTTGCAGCTCCCTGTATAGCAAACAGAGGTTAAACTTTGATAACTGCTCAACCCACCATGAAAAGGAAGGACTGCACAACTCATTATTTTTAATTAGTTACAACCAGCTTTTCAGATGACCCCCCTGCTGTGTCAACAACCGTTTGGTGCTGCAGTTTTATCCACAAACTCGAGGCCTGTGATCCTCTAACAGGCGGTGTCAGCGCTGCAGGTAGATCGATGAAAGTTGAAAAAGTTCCTCCCAGACACTTTTCATTTCTGAAACTATTTCAGTCAGTTATATGAAAGAGGAATTTTCTTATCAAATCAGTGAATTTCTTGGAAATCATATGAGACAGAAGCTTATGTGTCTGTCTGTGTGTGGCTGTGCTGAGTGCACTCACTACACGGGAGCAAAGCATTACTGGATTTCTGTTATGGATGAACAAAGTGATGAAATCTCTCCTTTAGCAGCATTTGATGGAGAGTTAGAGTGTATAAATCCTTCAACACTCTATCTCTATTCAACAATGTGGTTTGAAGTACAGGAGGGACAATAAATTGCATTGAATTGATTCACTCCATAAATAGTTTGGACCCTATTCATAAAGTTATTTCAAAAGTCCTGTGCTTCGGTAGTGTCCAGAGTGAAATAAAACCTCTCATCTGGTTTTCTACTGTTTCTCCAAAGTTCATCTGCTGTTTTGTTGTAACAGGGTGTGAAAAGGAGAGGTGGGTGATTATAGTTTCATTAGCATCTCAAACACACATCCTGGTGTCACACACACTGTGTGTTTGGAGATGATTTCCTGCTTTGGCTTGTTTCTCTCTACTTAGAATGAGCAATTATCTCCAGGTTTGTTCAACACATTAGGTGTCAAATTACTTCACTGTTTCTTTGAGCTCACATTGTTGTTAATAGCTATCATACAGGTGTCAGGTTGTACATATCCAGTTTGAAGGCTATAGTGTGCGCGCTAATCTGGATTAGCATCAAATAAGTACATTTTACAGAGCACACTCTTCAGCTGATGATAAAAGAAAAGAGAAATAAGACTGGATGAGTTTTACAGCTCCAATCTCATTTCCCTTGACTTGGATCAGAATGGGAAAGTTCAAAAAACAGTTTCTGGTCCAGCTTACCCGTTGATGATGCCGTTGGGATAGCCCAAGTGTTCAGCAAAAGACTCCTGTCAAAGACAACATTTTCAGGGTTTAATGAGAGGAGACTTTTAAACCAGCTCCTGCACTTTTCTCAGGATGCCCTGAGGCTAAACTTCGGCAACAATTGTCTGCGCTGTCACTCAAAATATAAGACAAGGAGCTTTGTGATTGTTAGTGTGACTGATGATCCGTTTTTTTATTCTGACATTAAATCAGTTTTTCACTCAGAGGGGTTATACCAGGGAGCAGGTACGTGCAGGAAACTGGTCTCATATTTTTATGTGACGAGGTAAACACAAAACTTTAAAAAGCCAGAGTCGGTGGTCTTTAGCAGCGCTCACCTCAATATGCTGGAACATGTATGGATGGTTGCAGATCTTCTTCAGCTGCATGATGGTGTTCATCAGGGTCTTTGCTCCACCTTTGCCCTACAGGAGGTAAGATCATGAATTAAAGAGCACTCGACTGTAACTTTGAGGATTTGCTTGTTGTAAATGTTAACCTACAAAATTGGATTTCTTCAGACTAAGTGTGACATAGAGGACAACATATAAACAACACTGTGATTTTTGAATCTAAAAATGTCAATCTGGGCAAAATCAATCTTCATTTGGAGTTTTCTATTGACAGAAATTACTAAAGTTTTACCATTCTCTGGTTTTGGGCAAGTACCATACAATAGTTTAAGATGTCTTCTAATTGAAGTAGCTGCTTCCAACAGCTGAATGTGACACTATAACAGCATCAAGAGTGAATTAAACAAGTACATTAGGTACAAGACAGCTAATCAAAGAGCTTAAACCTGCTTTAAAGCTCTATGGAGTCTAAAGGACTCATAAATTCAGACGAAAGACTCCTACTGTTTGTCATTACAAGAAATGCCTTTAACTTTTTAATTGCTCTGGATAGTGTGAAAAGCTTAGCTATATTGTGCAGCCTTGTAAGGGTTTGTTGGTTGGAAAATTTTGAGGTCTCTATTTCAATCTGCTTGAAACATTTGCAGGTTGTTCTTTACAGAGAACAAAATGTGATTATTGATACTAAATTGAAGGCGAAGGTCCAAATCCAGCCTCAGAACTGAAATACAATTTTAAATGTGCTCTCATCTTTGGCAGACACAACGTCTTGTCCATCACACTATGCATTTTTAAAAGAAAGAGAGTAGGCGGACAACAACTCCAGGTACAAAACCAAACTCTTCTGATGTCAGACAGCAGGACCCTGCGAGTATCTCTGTTGTATCAGCTCTACAGCTCAGTTTGTCAGCTTGACACGCTGACAAAACAAAGCACAGACAGACAGCAAAGCCACAGGGGTCTCAGTATGTTTACCTTCTTGTCTTTCTCGGAGCCGTCAGTGAGAAGAATCCCTTTCTGCATGTGGCGGTACAAAACCTTCTGTATCGCAGACATGTCACATTTAATGACGTACTCCACCTGAGTGAATGACAACAAACAAAACGCATCAGTGACAGGCCTGTTAGAGCTGACACCAGTGTCTTTGTGAAAGTCACTTCGTTCTTTACAACAAAGAAAATAAAGAAAATGGGCAGGGAGAATTCAAAGCAAAGACTCTAAAACATTATAAACACGACAATCATTCAATTCTTTACACTGGTCAAGTTTCTCAAGTATTTTCTAATGAAAAGCTGAGAGTGTACTGCACAAACACATTTCAGTTTCTGCTCAAGTTCCTCAAAGCAGCCCTAACCAACCTCTTAATGCCATCTGTTTGCCTGAGGATGAAGCTTTAATTCGATCTTAAGTTCCCATTTAACACCTTGAAAAAAGCAGTTTGATTTTGCATACCGAGTCTTTTGAAATTAGAGTTGGAGAGACATGAAGGTCTTATACTTACGGAAATTTATTGCTAATAGCTCTTAAGTGCATTGGCCTCTCTGCTCAGAAGGACATGGAAAACTCAAAAATGATTCATTGGACACAAATTTAGTGCTTTTATCAATGTGCTGAGTGCAAGACAAGTCTTGTAAAGGTTGTTGTTTGTTTTCAGGCTTTTAAAGTATAAAAAAACCATTAAGAATAACTAAAACTTTTTATTTGTTTGAAAGACCAAATTCAGGCTTAAAAGGTGGCAACCAATTTAAGGAAAACATCGACCACTTCCACTTTCAGAAGGAAAACACGGCAAGATCTTTTTTTTTTCAAACCTTGGGTTGAAGAACATTTTTCTGGGATTCCTGGACTATTTCTCCACCTTGTCTCTGACTGGATGGTGAACCTCTTCCAATCTTGACTTCTGAGACACTCAGCTTCTCTGAAGTGTCTTTTCGACACCAACTCATGTTCCTTACCTGTTACAAGTTAACACCAATAGTTGGGAGACGTTCCTCCAGGTTATTTTTTCTGTATTATCTTGTTACGGTCCCAACTTCTCTCAACAGCTGCTGATTTCAAGTTTAATATGAAGACATTTCCATTTAAAAAAATCTACATTTTCAGTTTTGAAATTTGATTTTTGTCTTACACTATTTACAGTTAAAGGAAAGCGTCACATTTGTTGTCAACCGTCACATTCAGGAATCAGTACTGTACATTGCTTTTGTGTGCAGGATGATATTTAGGGTTGCATTACGGTGTTACGCCACCGACTTTTAGCTTCCTGCTGCTGCTGCAGGTTTGCAGCTGGATGTTGGATTGGGAGAGTTCACTTTGACTGACTTCTAGACTACTTAGTGCAGAGGCTACTTTTCAGCTCCATGTTAAACCTTAAACACACAGAAGTGAAAGAGGAGGTTGAGGTAGAACTGTTAAATTTGAGTGTTTATGTCCACAGTTCATTTCAATAAAAGGTGAATTTGTAAACAACAGCAGACTATTTTTGTTTTAAAAATATACTTTATACTTTTCTATCATCTTAGCAATTAGTTGCTTTTAAGAAACAGGGCTCTGAAGTTATTACTCTTTTCCATTAGGATGAACTCTGTCAGCGCCCTGATGAGATAATACACCGGTCCTGTTTTTACGGTAGTTTAAGCTCGACAAATAGGACTGCAGTTAGACCCAGAAGTCAAGCTGAAACAATTGTACAGGTGAATTAATTGTTGCCCAGGCGGAGAACACTTGATCCTTATCAGAGGCTAATTCACATTTGTTTCAAAGAGCTTCGCCGCTCTGACAAAGTGGCCTCTTCGCTGCATTTTTAATCACTATTTAAAGCAGGAGAGTGGCCTGTTCCAGCAGTTTCAAGGACATCACTTTTAATTATTGCTGAATAAGTAAAGCTGTGTTAATTTCAGGGTTGTAAGAAAAGAGCAAACGCACTTCAGCTTGAAAAACGTTTTCGTTGGATCAGCTTTGAGTGACCATGAATGAAGAAACAGCGGACACATGCTGTTAACAAACACACATTGAAGATGTTTTTAGCTGATTGAACAGCGGTGAAACATTTCTGTATTTAAGATCATGCAACAAAGAGACGGAATCTGTTTCAAAGCAAAGCATGATCATTTCGCTCAAGTCTCACCTTCTCTGGCAGCTGAGACTCCACCTCTTTCTTCAGTCTGCGCAGCAGGAAGGGGCGGAGCACCTTGTGCAAACGCCGAATGATCAGGATGGTCTCCTCTTCATTGAGGTCAACCTGAACAAGTAAACAAGAGGAGCAGTATGTTTCAGAACATGCCAGATATTTACAGGTGCATCTCAATAAGTTAGAACGAAGGGAGAAGTTTTGTATTTTCTGTTAGTACATATAAATGAACATACTTTTCACAAGCTGAATATTTCTGTCCTCTAAATCTGTTTTTGATTCATCTGAGGACATTTCCTAATAGCTCTGAGATTCTGGATTTCTGATATTCATGAGCTACTAGCCACATTTAACAAAACCGGCTCGAAATATTTCACTTTGTACATCACAAATGAAGAAACTGTAAAGGTTCCCCTCTTTTTAAGGTAAATAACAAAACAACTGAACTTTTTCCTATTCTTCTAATTAGCTGAGATGTGTCTGTACCCAAAGGTGCAGCATGACTTGATACAGAACTAACTCACATTTACAGGAAATACTGATTCAGAATCAGCAGTCTGCATAGCCCAGTCCTCTTGTTTGGTAGCCATAGTGAGCAATGCTTTTGAGTGTCAGTGCACATGGTGTTTTTTCATTCTGCACTCCCAATAGGTGCAGCGGCTGTTTTTCAGACATTCAGAGATAAAGTTGGGGGACTGAGCACTTCCTTTGATGTACAATGTTTGTTTGTTGATGTTTGTAATGTGCAATGTCGTTGTCTTTCCCATAATGTACAGTCAGTGAAGATGATTTTCCCCAAGGGGACCAAATAAATCAAATCTCAAATCTCAATCTCAATAAATCAGGTTCAGATTTTTCATCAGCCTGCGATAAAATTCAAACTCAGAATCAAAAAATAGAAAAGATTAAAACCCAAGCACCCATGAATAACGAATGAGAATGCAGGTGTGCGACCTTGACTCTAGCTTTACAGGAAACAAAGACCTTTACCTGTTATTCATTATAAAACCATTCATCCTAGATTTTAATTGTGTGTATAAATAAAGTTTTTTCACATTCATAGTTAAGGTTTTTAGTTTTGATCAGCCTCTGAAGGTTATTTAGTATATACACATTAAAAAAGCATAGGTTTCAGAATGAGGTTGTGTTTCCATTTCAGAGCATTCAGTAATGTTGACATTGAAAGAGTCAGTTTTAATCAGTTCAAGTTGTTTAAATTCTTGGGTTTAATTACTTAGTGCAAAGGCCTCGCTCCTGTATTCAGATGCACCAAGGTTTTTCTCTCCACAAACATGTGACGGACTTGATGTTCTTTGCAGGTTCATCAAATTGAATAGCGTTGGTTAATCAAAGTACTGGTAGACTATTTGAAAAACTAAAACAGCTTGGCCTGTGCAGCCTTGAATGTCTCTGTCCTCTCTCCTCAAAGACATAACCTAAGTTTATAAAAGAAGAAGGTAATGTGTTTTTTTTTTTTCATTAGCTAAACACCTGTCTGCCCTCTAGCCACTTGATGTGCTTTAAACAACTGCAAGCAGAGTCTCTACCCAGGCTGTCTCTGCCTGTGCTTACCCTCTCTCCTGTCATGGCGAACGGGGCGTTGAACCACTGCTCGAAGGTGCTGCAGCTCTTGAAGATGGTGGGCAGCAGGAAGTTGAGCAGAGCCCACAGCTCAGGCAGTTTGTTCTGCAAAGGAGTCCCAGTGAGGAGGAGGCGGCGGGGGGCTACGTAGTGGGTGTTCAACACCTGGGTCAGCTTGCAGTGGTGGTTCTTCATGCGATGACCCTCATCCACAATCATGTACTTCCAACGTATCTGCATGTTGAAAGACATCTTTTACAATTTTGTTCCAACACTTTGGAAAAATAAATAAAAAAACACAGAGAGAGAAATGAAGCATGTCTAAGTTTGGATACTTGAAATAATGATAACGGCTGAGCTCAGGGGGGGCTGCACATGAGACAACTTTGATTTTTGGCCGTGAACACCTTCAGGGTAAATGACATGTCTGCATACAAACAAGAAGTTTCTTACTCCCTCTCTCATTTCATATGCTGATCATTTCTGTTTCTGCATGGACTTTTTTAATGGCATGAATGAATTAACATGAATAAAAGAGCACACTCACTCTTCTACGAATTATTCCAGTTCAGTGCCGCAAACTTTATTGGATTTACTGCAGCTTGAATTGATCAAACTGAAAAGCTTTACTGCAGAGTTGTACGGTATAGAGAAGAGAAGTGATCAAATTAATGATCCACATCAGATGCTGGCTGTCCTGATGGTGCAAACCTTATGGTACATCTGTTTTCAGAGATACAGCAGACACATAAAAACTGAACTTTCCTTGTCTGGAGAACACAGAACACAGATTCATGTCACTTTTCACAACTATGTAAACAGAAGAAATTGGAGCCCTGTGATTTGGGGTTATGCATAACAAGTGATTTTGATGTATGGAGATTGTTCTGGATGCATCTGCTGAAGGACAATAAATGGAAAGCAAAGAAAGAAAGGTATTATGTTCCTTTTTTATTTAAGAAATGTGCCCAACACTTGTTTATAACTTCAAAAGAAAGTTTGTTTCAGGTTATTTTCTAATATCTAGAAGTCCGACTCTTCACACATGCAAGTATGATTCACCTCTTGTCAATTTTTACTGTTAAAAAACTCTTTTGATACTTTTTTTTTGCCCATAACAACTACTTGCTTCTTTTTGTCTTTCAACTCGTCCATTTCACTCACTGAAAATAAAGATGCTCGTGTTACTGGTGAACTAGAAATAAAAGGCTGCCTCTGTGAAAAGGAGACCCGTCTTTATGTAGACATAAAAAGTCCTTTTTAAGCTCACACAAAACCAAAAGAATGTTCATTCTCAGGTAATTTTACACTAGTTTAAACATATTTATAAAAATTAAATCCTATTACTTTTAAGTCTGTTCTGGTAAATGCCAACATTAAAGAGAATAACTCCAGAGAACAGCTGCCTCTGCAGGCTGCACAACAGCTGACATTTGACCTAAGGGAGTAGCCTTTAACCAGAGCTACTGCCCTAGCTAGTAACAAGTGGCTGGTACATGACTGGTATATCTGGCCTATAATAATAAAGACACTCATAATTTGTTTAAACTTCCAGCAATGGTGATGGGGTTTAATAAAATCATCACAAAATCATCAAAGTAATGTCTGCTGAGGTGATGAATCAGGATGATGTAAGGTATCTGTATTTTTTCTTTTTTCACGACATAAACTTTCTTTGCATTCATGCTATCCATTAGAAAGAAAAACAGGTTGAGGCTGTTTATGTCCTACTTTAGGTTACCAAACTAAAAGGCTCTGTCTGTTTCTGTATGACCTGAGTGCATCTTGTCTGACCTTCAGCAGTGAACCAAAGCTGCGACTGAGGCTGCTTTAATAAGGTGCTGCTTTCATTTCACAGCCTGTGAAAAACACAGAAACAGACTGTATGCGTGGGTTTAGTGAGTGAGGTAAACACCAGCCTCTTGAAGCCTTAAACATATTGTGTGATACTTTTTTTTTTTTTAAATACATTTCCAGGCCGACCTTGCTCGAGTATGGAGGTACATCAAGAGAAAGACGGGATTCACGGGGGTAAACAATCAGTAAAAAACAATTTGTGTGAAAGTAAAACTGCTGAAACAACAAAGCGCCATCAACAATAAAACTTTATGATGATGCATCATTTAAGAAACTCATGCATCATTTCATGTATTGAAGATTTGTGAAGTCTAATATGAGCGCAATGTCTCTGACTTTGAGTTAGCGCTTTGAAGAATGTTGCTGAACAAACTCTGACCCTGCTGACAGACTGTCAGTACAGAGTGGATGCAGTGAAATCATCTTTTCTTATCTCTGATTCAATTTGTGCCCAAGAGCCAACAAAAGTAGGATTAAACTGAGGCTCAAGTTTTTGCTATGCACTGTGAGTTTTTCACCCCCATCTGAACTGATACTCATAAATATCAGAGAGTTAAATCAAAGCAACAAACTCCGGGCTTGTGCACACCTCCCCAAGCTTCTGTGCATGTGAATTAATTCTCTACCTGCAAGACCAAACACTGCAAAGCCTTTTTAACAAGTCTCCCAAAAAGTCAATAAATCAATGACAGCTCATGCAGAGTGTTTCAGCTGCTAAGTGAGCAACACTTTAAACTCTGGCCCTTGAATTATAAAATCAGCAGAAGAGTCTCTTCAGTGAAAACTGTGGTAAAAAGGAGTCTGTACATGAAAGGGACTCTGGATTGAATAACGTGTCCACCTACTGAGATTTAGGACCAATGAAGGCCATACAAAAACCCATGCAGGGTTGCAACCCCAAAGTTGGTGAAGCCTGATTTAGATGTGGAGTTGGGGCTCTAGACAAAGGGCTACAAAGTGCCCACCTTTCAGTCAAACCCTTAAATACCCAAATTTATACATGACTTTATTCTTTGTTCAAGACTTTAAACAAGTTAAACTCTGTTGTAGAACGGGGCGTTTTAACATGAGCACAAATGTGACTTACATACAGGACACTAACAAAAGATTCAAAATAAACAGAATGGCAACAAAGAGCAAAATAGACACTGTGCACTTTTGGGAGAAGAAAAGCTTTGATCTCTTTCACCTTGGCCAGTATGTGCTTGTCCTTGATGATGTATTCATAAGTGGTCAGCAAAACATTGAACTTCCCGCTGCGAAGTTGCGGCACAAGCCCACGGCGCAGAGCAGGGGTGCCCTTTCATGGAGGAAGAGGCAGAGAAAATCTTACAGCTTACGGTCACAGTTGAGATAAAAGGGATCAATGCATTTTTCATGGTGGGAAAAAGAAAGATGATTTACCTTGTAAGCTATTTTCACCACAGAGGGCGCCCACTTGTCAAGTTCATAGACCCAGTTAGACAGAGTCCTGGAAAGAAAGAAATCAGAGACAATTACTGAAGACGTTGGAGGAGACAGGAGTGACATGATGCATGGCGCATAAAACCCAAAGCGCTCATTTTAATGTCCTGATCAAAACACTGATTGTAGTTCAAAATGCTTCCCTCTTCTTGCAGAGTTTAGTTAAAAGCTCACGCCCACAGGCAGATCAGTCTCTCTGCCCATTAACCTTGATTTCCCAACACACAATTGAGTTCAATTTAGGCTTTCTACTGAGTTTGACAACCAAAAGCAATACACTCCTCAACAAAAAGTTTAACAACAAAGTTTATCTGAAGTTCTAGCAAAAAATAAAAGGCAAAGTCAAATTTTCTTTTCAACAAGACTTTGGGCGTTACATCACACAGGTCCTCTGCAATCTACACCTGCAGAAGGTAAGTTTTGGAGCACTGAAAGTAATTTCACCTGTATGTATAAAGGAGGTGAAAAGGACCCAGGAGCTTTTGTTGACTCTTGATGTTTTTGGGTAAATGAAACAACTGAGCCCTTGTCTACACTGGAGAGGTTGTCTTCTACTCCTTCAAAGCAAAAGTCTGAGAGGTTTGACTTTGAAGATTTGAAGGGATTGAGAGCAGCACAACATACTTTTCATGAAGCTCAATAAAAGATTAACCACTCTGCCATATTTTTGAAACGACCAACAGGATACAAAGAGTGACTCCATGATGTGAACTATTTATTTGAACCTACTGGGGCGGCTTGATTATGAACAAAATCTTTTTTTATGATGGTGAGAAAGCGTCACTGCTGATTACAAATATTTTCTGTTAGTTTTGTGGAAACAAACAAAAGCTTATCAGGTGGAGAACAGGATTGTTTTCTAATGATTAAATAAACGGTGAAAGGTGGGGCTGCAATCCTTCAGCGCCTTTCTATTCTCCCTTCTCGCCTTCCTAAGTCACAATTACCCTTAAATGCCATCATTTACTGGCAGCAGAGGCAGCAGTGTCAAGTGCCCAGCCTCCTATCAGAGCTCAGCATGTTCCCACACATTCTCAATGCTGGCTATGACTTCAGGAGCAATTAGGGCTTTGGTTTCTTGCCCAGGGGCATACTGACCTGTAGAGGCCTGAGGCTAGAGACCCACTGTACCACTGTGCCAAAGCTGTTGTGAGAGATGCCAAGTTTGTGAAGAACCAGGTTACATTAAATCCATGGCTGTGTGTTCAAAGCATCAAGCATTATTTACGAGTAGGCTGAGTACAACAGGAGGTTTTAGGTTCTTACAAAGATGTGCAGTGTGCTGCTTGTAGCCTTACAGTGCCATGTTTCAGCTGGGACACAGGTCAGATAAAAAAGTTTAAGTCATACGTCTTTGGTTTACAGGAAAAGCTCCTGTAACATGTTATTGAATAAAAACACGTGAGTGCATCTGGTTGATACAGATGTCACTTGTAACCACAGGTTGCCATCACTTCAATACCCAATGTCATTAACATGCAGCTCACCATTGTGGGAAAAGAACTGGGGATTCAAAACACTAATCTAGCTTTATATTAAAAAAAAAAAAAAAAAGGTGCTGACAAAGAAAGTCCACGGAGCAGACTGATACAGAGAACGAGCTCCAGAATGAGGTGGATTAAGCTGGTCTGTGTGCAGCAAGAGATTAGAGGTGTGTTTTTGTGTGTCTGAGTGTGAGCGTGTGGAGGCAGGGGAGGAGGAACAAGGTCAGCAGATGAGTTTGGGACTGAACAACAGATCAAGGATGGGGATGAAGTAGAAACAAACTGTTGAACTTAAAGTCATATCTGCTTGTCATTTAGCTGATACATTACTGAAGGGTGTTTGGTTTGTTTGCTAGGCAACAAGTAGGGCCGCAATAATGTGCAGTTGTGAAGTGCATGTGTGAAAAGTAAGGTCAGGCCCTGATGTGTGCCAATAATTATTCATGAAAAGTCAGGAGCTTGTTTGTTTCCTCTTCGTCTGTTAATTTTGTTTTTCTTTGCTTCATGTTTTCTGTCCTGACTAATAAAATTGGTTGAGTTTCTTAGCAGCTTGTATGAGTCATCATCACGTTTTTACTGAGTCATGATGTATTTTAAAGTGATAAAATACTAATTTCTCCATAATTAACCTTGGTCCCACACATTCATTTGCATGTTTCACTGATGTTTAAACAAGCCTTGCTGAGTCCAGAGTTATTGCAATAATAACTCACTGCTGTTTGAGCCAGTCTGTGTTTGCAGTCAATTTTGACTTATCACTCCCTGCAGGCAGATGAGTTTTTCACACCTGACACTTGGATATAATTTGAGTTAAATTGCTTGCCATCGGCATCGGTGTTTCTATCACTGACGAGACTCCTGACTCCTCTGGTCTCTATTAGAGCTCCATGTTGTGATTTGGACTAATAATGTGGGTGTTTTTCAATCTGGAAGGATATCTTTGAGTAAATTTAAACTCTGTGTACATCACTCCCCTGCTGAAAATATTTCAGGATGCAAAAACACTTGATGATCAGAGATGTGATAGATGTAAACTGAGGAGTACTGACGAGAGAGGGACGATGATGAGGAAGGGGCCGTTGATCCTCTTGTACTCCATCAGGTAGGTGATGAGGGCGATGGTTTGGATTGTTTTGCCGAGGCCCATTTCATCGGCTAGAATGCCGTTTAGATTGTTGTTGTACAAGGACACCATCCACTCCAGTCCCTGGATCTAAAGAACACAGAGAAATAGAAATACACCTTAAAAATACTGAGATATTATTCACGGTCGGCCTTTTTGCACGTCTGAAATTAAGTATTCACTCTCCTGCAGCACACAGATGGCAAAACACATAAACAAATCAGAACAGAGGACACTTTGTGTTGTGTTCAAGGAAACTATCGTGAAGGTTTAAAGAGATTTTCCGGGGTATAATCAAGTTATGGTCAAACACACTGTAACACCGAGTTAGACACCCCCTCGAGGATGACTATTGCTGACTGCTTGCTTCTCTAGTTAAACCGACTTTAGTAACGACCGCACGATAGCAATACACAGCGGTCTACGTCTCCACGTGCAAACCTCAACCAAAAAGCTACTCTATAGCCACAAATAATGCTCAGAACAGCCCCTAACTTCATCAACAGTACATATAGGGTTCCAGCTATAGTACTAGCCATCAAACATCTTTTTAGCTTTGCCTGGTTTCTTCCTCATCAGGGGAAGCCCTGACGAGTCGGTCACCAACTGCAGTGGAGTTTCGCAGTTCAAGGAAGAACATTTATGATCATTACTTCATGGAAATTCGACCAAACCAAGATGCTAAGGCAGAAGAACTACCGCGTCTGCAGTGATGATTATTACTTGATTAGTACATGAAAATGATCCGCTGCACTCAATGATCGACTCATCAGGGATCCCCCACAAACAAGCTGCTGGAAGAGAGTGGGTGAATTGTGTTTAGTCCCTTTGCTAAAGAAAATAGGCAAAGTTAAAAAAGATATCTGGTGGCTACTGCTATGGCTGGGACCCTATATGTACTGTTGATGAAGTTAGGTGCTGTTCAGAGCATTATTTGTGGCTATAGAGTGGCTTTTGGGTTGAGGTTTGCAAGTGGAGACAAAGACTGCTGTGTATTGCTATCTTGCGGTCGTTGCTGAAGTTGGTATAGAGAAACAAGCAGTCTGCAACATTCATCCCTCAGGGGAGGGAGGGGGAGGTCTATCACTCGATTTTACGGTGTGTTTGACCCCAACTTAAATTTATGCCAGAATATCCCTTTAACCTCTGCGTCAAACTGCATGAAGGACTAAATGAAGTTTTTAAAGGCAAAATGTTACCTTGTTTAAAACAGGCATGGCAATTAAAAACACCCCTGATAGCCGAGGTGTTTCTTAAACAAAGTAAGTCATTGGTCATTACTGCGTTGTCTTTTTTAATCTATCCTGTCGCTTCTGGATATGACAGCCTAAACAGCTAAATTGCTGGAAAAACAGGGCTGCAAATCACCATAATTTTGGCCCAGGACTGCACTTTCAGTCAGCGCTTGTAAAAACAGTTTGATCCATCAGAAAATGATAAATAAATGTCTGTTTGACACCCTTAAACATAGTCTCAGTCTGGATAATGATTTTCAATTTGCAACCTCCTAAAGCTGTCTTTGTAATTAATGACCTGTTATGCATTTTCCCTGTCACAAACAATTCATAATGTCGGAACAACTTCTTAAAAGTTTTTCCAGATTGCAGCTTGCTTTGGTTATCTTGTCATAAAACTCAGCAGTATTTGTTTGAAGTTGGTCCTCCTCCCATCTTTACATCCCGTCAAAAACAAACATGTTTACTGTCATCATATCTCCTTTTCATTATTGCTGACGCAATCATTGACATAAACAGAGTAAACAACCTAGATTATACCATAGTGTCATCATACTAGAATCCCTGACCCGGACACAACACCTGTTGAAATCAAACAGTACCTTTTCAAAAACCAGGCGACAAAAATCGCACCCTTTGTTTCATCTGAAAAAGTCACTGAATACAGACCATCACTTGACAAGCTGTTACAGTAATAAAAGGCAAAATAAAGGAGTTTTCCTGAGAATAATCTTCCTCTGAGTTATCTGAGTTAGCAATAATAACCTAGAGGGGGTGTGCAGAGCTGCAGGGAGATTGCTCTCTGTTTGCATTTTCTAATTTTCTCACATATTTGGTCATTTCAAGGGTGTAAACATTGGTCACTGCTATGAAGTTACCTGCCGACAGTTTGCATGTCTGGACTGATAAAAAAACAGAAAAGGGACCAGGCAACGTTGCCGACTGTCTCCTCAGCTCTCAATCCATCTGCCGCAGACATAAACATAAGATGTGTATCTCTATCAGATGCTGGAAGGAGCAGAGAGACACAGGAGGTGGGAAGAAGCTGACTTCAGCTGCAAACTAAGGAGATCAGGCACCTGAGGCCTGACTATAAAAGTGTTAATAACCTCTGGAATAAAAAAAAGATAAAGTCTTATTTTTCTCCTTTACCACTTTGTTTTCCTATCCACGTCTCTCTCTCTCTCTCTCTGTCTTTTTTATTATACTTGGGCCAGTTAGGGCTGAAAAATCTAAGTCCTATTTCTCATTTTTTCCATGTTTCAGCATTCAAAGCACATGGTAGTGTAGAGTCTGAAGAAAAACAAACAGAGGACAGCTAACTGGTAGGCAAGTAAATATCAGCATGCTCTGACATAAAACAGTGAGATATCTGGACCTGCACTTTCTGTTAGGAACTAATGAGGTGAAAGTTTCTGAGTTAAAAAGTCATAAAAAAGAAAAAACCTCACGAGCAGCGTAACAAAGCAGCAAATACTACTCATATCATGGCGACACAAGCTATAGCTGAAACAAAGGCACTTCCGGCAAAGCCAGCTCTGAGTCTACTCCAGTTAGTTTCTCCTCTTGCAAATCTTCCTAAGGAGCAGGATAGGAAACTATTTCAATAGGAGTAAAGCTGTGGTTTTAGAAAAAGTGACCCTGCAAGATGTTCGGTCTTTACAAAAGCATAGACATCCTCTGATCTCTTCCTTCAGTTTCTGACTTTAAATAAGATTCCAAGGCTTTCTACTCTCTTGTAGGCATTAAATAAAGAAAATCAGTGAATACCCTTAACAGAGACGCTAAAATTAAGAGGATTTGGACTTTTTTTTTTTGTAAGATGTTATTGAAATTTGTCACAGCTGCTGCTGCTGGTTCAAGTCCAGGCCACGGCCTTTTGTAGCGTGTCTCTATTCCTCACATTGCCTGTCTCCCCTCGCTGTATTTTGTGCCTGAAGCATAATCGATTATCCAGTCAGATACATGAAAATGTATAAAAATATAGACATCAAGCACAGTTCAAGAGCAGAGAGTGAAGTGCTCTAGAGTAATTTAAAAAGTACTTTTAAATATGTTTCTTCTTCCGGTCAGAGTGTTATAATAAAACCTTTACATCCATCAAAAGGAAGAAATTGAAAGCCTCTGAAATTGAGTTTTGTAAATGCCCCTCGATCTCATTGCCTGCCACTTTGGGATTTTATTTCGCGAGTGATTCAGAAGCAGAACAGCAACTGCGTCAGCCAGTATGGCTTGAGGAAAACAATCAGCTAAAGACAGTACAGAGCAGCAGAGAAGGGCAGGAGGGCACAGGCAGCAGAAAAGGATACTGTCAACCAATTACCAGCTGCACATTATGCTTGAAGCAGAAAGTCGGATAATTTCACTGAAAACAGGCCGGTTTAAAGGGCTTAAATAATAAGTAATAAAAACTGGAAAAAGTCATGTATGAATGTGAAGCCTTCCATGAGTTCTTGTGGACAATTCAGTGTTATTTTTACACAGATGCTGTTGGCCTGACACACAATTGATCCAATTATTATAAAGCTGAAATGTCTCTGGTTTCCTCAGGCAGCTCACACCATGCCTCGTAAAAAGCCCGGTACCTCATAAATCAGAGGCTACCGCTACAGCCTGATTGGTAGAGCCACACATGTCGGGAGCGTCCAATTGCCAGTACTTTGTCTCTTGCACTTTTTATCTCTCCTTGCCATCACGGATTAATGACAGGACTGTGGTGTCACACTGAAAATAATGTGGTAGCATCCACAGCGGTAGAAAGCTCTTTTAACTTCACAAGATGATTGAGTGTGCGGAGCAGCAGTTCAGATCAGTCAGGGCCTCTGTCTATGACCTCTAAGAGAGATGGCAATCAAACAGCAATCAAATATTTAGACCTAATATAGGATAAGATGGGGCAGTCGCCATTATAACAATATTCGACAATCTCAATTATTCATCAACGTCATTTATTTATTTTATCCACAAAGTTGCATGAAATAACCCTGAATCCGAGTCTGACGTCATCCTGTTGTGCCAGCAGTCGCAGCACGCACCGCTGCAACCGTTGTTTACCTCTTGTCTTGGTTGGGTGGGCAGTGACTCGAGGTTGGGATGACGGATGAGGAGGTTCTAGTTTCAAAGTCACTTACCATGGCACCACTGTGAGCGCATTTCAGATGTAAGCTGAATGATAAAGCGGAGCCCGGTAATGTGGAGGAAGCAATATGTTAGCTTTGCCATAAAAAAGTGCTGGTCAAGAGCACAAACACAACAAATCTGAAACAACATCGCCAAACCCACCATCCACAGCAATACGCCAAACTCGAAAAGACCACACCAGCACAATCAACTGCTGGTCCAACAACAGTTGCATCCGGTCAACTGGCAGAATGTGTATTATTAGATCTCATTATACTATGATAGTAGAATATAAAGAAGGGGGAAAAATGGACCATTTATTCGTCAACTGCGATTGTTTGTCTGACAAATAATCGTCTCCAGAAATTTCTCATCATGACAGCCCTATGATAAGATATGGTGAGGGCAGTTTGTCACTGTTTCTGTCTTTACAGCTCAGCTTTAAGGGTGTATCATATCCAGAGGAAGGGCAGGAGAACAAGAATAACTCTTGGGATGTCAGAAAAATGACAATTAAGTAAAATTGATCATCTGACTTGTCAGCACAGCAGCATCTCAGGAGAGAGAATATTGCACACTCAATGACTGATAGTCATTCAGCTTTCGGTCCTAGCAATAGCAGCTTTAATTTTCTCTCCCTAAAGTAAAGGACAAGAATACAGAGGTGAGCGGTGGTCTAAGAGCCGGAAGGAAATCTTTGTCAGCCACCAAGACACAAACCACTTAACCCAACAACTGAGCTAGCAGCAGGGAGCCGGGCATTGCAATCTCAGTGACGCAGATGTGAGCTCCACAGATGAAGCAGGACCCGCTCTGTCCAAACAGCCAAGGCTTCATTTTAAATCACTGCCAGCTCTGCGATACGTAAGCCAGGAAGGACTCAACACACTGATTGTCAGGTATGTTGTTGAAGAGATACCTCACTTATCAGCTGTTGACTCTGCTGCACTCTAGGACATCCTCAGTAAGATATAGTGAGACAAGAAGCGGGGTGCAGTACTAAGAGTAGTGAAGTAAAAGAAGTGAGCTTAAGTTACTTTCCCAAGTCACTACTTAGCCATACAAGCTAGTAACGAGGGGTGGGAGAAAAAATACACTATAGGCCCAACAGTTGGGAGTAACTTCAAGTTTTTGTTCACAATGCTTTTTTTAAAATCCAGCATGCATTGTATGTATTTTGGGATGTATTTACTCAATGATCAAATGTTGCTTTCATGGAAATGCACCATTTTACTCCATTTACCTTTAGATATACATTGATGTTAACAGACCATTGCTAAATATATGTCAGCAAAAGATAATAAGGGCTTAGTTTTAGGGTTGAAAACATTTGCAAGAGTCACAACTTCAGTGCAAAACCAAAAATCAAGTTGGATTATTCACTTCAACTTTTTGGCTTTTGAGAGTCTGCAAACAAAAATCCTAATAAATTTCAATTGCGTTCAAAGTACTGCAAAAAATGGCTAGAAAGAAGCAACAGAGTAAAGAAACCAAAGTGCAGATTTGTACATTGAGGAGAGAAGGATACACAGAAAGAGAAATTGCAAAACACCTAAAGGTGTTTAACAAAGGAGTCCACTACCCTCTGAAGAGACGAGAGTAACCTGGAAGTTATGATGATAGGAAAAGACCTGGATGAGAGAAAGTTACTATACTATATATACAATATACAGCATAGTATCGCAATATTTTGTCTGGTGTTATATTGTATTGTCTTATTGACCAAGTATCATTTTTTTCCACCTAATTGCTAATATGAAGTCAAATCTATGATAATGGAAAAATATGATCAACTGTTCATCCAGTGAGGTTGGCAGAGGTGACATCATAGAGCAGGAGAAAGTTAGTACAATGAATATAGCAGCACCTGGGCAAAGACATTAGGAATGCAAGCAGGGCACAAATGAGATGGATCTGACACATGAGGTTTGTAAGATGTGCAACATGAAAATAAAATACTGTCTAAATAAGACAAACATAAAGGAAACAAACGCTAAATTAGCCAACATTTGAAAAAATTGTATAAATCGCAATATATTGTATTGCAATACTCACTGTAGTGCGAAAATGTTAAAAATCGCAATTATATTGTATCATGGCACAGGTATCGTGATAATATCATATCATGGAGCTACTAGTGATTCCTACCCCTAGTAGTAACCCAGTTAGCGATTCACGCACTTTGTTAAAGTAGTCACTGGTAATTGTAAAACTAGTTGTTACAATGCAGAGACGAATCACTGTAAGCAGGGAGGTGTGTATGACGTGTTCAACAGGTAGGAGGCTACAGTGTTATCAGATGATTACCAATTAGTATCAACACTCAAGGTTTTATAGTAATAAATCACTTTTTAATGTAAAAGTGAATATCATCAGCTGCAGAAAATGCTGAGATGGTTAGAGTGTTATGAAATGTGAGGGTTTGTGATGTACTTCCAACTGGAGCCAAATTTAATAAAGTGATTTCCTTTAAATACGTATTCTGTGAAAATAAGCTTCAAATAAGTATTTGATGTTCAAATCGCTATGTCCTCCATCTTTCTCTGTATTTTTTGTAAATGCAGACTCCTTCTCAGATAAAAACTGAACGCTTCTGGAGTTTTTGTTGGTTAAATGATCATAATCTGTCAAATCAAACAGCCAGTTTGAAAAACGCTCCTCGATGATTAGTTTGAGGAGATGCTACCATCAAAGTATGAGGGGAGGCTTTTAAGTGCGCTTTTGTATTCATGAGTCATTTTGTTGGAAAATTCAAAAACTGAAGTGAAGATAATTGCATTTTGTTGCTTCCTGTGTTAAAAAGGTTGTTTGGTGAGACGTTCAGTTATGAGAAAAAAAAGACATGTAATCAAAAATAACAATACCCCTGTTCAGACAACGCCGACAAAAATAACAACAGCTGCCAGACAAGCTCAAAAAGTACCTGGTAGTGTTTGAGCGTGCCGTTGATCAGCAGGGACGACTGCTTCTCCACGCGCTCCACGACAGCATGGGCCACGCCGTAGTAAGACTGGGAGCTGGTTTGTCCAGTGGGAACGCTGTACTCATCGTCCACATCCTGCTTAGCCGACCTGAACATGATGCAACAATTAATAAAGCATCTGAAACTCCTCTTGCAATATTACAGGTGTTCCCTGTAGATCTGGAATCAAGTCTGGATGCAGAAAAACAAAAGGCTAAAAAAGGGATACAGTATATGGTGACAGCTAAACAGTGTAGACCTAATAAAGAATTCAGCCGTGCACAGTGGAAGTGTTACCTCAATTTAAAAGCTATCACAAAGTAAAAAAAATACTTGTAAGACTTTTATGACCATAAATTAAAAACATTTAAGATATTTTACTTTTACTTTTTAAGGGTTTTCTAAAGCTCTGAAAACAGTCTCTGCAATTAGGGGAATTGGCAGGATGACGCAGTGTCGTGTTTATCTGTTTGTGAAATCACACCAGTGTTTCTCTTGCAGACACAACATCTGAGTGAGGCCCCAAGGTGTAATGCCGACCCCTTTTACACTTTCTTTACAAACTGAACGACACATCTGTGATTAATGATTCAAAAGAGAGACAGAGACACAGAGAGAGAGACAGAGACAGAGAAAGAGAAAGGAGGTGGAGAGGTCCTACAGTAGTGTTTCTCCTGCTCATGCATTGATTAAGGGGGCACAGGGGTAATCATTACCCACCCTTTAACACTGCTTTTAAAATTACGTGGAGCTACATGTCTTTCTGCACTATCTTAGTTTGGTATCCTCACAAACAATACATCATTAAAAAGCCTCATTCACATGCAGATTACACGCTGTGATGAATGAATATTGAGTAAAAGATGTCAAAACCTGTGCAGTGATATTTGGCTGTCTAAATAAAAGTGGTGCTGATGAAAATGGTCAAAGATCAGACACTTAACAGAGAGAAGATAAACAGTAAGAGGAGGGGCAGGACATGCTGCGGTGTGGAAAGAGGGAGGACTGCTGCTGTGTGTGCGTGTGTGTGTGGAGAAGGTGGGGGCAAAATAAAGAGCAAATTTAAGTCTTTCGCTTGTGCATATATAGACAAGATGGAGAACAAGGCACAAACAGTGTATAAACTGTCCTAAATACAGAATTAACATGATGTGATCTCCCCCCAACAAAGGTAGTCCTATTCTGTGAGAAACACTGCACACACTGGGACACAAAGGCAGAGTGATGGCAGGACTTCCTGTCAGCGCTGAGGCAGGATCTCGCTGTGAAAAGGGCGACAATTAAGTTTCTTTATGACTATTCCTTTAGTTCTACCAACTCATTCCCACTGACGCTCCTGATGGAAACTTTCTGACACTGTTACATGTTAAATAATGATAATTATTTTCATAGTTTCATTTCTTTTGTTTACTTTTACAATTACACTTAAAAAAAAAAACTTCTGCACGGAAGGCGTCTACATTTGCAGTGAGCCATGGATTGGACTTCTAATCAATGATGGTGTCTTTGTTTCTAAGTGAAGCAATTTCAGGACAAGAGAACAACACGCCCTGCCGAGTCAATCTCTGAGATAGTGTGATAATGAGAGAGAGCACAATACTCGATGATGTGCTTGGCTGCTGTACTCCCATCATCTCTGGTGGGATCGATTATCTTCTTCTCCTCTGTCTCTGCCTTGGCATTCTCGTCTTCCTCCTTTAAGGTAAAATAGAAAAAAAATGTGACTGAGAGAGTACTTAAACTTGTAATAAAATAACAGAAGAAAAGGAGCTCTGATGGGGAAAAAATGAAGTTTCTCAGAAGCAGCGGCACCTAAGTGAATACAGCTACAGCCCCCTGGTGGATTTTAGAGAGAGTGTGTGTGTGTGTGTGTGTGTGTGTGTGTGTGTGTGTGTGTGTGTGTGTGTGTGTGTGTGTGTGTGTGTGTGTGTGTGTGTGTGTGTGTGTCTGTGTGTGTGTGTGTGTGTAGCTGGAGTGACATGTAGCCTGAATCCCATTTGATAACATTTGCATGGTTTGAAGAATTGCCGGGGAGAAAAGCCACCTGTGTGGGAGTTCATTAATGAGAAAGTCACTGACCTCCTCCTCGTACTCTGAGCCGCTCTCCTCGCTGTCTGACCGGGGGGCCACTTCATACCTGGTTATTAAAAGAGGAAAACAAGCGGAAAAAGAACAATTACACAGAATACACGACTTCAGCAGCATCAACAAGCAGCAGCTACGGGACAACAAATTAATTCAATTAATAAATCACCAGACAATTGGAAAGAGTCCCCAAGCAAAAGATTTGAAGACACAACAAATCAGAAAAGACCCTGTGTGTGACAAAAGGGCTGCCAATGAACGAAATCAATTATGCCAATTACCTCATACGCTCAAAGCTCTTCTAGTTTGTTTGTTTGTTTCTATATTTTTGCTTTTGAGTTGGGGACTCTTAATTATGTACCTGCAGAGTACTATTTCAATAGAAATAAAAGAGCTTTTCAGCCCAGCTATGTAACCCTGTGTCTTTGTGTGTTTTCACTCTGATTCTTTGAAGTGTTCTCCCAATGTTTGTCTGTTTGCATTTGCACCCAAATTCTGTTCAGCCTCTCCTAGAGAAGAAAAAAACAAAGGTCAGAGGTCAATAGGTTTATACAGAGGTGTGCATTATTACCCCGGGTTCATCTCAAGCCAGGCCTCCAGCTGGCTGGATTTGGGGGCGTCCGTTCCCTGCAGGACTTTCCCAGTCTCGGTCTGGATCACTTTGACCGGCAGCTCGCTCATTTGGCTGCTATCATCCATGGGCTGCAGGGCAAACAAACACCCAAAAGAGAGACGAGTGGATTGATAAAACTGAAATCATGTCGGTACAGCTAACACAAACAGATTCAACACTGTAATCTAATTGAGTATTTAACTCCTCATTACATGTACCATAAAGCATTTGAGGTTCAAGCTATGGCACAGGGGTTTAATAGTCAAAGGAGGTAGAACTTAAACATCGCTGCGAATCTGGATGAGGATGATAATTTGCTTTTACATCTGCAAACAGACAAAAGGCGTCTCTTAAGAGGTGGACTATTACAACGCATTAACAAGAGAAGTTCTGCAGAACAGAAATACTGTAAATATAAGTGGGGATGTTCATCTGTTTCTAATCACAAGTGACACTGATTCAAACATTAAGCCAGGGGTTTGTCATCTATTTACTTTGCTCTGCTGTCTTCAGACTCCTGAGCTCATTTATGGTGGACTGACTCAAAAGCCTTATCAGTATGAACACGTGTCTTTAGGCTCTGAATATATTATTCTTTCTTGATTACTTCATCATCTAATGGAAAAAACCATAGACTGTATATACTATGATACTCTGGACAACTTGGTTCCGCCTCCCGCCTGTATACGGATTTGAAGCCAAAAAGCTCTCGATATTTCCGGGATTTTTCTTCATTTCCTGAAACCAGCGGTGCGCAGTAGCGATGCGTGCATTTGGCCGCGCAGTCACCAAGAGTCACAGTGATGACGCTCAGCTCAAACAGCGTATCCCCCGGGTGAGCTACACAATCCCTGAACGCCTATAGGCTGTATCAGGTGTCAATCATAGAAAACATGAACCCCAAATAACTTTTAAAAATGGAGCTTCACAGAAAAGAGGACTTGAGAACAAACCAGTCTTACAGTAACTACATGTCAACATCACAAGCAGGGGGGAGAAAAATTTATATTCTGTGTAATACATTTCTAAAGTTTGTCCACAGCTCCATAAGCTTTGCTGGCGGAGGTGGGATTTATAACCTATACTGCCGCCCATCAACAGAGGGTGCTGTTCTCAGAGTGGCTTCACCCAGCGAGGAGGCAGAATCTGTCCATTTATAAACAGTCTATGGAAAAAACCCAATACCGTGTTGATGAAACCATGATTGATGGATGATTGCAGAGAAATCTGGACATTGAAAAGGCAGTTTTCTGCCGATTTCTGACTCTTCAGTTACAGGGTTTCAATCAGTGTCGGTTTAGCTTTCTTTCTGGAAAAAGTATGCAGCAGACACGATAATTGCCGTCTATTTCATCCAATGTTCAAAATATTTTTTCATCTTTGTTTGAGCCTGTCTGGAGACTGAGGTACAGTGCAGGTTTGGTCTCACAGCAGCAGAGCAATAATTATCACCATAACAACATTCACTGGGTGGTTAAATATCCCCAGATGATGAAGAGCAATTAGCGACTGAGATCCATCTGTAAAAAGGTATGAATGTGTCATTGTATAACTGTTGCCCACTGCGGGACAGTAGTAGGAGCCTGTGAACACAGCATGTCATCACCTTTTAAGGTGGAATGGCAATTCTGGTGACAGATGGATTAAGTAATTAAGGAGTAAAATTATCCTCCATTTGAAGTCCTGTTCCTGCCCAGCAGATGAGAGTAAATACAACATTTGTACAACATCAGCTCCTGGGGTAAACATCTGTCTCCATCGCTACTAAATGGTCCACTGTGCTGGAAAGCAGCCTCCTTCTATCTATCATTTAGTGGTGAGTTAATAACAGGGACAGTTTTCATTTGTTTTTGAAAACAATGTTACAGGAACAGCAGGGGGGAAAGAAAACAAAACAGCAAGTTAAAAGGTGATTGAAACTTAAATGAAGTTTATCTAAAATGAATAGCGCTTCAAATCACAAATCTCTGTTGGAGCATTGATTTGTGCCACTCTCTCTCATCAATACAGATTCATATGGAGCCACTTAAACTGAGACAATATCTGTCAGAGAACTCACAACGGAGGCAAAAAAGCTTTGATTATAAAGAAATCAATTCACTTCACTCAGTCCAAGTCTCAGAAAGTTATCAAAATTAAAGTTTAGAGGACATCTGTTCAAGGTTTTTAATAATAATCTAATCCCATTAAAGTGGCTGTTTGTTGTATTTCCACTGAAAGGATTCTGTAATGGAATTAGATATGAATATCAATAAGAAGAAGAATAAGAAGACCCTTATTTCTCTCTGAAGGGAAATTCAATGGTTAAGCCAACAATTAGTGTCAGATTAATGTTGGTGTTCATTGACTTCGTATGCTAACAGAGTGGGGCTGCAAAATGTTTGTAATAACTTTTTCCTCTGACAAAACTTCACACCTGCTTTAGCCCCTTTACCAGGTAATCAGACACTTGGCCTGCCCAATAATAAATGAGATATGAGATATTTTTACACATGACTTGTCTCAGTAACATGTTTTTACTGAATCCAAACACATTAAGAAAGCTGTTCTTTCATCTCTTAATTATCACCAATTAATCTGAGCTTTCCTGACAGCTGGCGAAGTCTTCATTTGACTTCATCAAACTGCAAGATGTTATCAGCGTAGCATCAGTATGAGCAGATGATGGCTTTAAAAGTGAATTACTGGGTTTGGCAGATGTGAAATTTCTGCGGATAATTACGGCAGTGGAAAAAAGTGACACTTTAAATATGAGCGTGCAGAGGACTGGTATAACGTATCTGATAAACAACAAACCACCACAAGCCCCAGGATGTAGAAAGAATTCTGCTGTATAATTATAGTAAGATTCTTTATTACTCCTGAAATTAAAAACAAAGTCTTATCCATACAACAAGCATACTGGAGACAGTGTGGGGAGCAGAAAGCAGGTCATACTCATATTTTTTGGGAATGTACTAAGGTAAAAAATACTGGAATGATGTAAAGGTTTAACTTGGGAAAATACTGGGATATAAACTACCAATGTCATTTGAGGTGTTCGATCTATGTAACCTGACAAGGGAAAATGTACAATGTGAGGACAATTATCTGGTCAAAATACTTCTGGCTGCGACCAAGAAGGCAATCACAAGGAAATGGTGTAGTGAAGGCTCTCCCACTCTGAGGAACTGGTCTGACACGGTTGAGGAGATATAGGATATGGAAAGACTCACATACAGTGCATCCAGAAAGTATTCATACCACTTCACTTTTTCCACATTTTGTAATGTTACAGCCTTATTCCAAAATGGATTAAATGTCTTTTTTCCCTCAAAAATTCTACACAAAATATATTGAACATCTTAAATCATTTCTAAATTGTTGAAATAAATTAAGTGTCCTGCATTGTGTCAGCTGCAATTGATTATATTCAAGAAAGACAAAAGTATGATCTATTGTGCAGACCTGCTAACAAGAATGTTTGATTTATTTCAGCAATTACTGGAAGGGATAAAATGTTGGGCACTGATGCCTCAGTGCCCACCAGCAGCTCAGGAGCCATCTGCTGAAGCCCCTGCGATAGTCTCTCATTATTATAAACAAAGCCAGAAGCCTTCTGAGGATTTTATTTACAAGCTTTTCAAATTAAAATAGAGAAAGCAAATGGAGGAATTTAACAAAAGACCGAACCATGGGGAAACTTCATCCCTCAGTAACCCCTTTCACGACAAAAACATGGATGAGGACTTTTTTCTAACACAAACACAACAGTTGGAAAAAACTTTGAAGGCAAGTGAGGTGAAAAGTACAGAACAAGATTCAACAATGTCATCCCTCCACCCACACAGTGAATGTTTAGACTGAACTTGTTTCATTGACACAATGGCTCAACCCAAACTGTACACTTATCTAACTAGGGGTGTCCCGATACAACTGTTTGACTTCCGATACAATACCAATATTGTAGCCTTCAATACTGACCGATATTGATCCGATGGTGGCACAAAATTGTGCATAACAAGTTTTTCACTCAGCTGCAATGTCTTTTTTGGACTTCAACAAAAAATACCGCCACAAGGCCAACATCACTCTTACTCCTTGCTACTTTGTTAGTAGTCTGGTGTTATCAATTCACACTATACCAGCGGGTGATGTGGCCCCTAAAGATGTGTGAGATAACGGCAACAACAGTCACGAAGCTGGATGCCAAGGCCAACAACTACATCAAAAAATGGCTTGGGCTCCCAAGATGCCTCTCCGATGCAGCGCTGTTTGGAAGAAATGCACTGCAGCTACCAGTGAAGAACATCTCAACTGGTTATAGGCTGGAGAAGTCAAGGCTGGTGCTGGAACTCCGACAGTCAAGTGACCATCTGGTCAGAAATGCTGGGGCTAAGATCCGGACAGGCCGAGCATGGAAGGCAGAGGAGTGTGTGGACGATGCAATCTCCAGATTGAAACATCAAGAGCTTGTCGGAAGAACACAGCAAGGAAGGCGTGGCCTGGGCTGGGGAGAGCCACAAAAGATGTGGTCAAAGGCATCCTTGAAAGAAAGGAAACAGCTAGTGGTCACAGAGGTGACAAGGATGGAGGAAGACAGGTTCTTTGCCAAGTCTATTGGCCAATGCCAGCAAGGTCAGTGGACAAAGTGGGAGGGCTTCCTACCAAGGTCAGTAAAATGGAACGACCTGTGGAAGATGCCTCAGGCAAGACTGAGCTTTCTAATCAGAGCCACATATGACACTCTTCCTAGCCCAACGAACCTGGCACAGTGGTATGGATCTGAGGACAACTGTAGCCTCTGCGAAACAGGCAAGGGAAATCTTCGCCACATCTTGTGCGGCTGTCCAACAGCCTTGGCCCAGGGCCGATACACATGGCGTCATGACCAGGTGCTAAGAAAGTTGGCGGAGCACACAGAGAACATGAGAGTCCTGGCCAATGAGAAGACAACATCCCAACAGAGGCAGCTGGTCCAGTTTGTAACAGCGGGACAAGCCAAGAAAAACTGCCCTAAAGCAGACAGAGCAGCGGTCCTGACTCCAGGCAAAGACTGGTCAATGAGAGCTGACCTTGACAAGCAGCTACGCTTTCCATTCGACATCACCACCACCACACTGAGACCCGACATCGTCCTGTGGTCCTCAACTGAGAAGCGAGTCCTGTTAGTCGAGTTGACGGTCCCTTGGGAGCAGAACATCCAGGAAGCGTATGAGAGGAAAATGGCCCGTTATGCAGAGTTGGTGGCAGAATGTGAAGAGAAAGGCTGGAGAGCATCAACCTATCCAGTTGAAGTTGGCTGCCGCGGCTATGCTGGCCTCTCAACAAACCGCTTCCTGAGGGACATCGGCTTCACAGCAGCAAAGGCCAGGAAGGTCCTACAGGATCTCTCAGAGGAAGCAGAAAAGGGAAGTTTCTGGCTCTGGCTGAGAAGAAAAGACAGGAGTTGGGGGAATCGAGATGCCACACAGTAAGCCTGAGTGCCGAAGTCCAGCTGCAGGGAGTGGCGGGGAGACGTCCCTGACCGCTGCCCCACCATCCTGAGATGTTCTGGTGATCAAAGGGGCGAAACATCAGTGAAGGATGGCTCCTAGCTGATGACCCTGCAGCTGGTACTTCTGTACTGGCTGAAGTGGGCCCGATGGAAGCGGCCCATGAGGTTTCAACCTTCGCTTCCCAACCATCAGGTATGCGGTCAGGTGCAAGCCTGGCTCAGGGAGGAGGACGCCCCTGCCATGCAGAGTCTAGGGTCACTACCTGGAGAGGGGCGAGGCCAGGATGGCTCTCAGCCGCAACCCTGCAGTTGGAGTCTAGGCACCGTCGGAGGTGCGTCAGGCAGAAATGCCCTGCAGGTACCAACACCTATCTGTCACATAAATCTGTACCTTAGTACACACTGTTGTTGTGATTTTGTGGGCTCAGCTTGCTGGATCAGTGCACTGCTAGATAGAGTTGCCAAAGCGGAGTCTGGAATGGACTGTTTGTATCATAGTGCTGGTATCTGAGATTTTAGATGCAGGCCGATATAATCTGATAGTCGTTTTTGTTTTTGCTGATATCGGACCAATATTAGATATCAATATCGTATCAGGACACCCCTACATTTGCCTAGTGAACCAGGAGGAAAGTGACTCAAGGAGTCATTGTAACCAAGTGTTGCTGCAAAGACGTTAGGTCTGTACATCATGAGTACAAAGGCCAAACGAAAGATTTCTATCACTAGAATTTGTCCTGCTATTTTCTATGAGGACTCTTTTACTTCCGAGCTTCTTTACGTTATAACATTCAATTCAAGATCCCTTCACTTTGAATTGGTATCAGTGATTTCACAAAGTATCACCAAAGGGGAAACTTGTTGAAATCACTCACAATAAAAATAAAAAGAGCAAACGAAACAAAGCAACTCACCTCTCCATCAGGTCCGATGGCGCTGGTGCCTTCTCCATCCCCATCCACCTTCTGCTTATCAAACACAGAGACATACAACCACTAAGTATGCATTTGATTGTCATGTTAACTTGAAGCTCTGTTATCTACAGAGAGGTAACACCAGCATTTCTCACTGATGGTGGCTCTATGAAGGTTAAGGTTGCGTCTGATCATTTTCTCTATTTTCTGCTCAGAATCACGATTCAAATTCTCAAACAGACTATTTGAGTCATGTGAGATACTCTGTGTTTATCTTTGTGATGCTGCTGACATTATTTTTCTTTTTACAAAATCATCTGAACATACGCTCAGCTATGGTGACACATAATCAGGATCAGTCAGGGATCGCTGCAGGTGCTGGTTCACTGATTAGTCCTGCGCCCTCGACAAGAGGTGTGAAATTAGGTAAGGTGGTGTCAGCTCTCAGCCCACCATGTCACTTGTCACTGTGAGTCTGAGACCCTTTTATTGCTAAATTTATGAAGGGAGAGATGTGTGAGCCTTGACAAAAGCGCTTTCACATTTTTGATAAGCAACATAATCGACCTTGAGATCATGATGATTATGAGGTGTGATTCACATCACTACGGTCACTTTTTTTCTAGATAGGATCAGACTGGAGATACACTCATTGTTCAGTAAAATGTTTGCCTGATTTTGGAGCAGAAATCTACAACAATTTTCTGTTTTCATAGCTCAAAAAGACAAACTGTAAATGTAGGTCTTGCAAGGAAAGATAATGTTTGAAGCTGCATGCAAAACACAGGATAAAAAAGGCACTGAGACAGCATTGAGAGGAGGTCTAACAACAGTGTCCTTTCTGCATGCTTCATGTAATTTTTTATTCAACAGAAGTACAGAAAGAACCAGCGAGATAAAGACCCGACCTTGGAGATAAATTTTGCTTTTAGAAACTAGCAGAATACAAACCTGACATCCATTAACTTAAGCAAATCCTTTGAATAGACACCGCTGTTTCTTGGCCTACCTTCTCCTTCTTCTTCTTCTTCCGCCTCTTCTTCTCCTTGGCAGCCTGGGCGGCTTTGTGTTCATACACAAGAGCGGTGAGGTTAGCCACATACTCGTCTGTCTGCTGCAGCAAGTAGGCCAGACGCTTGTCTTTCTTTTGGTCGATAAGTTTTCGGTAGCCTTCCTCATCCTCAGCCTGAGGGATAGGAAGAAAACAGGAGGTTAATGATTGTTTTAAATTAATTTTCTGCAAAAATATTGTGTCGACTCTTCCTCCATTTTTTTAACATTCTTTTAAAGCTTGTTGGTCTATACGTCATTTATCAAATGAAAATCTAAGGCACAATTTCAACTGTAAAATTAGAGTTGCATTGTATGTACAGAAACCTTTTTTTTCTGATATGAACCTGTGTCTTTAGGTATGAAAACTCTTTGGCTGCTGTCTTGGCCAGGACTCTCTTGTGAGAGAAAGTTTGTGCCTCAATGGGAATATTCCTGGTAAAGTTAAGATTGAATTAAAAATTTTAAAAAAGCACTTTTTAGAAAAGCAGAGCTGGTGAGCTTGTAAAGAAATGACCCAGAGGAGCTGTTTTTTGTCAAGGTCTGAATCAGTCAAACAGGACATTTGACAGACCCTGCAATGCCCTGTAACCTTTCCATACAGCAACTTCTACCAACCTTGTGACGGTTAACGACAGGTGTAGCTGCTTTGTCCTATTTTCCTCTTGCCTCTCTATTGCTTTCTATTTTAATGATAAAGTAGAGTATCCAAAAAAAGTCCTTCAAGCTGTACCTGGGCTCAGACCTTTGTGTTCTCTAAAAAATGAACAGATAAAATTCACAAACTGTATCTCAATTTCAAGTTTTATCACAGCAGTTTTAAAGTATCAAACCAATAATAATGTCCAGTCAAACCTTATGTGATGGTGTTTCACTGAAAATAAACAATGATTCTTTAATATATGTGTATGTGTGGAGGCTGAGGAAAGTACTGTGAGTTTTAATGGAAAATAACAAGCTCCACTTCATGGAGACTGTTCAGTAGGAAGAGTCTCTCTCATTAGATGTTTTTGAACACCTGTGCTCAGGCTGTTTCAGCTGCTGCAAGAACTGCCGCTCACAGCGAGCCAATCATCACAACCCCCTTTAACGATGTCATAAGAAACACTTTCTGGTGTAAAATGCACAAAGTATGGAGGAATGTTTTTGGTACAAATGTCAGTTTTGATTGGGAGCATGGCAATCAGGAAAGCAATAACAATAACATCCCCCTGCAGGAGACTGGTATGATATCACTGATGAAATCTTTATTATGGAAAAACAGCGATGAGGAGCTGGGTCATTTATATCCACAAAACTCTGTTCTCTGGTTTAAATTCTATAGGGGTGGGTAATATTGGCAATAATCAATATCCCTATATTTTGAGGGATTTTGCTGATAATTGTAATTAACAATATTTGCTTCATATGTGTTCTCTTTATGCATGCATGGTGATCTAGTGATACATGGTATACCTCATATTTCACACCCCTACCTGTGTGTATACATTAGGGCTGCAGCTATCGAATGTTTTAGTCATCAAGTATTCTACTGAATATTCCATCGATTAATTGCCTAATTGGATAGTTTTTTTTTTTTTTTAAAGTGCAATTATTTATATACAAGAGAAAATAAGACATTTAACTTAATATTGAACAATCAATTGGTTTCCTTTCAGAAACAAGGAACGCGGAACAAGCGTGTGCGGTAGCGGATTGCAATGTTCATAAGAAAGCTAATTATGATATTAGCTTTCATCATGTCCCCAAAGACAGTAGTGCCCAAGAGCTGAATAGCTCCTATGTTACCTGCTTCTTCTACCATATCGGCAATGTTAGGCTACAAGCTAGCGTGAAGAGGAGTGTGCAGAGCAACGCTGTCTCAGCTCGCAACTTAGAGGAGAATTGCTAATGAGCTACTGGAGCTCTGCAGAAGAAAAGCCCCTCTCTTCATTAACTTTTTTCGCTTTGCAAAACCGCTTACTTCTCACTGTGTCACCTTGAGAATCCGTGCAAAACAATGACAATTCGAGCTTATAAACGAGTACTTGAGGCAGAGAAAATTCCTCGATCATTTTTTGTCATCGAGGTATCCGAGGTACTCAAGGAATCATTTCAGCCCTAGTATGCATGTTTGTATTCATTTAAGAATTAGAAAAGCACTTCATCTTCTGACTTCTGTGTTTCTTTTTTTGATATTGTAAAAATCTGAGAAGACGGATCACACTTGGATTTATGTAACAGATGAAAGCTGCATAAATGTGTGTGAGCGTATGTGATTCAGAATACAAAAACAAAAAACAAGATTAAGAATGCCTTTTATCAGCCCGTTCCCGCCATCTGCATTGAAAGACTGGCGCACCCCTATTTTGGTGCAAACAGGGTATTGTGTTACTTCAAAGGCAGTATGCTGCTGAAAGAGACACATTAATAAATCTGTATGAAATATAAGGAGTTCTTTGAAGCTGTAAACTCTTACCTCTGATTTATTTATATATTTAATGTTTGCAAACTTTGCTGTGTCTTTAATCTCTGCATACTCAACAACTCCTTCATGTAACTTCCTACGATGGCAACTTTATTGTGACAAAAGGCTCGGTTAAATGTAAGGGTGAAACTGAACACATGGGTGAGAACATATGCATTTTGACTCTTGGATCCTCACCATCAGCCTTCTCATCCTCTCCTTCTCGATCCTCTCCGTCTCCTTCTTCTGCTCTCGCTCGGTGTTGGTGTGCCAGTTGGCGATAGCTCTGGTGAGTTTCTGTATTTTACCCGACACTGAGCGGTGGTACTCTTTGAAGTCTTTAGCATGCTGTAAGATGCTGTTGAGATATTCCTGAAAAACAGGTCATGAAAGTAGTTGAGGGATAAATATTATCCTGACAGCAAGGCAAACAAGGAAGAATAACAAAGTGCTGTGTTCTCAGACTCCACTTCAAAATTATTTATTTCAGCGCAGAAAGCGTTTGATGCAGGCTGACATTGTTAAATTTAGTTTTGACTGTGTTTGCCCACCATCAAAAAAAACCCTCCTGATGTCTGTTTTTGTGTTTTCACTGTCACTTCAGCTTAACTTCTCCTGCTGAAACTCGGAGAAAATATCAGCTCAATGTAATCATGATTGACGGTTGTGTTTCCAGGTTATTTAAAGGAAAACTGGAGCAACAGCAAGGAGTTTCACCTGCTGGGAAACCATGCTGCTGTAGATAAAAAGACTGAACATAAATAATAGTGGATGTTGTTCAGGGGTCTGAGAAGTGAAGCGGATGCACCTCCGCTGGGTTCCCTCTAGACCAGTGGTTCTCAATCCAGTCCTCGAGCCCCCACTGTCCTACATGTTTTGGATGTTTCCCTGCTCCAACACACCTGATTCAAATGATTAGCTCGTTATTAAGCCATTACAGAACTTGATAACGAGCTGATCATTTGAATCAGGTGTGTTGGAGCAGGGAAACATACAAAATATGCAGGACAGGGGGGGCTCGAGGACTGGATTGAGAACCACTGCTCTAGACAGATGAAGAAGATCATGCTTTAAGGTGTAACTATCTTCCAAGTGCCACAGCAGTCTTTTAACAAGGATAGATGACAGTATTCAACAAACATGAGGGTGGCTTCAAAGTAGTTCAGTCCACTTTTCACACACTGTCCAAAGTTTGACATCATCTAAACATTAAAAAACTACACTGGACTGGATTCTTTTCACACCAACTCTAATACCTGATGTTTCTGTCTGCGCTTCTTCTCCTGCTCCAGCTTCTGCTGTTTCTCCAGCTTCTCGGTCATGCGTGCCTCTCTGAGTGTCTGCCGCTTGCTGCGTCTATAAGCCTTTGAGTTGAGAGCCGTCTCCAGGGTCGTGTCTCGTCTCATGCACGCCACCACGTCTTGTCTCAGCTAAAGATACAGCAGGTAAAGATACAGATCTGGTCACGTTTACGAGTATTTCATACTTTTAGGTGAGCAGAGCTTTTATGAAACATGATTGCTATTTATTAAGACTTATTAAGGACATTTCAGTAAGTGTCAAATTTGATGCCCCTGTGGACAAAGTGATACCTCTAATCTCTTGTCCTGCACATTTCTGTTTAGTAGTGTCTGTTTTTTTTCCAACAATGAAATTTATCACTCTCTGTGAGTAATAAAAAAGTGATTATTTGCCAAAAGGGAAGTAAAAACACAATTTTTCAGCCTGCTGTCTATCAGTGTGGTTTCAGGCTTTAAGAAATTGTCATTGCCATTACTGATGGTTTTGTTTGCTTTTGGATGACATACTGTACAGAGGCATCAGAAGCACACAATCAGTTCCAGTCTGTTTCTCAACCAGTGAAAAAAAAAAAACAAAAAAAAAAAACAACCTTTCGCTGCCTTAAAAAATCTTAATCTCTTTTTTTTGCTGTGGCAAAAAACTGAAAAATGTTATCCATCAATTCTGGTGTCATATGTTTGCATTTAGTCATTTCGTACATGTTTAAAATGCAATTAAACTACAGGAACCAACTCCCACAGCTCTGTTCATCAAGCAGTCTAAATATAACTTATAACTAACTTAATTTCAAGATTTTATGTTTGCATGACTTCACACAATACAAATTTTACAAGTTAAATTTCTCTGTAAGCCATTCTGCCTATTCTGTACGGTCACATTTAACCTGACACTGCTGCGTACCTGACGCTGGAAGTTTAGCAGACGCAGTGCCTTGAGCTCCACTGTGGCCTTGGTCCTCAGGTCAGGGGGCAGGGACCCCGGCAAACTCTCCAGCTCCTGGATTCGATGTGCAATCCGAGCCTGCAATCTAGGAAATATTATAAAGATATAAATAATAAATGAATGCAGCCCTGGATCGTACTCATAAGTAGTAAACATCAACCTCAGCAGTCTGGATGTCAGGACCTCCTCATCATCCCCTGCCTTTGATTAGCCATACTTTGTGACTATAAATAGATAATTATAAGCAGTCAAACAGCTACTCAGGTTTTAGACAAACACGGTTCTTTACTTTTCCAGTGACAGTCTGGAGCAGTGATTTCTGGGGGAAGTTTTTTCCTTTAACAGGACGACAAAGCAGCCGACAAGGAAAAAGCAGGGAGCCAGGGGGCCATGATATAAAATTTAACTATGGAGAGGGCCTTATGTATCACTTGAACTTTCAGCGGAAAAGAACTCCACTTCAAAAGTGCTTATTTATTGATTAATTGTTTTGATAAATTGTACAAAAAGTCAAAATGTCAGCAGGAAAACAGACCTTCAAGTTAGCCTCCAAAAGGTCATCATTTAATTGAGTTTTAAACCTTTTTTTAACATTTACTCTCTTTCAAAGGAAATACCACTGAAATCTATGGCACACAGAACATTTGTGACGACTTCAGCCCCAGTCAAAGTTCCAGTTTGTGAAAAAGTCAAAGTACTCTTCCAGTTTTTTGAGGGTTGACCATCAGAGGCAGGAAAGCCCGTGCAAAGAATCTTAAAAAGCTCACATTCAGATTCTCACCAATGATAATAACCCAAGGGAGCTCAGCAACAAGCGCTTTTTATTGATTTCTACAGCTGTCAGAGGTCGTTGTATATTTATGACTAAATCACTGTATTGTAGTTTCACCAAGGGTCCAGTACATTCAGATGTTTTAATTGGACTGACAGGGTGAACAGAGGTCAGCTCTCTCTGGTCCCTAAACACTCCCAGGCCAAAAGCAGGCAGACAAGGATGATCTAAGTAAATGAGAACCAGCACATCAAAACAACGGCCTCCAAGTTTTATATAGAAAATAAAAACAAGTCTGAGGGCTGGAGCAAGATCAGGGCCTGTGGGACTTCATCATACCTCTATCAGGTGTCTAAGATTTCACTGATGAAAACACCTGCGGGTTCTTATCACAGAACAACGGCAGACAATTGTGATTGTGTATTCACAGTGACACTTTTACCAGTGACCATCTCGTCTTCAACACCAAACGCTCCTCACATTATTGAGGCAATCTCTCTCACATCAGCCTGAATAGATGGGACCACTTTTCACGCTTTCTTCTGCCTCTCTAGTTGGTTCTTAAATGATATTGTTTTGCCTCACTATTGAGCTCATTAAGAGTCAATGACAGACCTCATAACATGAGAACATGTGCAGAGAGAAAACATGAACCATATACGATTATTTTCTGGAGTTGAATTGCAGGGAGTGAGACATCTCGCACCCTTACTATATGAGCTGTGTGTGATATTGGAGAAAGAACGTCAAAGAAGTGGCAAATACAGCGCAGCCAATTCAACACCAATGCATGGAAATATCTCTGAAGCGTTTGACTCAATACTGCAAAGAATAGAGCTGCCTGAAAGATCCGTTAACAGAACATGCTTTTCATAAGAGCACATCAGTAAAGTGTGGACGTTTGAGAAAAAAAGCACGGTGACATTCGTCGACACAATCCTCGGTCAGAGCCACGCTGGGCGAGTTTTACATGTTTAGTCCTTCACCTAATCACACTCCATCTTCATTTTTTGTGGAGAGAGAGGACGAGAATGAACTTTTGCCACGTTACACATTCAAATGGAATCATTAGTCATACATGAATTGAAATTTTAAATGGGATGTTGAACGATTAAAAGAGTAATGTTAAACCGGTGAGCTGGTTGCTATGGTAAGAGCCTTGAAACTATTATGCAATTCAATATGCAATCAGTCAAATAATTATTTCACTAATTAAAGACCAGCCAACTGTCAAAATAATCAGTAGGTGCAGGCCTAGAGGTGACAGCACTCATAGTGTGTACACAAACAGTCCAGACAGAAAGTCCCCTCCACAGGTTTATCCACAGCAGAGGGCAATTTCAAAGAATTAGAAAACAAAATCCACTTCAAATACTTTGCTGGGCTGCACAGGTTTGTCTTTACATGATGTACCCTCAACTCCACAATTGTCGCCATAAGTTAAAGGCAGAGTGCCCTCTGCTATCGAGCCGATCAGTATCATTTATTCATTTTGCCATTAGAAATCTTTCCTTCCATTTACCAAGAGGTACCATTAGGTATGATATTATAGTCAAACAAAGACGAGAAATACGGCTTTAACCTTTCAATAACTGATGTAGTTAACTATTCTCTTATGTTTGGAGAACTCAGATGATACTATTATCCCAATTTGAAATTCAAACCTTGCTTTACTGTTCACTAATGGACCCTCATAATGTCATCAGCTGCCATTGCAGGTTTTTAATGGATTTGAACAAAGGAGAGGAGGGGAGGATTGTATGTTTTGAAATTGCTACAATGACATTCAGCTAAATTGAATAACAATGATATCCATTTGTATGTTGGCTTTACAAGGCAGTTTCATCATCCAAATTAAATTAGGGTTGTTAAGGAAGGTCCTCCAGACATGATTCAGGATTAACTGAATGTGCTGAATGTGTTGCTGCAGCCTTGCATGAACATTGAAAAGTTTTAAAGGGTATTTCAGTCAAATACCTGTACTCTCTCTCCTGCAGGATGCCCACAGGGTCCAAGCCCTGAGGCTTCTGGATCGGCGTGATGCGATTCTGTTTCTGCTGCATCTGAAGCATGGGGGACACCTGCTGCCCGGGGGGCTGGGGGGTCACTGAGCTGCCCGGCATGGGACCAACTGGCACAGCAGAGGCCTGGGGGGGAGCAGGGGACGGGCGTCCGCTGGCGACAGGGGTGAGGTGCTTCTGGATGTTGGCTTGATTTTCACCACCCTGACCTGAAGGCCAAAGAGTTGTGGGTTAATGGGTGAATTCACAGAGGATTACCCATCAGCCATCAGTGCTTTTCTCTTCACCACCGACGGATACCTGCACCTACAGTCACTCGTCTGTGTCCAATTGGGTGTTAATACTTTCAGAGCTACTGACAACTAGAATGTTAAATGGAATTTCAAGAGGAGGATCATTTCTTCAGATGTAATGAAAGCTAAGATCATTTCACAACACGTTTTTTTCTAATGGATCTAAATTTAAGAAAGAGAAGAGTTGAGACAAAGCTTACTTCAAAAGCCAGAATATCAAAGAGTATAGTTTCGCCCCATATAGAGGCAGGACACAAAAATAGCGAAATGACAAAAATTCTTGACAAAGCTCAGATTTGTAGGCTTTGATGTTTTATCCCACGGAGGCTTTCTTGTGCAGAAACATTTGTTAAACATCCTAATTTGTCCTGTAGGATTACTCAAACTGTGTTTTGTCTCTGTTATTCTTGTCTGGGAGTTGAATGTTTGTCTTCATCAAACGTGCCCGACTTCCTACGTGCTTTTGTTCTTTGAGAAAAAAACTGTTTTTTTTCTCAGTAGGGGTCCATTTAGATGGCCAGTAACATATGCAAACTGTGTTTTGGAGAAGAGTATTTTCTTTATGGAAGAAAATAGACAGGCCTCTTCAAAGCTTTAGCTGCTACACCATATTTGATCTCAACATCTGATTGCAGCATCTTTTTACAGGGTCTCGTGCAGCTTTAGGGAATTCATTTTGGTCTCCTTTCAAAGAGAATCTGATGTAAGACTATACATCAAACAGCTGGGTGTGTCCCAGTGAGTGCTGAAACTGATGTATTGAATGAAAAGGTGTATTGTAACTTAGAGCTAATGAAGTCCACTGTGGCTTCAGTCCACACAGGTGCACTTTGTAGGATTCAGTGGCATCTATCGGTGAGTTTTCAAACTGCAACAAACTGACACTACTCCTCTTCTCCTCATCTACAACCCCAAATCTCAACAAAATAAAATGTAAGGTGTCCACTAAGGAGGAGAAGGAGGAGGAGCAGCACCAGGGTGACAATTTTATTTTTTTTCTTTGACATGCTGTATTGCTATAAATGGATCGGTAAGTACACTCTGTGCTCATCTGTGCTACCACAGAAACAAGGGGGTGCAAGATGGTGGCCTCTGTGGGAGAGGACCCGACTCTGAACAGTGTGGTCTTTCATATAAATCAGTACTTTGCTGACTTACCATCAGACCAGGGCTTGGGTCCTGTGCTTTGATTGTGACCTTGCATGACTGGAGTAGGACAGGGACTTGACTGGGGACCACCCAAGGGTGCCATTGGCATACCTTTCAACGCAGTAAAAATTCATATTTTAACAATTAATTTGCTGTATTTGAAAACCGCACTGCAAAACTGTGTGAGCCTGTTTGGTTATTAGCTGAAAAACGGACAAGAGGGAATCCAAAACAGGGCGATAGCTTCATGTCAGGTAAAGAAAAGAGAAATTTATTTGGCTTTGTTCAGTGGAGAAAGCAAACTGCTTTATTTCAAAGCTCACAACAAAGTGTCTGGTATTTTTTTCTTACGTATCTTCAAGGAACTTATGTTGCTCTATCTTAAATCCACCACAAATTATAATTTAATGATGAAGAAAAAAAAGACTTGAGAGAGAAATTTGTGGGCGAGCGGATTCTGGTTTGCATGCCATTGACATCTTTAAAGCCGTCACTTGCATTGTGAAAAAAATTCATCACACTTGTGAGACTACAAAGACTACCCAGCTTTCAGAATATTAAGGGTTTTACGCCACTTGAAGGCTGATATCACATTTCCAAACATTGGCCGATTTCTGGCAGCATTTTACTGTGAAAATTGTTTTGACAGCTGAAAATTATCTCCATTCATATCTAAATTACACAGTCTCTTCAATGCAAGCTGCTGCACTGTCCATGCCAGGCTATGTCAACTGTCAGGTGATGTTAGATGTGTGGTAACTCTCAGGTCAAAATCTTGGCAGCGCTGAAAGATGAAGCATCTGTGTGTTCAGGTGGCCTGACTCGTATCATGGAGGACATGGAGCTCGTATTGAAGTGTCAACTGAGATTGGATCAGTCTTATCAGATCATAAAGTCACACAAAGAAACTACCCTTAATATAATACACCTTGAGTTCAGAATCCCTTGACAAAACAACTCTCTGTGATCCCAAGTAATTCAATAAACTAAAAAGAAAACGTAATAAAAGAACAATGCTTTTGTGACACTTACCGTGAGGCCTGTTGTAAGGACTTGCACTGGGCGCCTGTTGTTGCTGCTGCTGCTGCTGCTGCTGCTGCTGTTGTTGTTGTTGTTGTTGATGTGGATGTTGCTGCTGTTGCATTGTGGGAAGACTCCTCTTGCCCTGAACAGCCAGCTGGAGGTTTTCAGGCAGGGGTTGGCCACGCCCCAGGATTTTGTAGGCCAGAATCTGAGCTCTGAGTTGCTGAAGCTGGACCGGACTAAAAGCAGAGGGTCCTCGTCCTTGCTGGCTCATGTTGGACATGGCTCCCTGTGGATCCATGGGGATCATAGGGCCTGGCTGGGAGGGAGGTATGTGGGGCGGAGTGGGTCCCCCACCACCTCCTCCTCCTCCTGACATGGGACTAGAAGCATGCTCATGGACACTCATGGGGGAAGGATGGGGGGACATGTATCCTACAGCAGACAGAGAAGAGTTTAAGGTAAATCAAACATATTAAGTAGGGACGTACATGGTTATGGAAAAAAACAAAGTTTCTGTCATACAATTATAATTACCTTGACACATTCAGAGGGATTTTGATCATATAAAGTAAAACAATACCTTGACTGTGCTGGTCCATGGGACTCTGTGGAGGCCCCATCCCACTATGTAGGGATCTCATCCCTACACCTTTCATGTGACCGAAGTGCATCGCATCTGCCATGGTCTTATCATTCATCCCTTCCATGGGCTAAACACAAGCACAAACACAGCATGATGAGTTATACACACTGGATCTCCCCAGTAGCTCTAAGTTGTTTGCTGCGCTGGTATAAACATCTAAAGGACTGAAAAATGCGCTGAAATGTTAAAATGAGAAATCTTACCCCCTACATAGAGCAAAACCACATCTCTCACTGTTTTTAGACAGACTATAAGGACTTGGATCTTTTTGACCTCAAACTGTCTTACTTTTACTGAACCATTTTTGGATTAAAGAATCAAGTGTCAATGACAAGAATCGCCCAAACGGACAAACTACTTGTCCTCAACATTTTATACAAAGGAAACTTTAATCTTTACATGGTCCTGTTAAAAAAAAAAAATCTGGTATTTATTTATGCATAAGTGGGATACATTTAGTAAGCCTATAAAAGCTGAGATATTGCTCCGGCTGACTTTATTTGTCATGCCCTTGTCACAAGTTTCTCTGTGAAAATAATTAGCAACAACTCAGTCTGTTGTAGACACCAGAGTTATCAAAGCACTAATTCAATACTTTCCTTGTGCAGATTTGGCATCAAAAGACTTTTTCAACAGTTGACAGACTGTACCTTGTGCATAGAATACATGGCGTCCTGAGAGTAATCACTTTGTCCCTGGCCCTGCATGCCGTGAGGTGCATTGGGTGTTCCAGGTCCAGGACTGGGTCCCATCATGCTGTGAACAGAGCTTGGTGAGGGGTCTGGTCCAGGGCTAGGGCCCAAGATGGGCCCTGGGGACAGCCCTGCCCCTGGAGAAGGGCCAGGATGAGACATACCACCTGAAGAGTCAGATGGGGTGGACATCTACTGAACTGCTGGAAAGACTCCAGACAGCTTTAGCTAAGAGACAGAAACAGACAGCAATCAGAATACTGGGTGTCTAAATTAGAAATTAACACATTTATCATGTATGCCTGACTCATTTTATTAGACCTTGTTCCATGTTGCTTCTAAAACAATAAAGTGTCACAATAACAATAACACCTGATTTCCACAGGAGAGACTTGGTGTCCTTCACAAACCAGCCGTGACATTATGAACACTGGGAAATCTAACATAAACCAACTTAACAGCTCTACAATTTGCTTTAATGAAGCTTCCAAATTCTCAATTTCTGTTCAGAGAGTTCAATGATAATTGTTCTTCACATTCATTGTTGAGGCTGTAGTGGGTGTTGGCGGTGTGCAAATGTTAAAAAGGTGTCACTAATATTAAGCTCCCCTGTTTGGCTCCCCTTGTGTGTATTTATGAATTCGACTAAATACGTTGTACAACAAACTCAGGTATGCCACCACTATCTACTTCACCTTCAAAAGAAAATATAAAGTAGACTTGTCACTAGGGCTGGACGATAAAATGATAATAATAAATATCAAAAATTAATTTCCCTCGACATTGATGTGAAACATGGTCAACATGCTTTTTGATAGCTGGCATTCTACCATGTTTTGGTAGACTATACAAATAGCCATAGAAAAGGGGAGTTGCTCCGGGTTTGTGCTGCGCTTTGCCGACCATTCAGTCTGCTTTCTTAAACGCAACGCCTTACGACAAAACGTAAAGAGACACAAAGACCTCACAGACGCAGTGGCTTATTGTATAGCAAAAGAAATGCTACCAATAAGCAGTTAACTTTCTTTTTTTTAAATATTGTGATACATATCCATATCGACTAATGTGAAAAAAATATATTGTGATAACCTTTTTCTCATGTCGCTCAGCCCTACTTGTCATGTCTATAAAATCTGAAAATGTTACTGGAAGACTAATAAAGTGAATCCCTACTTCAAACGAAGCCTCGTCTGAAGCATTTTTGACTAATCTGTTGCCAAACTGCAATCTTGTTCATATGACATGCTTTGCCATGCCTTACTATTTATAATTCACAAAACTTATGTGCACGAGACAACCCGCGTGGCCTCGATAACACTGGTTTACCAAATATTTAAGTCTCGTGACCGAATGCAGGTAATCAGCATATCCTGCTCGTCTCGCTTGAACGTAAAGTACTTTTTATTTTGCCTGGAAGCGTCACAAAATAATCAATCTCCGGTTCAGTGTAGCGGAAATGTCAATACTGTCAGACACCCGTCAAAACAGTCTCTCTCTCTACATCGTCTACAGATGTCTAGACAAATCAAATAACGATTAAATACAGTTGCCATAAAAGTTTATAGTTTATATAACGCGGTAAATGATATATAGTTGGGCTATATCGTTATTTCATGTGTATTCCTGTTCAGTTATCTGACTGTTAGCTTACTTGCTGTCAGTCTCTCTAACTCACTCTGATTGGATCATGGCTTCCCCAAAAAACTGGTGGCCATCACGGATGTGCAGACAAAATCAAAGTTTATGTGAAAGTCAAAGACCTGACAACAGCTTCAAAGCATATTTTGGAGACAAATATGAACTTTAACGTTAATTTTAAACACAAAATGCCGCGCAGGCCAAACAAATGTGTCGCTATTTCAAGGCTACATCGCTCAAACGTTGAGGAACTCTGCTAACAGCTAGCTGACGGTGGTTAGCATAGCTAACTAGCTTGCAAGCAGTCCAGGAGGCGCTGGGTTACAAAACCTACTATCAGAAAGTTTCAACAGTTAGCAGCACACTGACAGCTAACATGTTAATGTTGATCAAAAATGAAGCTCTGCTGGTTATTTTACCTTTCGGCCGAACTGCAACTGCTCAAAATTGGATGAAAATATTAAATTTCTTCAAAATATGACTGCTGTCCATAAGTTCACTCCCCCTCTTCTTCTTCTTCTTCTTCTTCTTCTAGTTTAACGGCAGTTGGCACTCTTGTGTACGGTGCATTACCGCCCTCTTCTGGCAATTCTTATGCAAAACCCCTGTGCACCACCCTTTCCCATCTCATTCACTCACACTTTCTCACTCCCCCTCGGTGTTGTTTTGCTGACATATTTAACTTTCTCCCGTGTCGCCATTACTGATTTGTCAATGTCACCGGAAATCCCGCCTACCTTTACGTTGATTGGCTGTATTACCCGCCAATCATATTGTGTCACTTCTTGGGCGTGTTCGCTGCACTGTAAACGTTACTGTAACTTTCTCTCTGAGTGGCCATGTCTGCATACATGACGATACTTTTGACTGTAGTTCAGTAGGAACACGGAGATTCTGCTTGGGGCCGACATCGAGTTTGCATTAGACTAGCACTTTTTGGATACATGTTTTAAGATCTTTATAAGCATCGTTGAGAATACAGACAAAAAGTTTTTATTTGTCATAAGTACCAAACCGTCTACTTGCATGTAAAAATGAAAAAGCCCAGATTAGACCTCTGATTGTTGTTTTCGCTGGTGCCATTCGAATTGGGCTGCAGGTTACTCACATTTAGCCTACATTAAAGTTATAATAAGCACAACCCTGATTCCCAAAAAATCTGTGTAAAATGTTGATGCAAACAGAACTTGATGGTTTGCAAAGCATGTAAACTCTTATTGACCTGAAAATATCACAAATTCAACTTTTTAAAAAAGTTTAATTCAAAAAAATTGGATTGTCTTGTTTGCTGTTATGTAGCTTTACATCTTCTTTAAACAACAATGGTGGCCTCCTGAATGTGTAAACTAGCCATAAAATCAGGCATGTAGGCTTTTGAACTATGCAATGATGATAAACTGTGGTCCACGGTTTCCAAAAGAATGTCAAAAGCCAAATTTTGATTTTTCTTAGACCTCAGGACAGACAAGTCACCAGCATTTCTGGATCAGGTTGCTATTGGTTCACTCTTTACATGGTACAGTTTTTACTATTACTTTTAAATGCACCAACAAAGGGTGTTTCACAGACAACGGTTTTGGGTGTTTTTTAAGCCCATGCTGTGATCTCCAGTAAGGAGTCGTCTGTTTTTGATGCAGTGCCCCCAGAGGATCTGAAGATTGCAGCCATTCAGTACTGGTTTCAGCCCTTTTTGTACAAAGATGCCCTGTTGTTGTCAGTTTCCCAGCTTTTCAGAAACATTGCTGGTGTTTTCAGTAATATTGACAGTGAAGTTTACTTGATTTGCAAACCACAAAAATCTGTTTGCTCAACATTTTACAAAGCGTCCCATTTTCTGAAATTGGGGTTGTGCAGTAAGTACATCTATATTTAATGTTTCTTTTTCTCTGTAAATTACCTTAATTTAAAACAAAATAATGTCTCGAACTAGCGTACTGGTCTGTGACATCAGGCCATATTTGTATCCTAACAGGTATTTTGATGCATTTTTAAATGGAAGATACACGACTGAATGTGAACAAACAAAAGAACACAATAAATAGATTTAAAAAGAAGAATTCAATCAATTAATTTACCTTTGAGAACCACATATTTTCCACTCATTTGTCAAAGTGTTAAGAATGACTTTTAAAAACTGCATGAAAAACCTAAGGTCTGACTTTTTAACCCTGTATCCAAATCATATGATAGTTGTAGTATTAACTTAGATTAACCAAAAATGACAGAATGTCTGAAAATGTCCCTGTACTTTTCTTTTATTGACCACTAGATGGTAGCAGTGGCCAGCTGTTACCTCAGTTAATGGGCCTCTACAGCTTTATGCTGTCACACAGAAACACCTGGCAGACAGGTTATGAGTTACCCGAGACATCTGAGCTCTAAACAAACATGCCAAGTGCAGAGTGATTGAGCTACAGCCTTCATTTACATACACTGACTTAGAAAGTCTGATGACAGCGAGGTGGAGTTTCAAAGGCAAACCATGCAAATATCACACAGGTTCAGTCAGGCTCCATTTGCATCCCTCTGATATCAGAAACTGTGTTTTGTTTTCATCATGAAAAGATAAAGCTGTTTTTACTAGATGATTTGTTTGTACAAACTTGACAGAGCTATATTTTTTCCTCTCCTGTTCTTTCAACAATGTACAGTTCAAAATTTGTCTGTATTTACATCAAGTGTTTCTTATCCAAATGAAGTGAAAAATTATCATAGACAGAACCTGTTTCAAGTGTGAGAGGTGTCAGCATTCATAAATACTTTCTGAAACTTCTCTTCTATGAATTACTTTTTCCATAACCTGAGTCAGCCAGGAAGGTATTTCATTAATGTCTAAATGTGGATCAGATTTGATTTGTTGTCAATATGAATCACAAAAAAAATGTTTGTATGTTTTCTTTTTATACTTGATGGAGCTGTAAGTTTTTCCAACCAAATTTTCAGTTTTGTACAGTTCACAAGTTTTCTGTATTTACATTGTTTTTTTGTCAAAAAATAAAATTAAATATTACAAGTTAGACAAGTCCAAATCTAAAATGAGTCACTTTTGAAAAAGTCCCCATTGCAACTTGTTCTCTATGTATTTTTCTTCAACCTAGTTCTTCTTGCTCCTAAAAATCCAACAAGAAACGACAATGTGTCGACAAGCATACCTGCTTTGTTTTGAAATTGTTGTTACATATAAAGTTGCTTCAATAATTTTTTTCTCTGTTCTCCTTGTTGACATTTTACACATCAAGCTTTCTGCATGTCCAAAAACAATAAAAAACTACAAGTAGATTTCTTTTTGAAACTTTAGAAAGTTTTTATACTGAGTTTGACTTTTAACCTGATGGTATTTAATTCTATTTTAAACTGAGTACATGCTTAAGTTTTTTCTTAATTCCTTAACCTAAAGTTGCTGTTTATTTCACTGAATTAAAGATCTGAATGTTCCTCCATCTCTGATCTGCATGCCTTATGCCTTCAAAAAAATATCTTTGCTAACAGTTATAACTTCAATGGGCTCCTACAGCACATATTTAAGTTAAACACTCATTTCAAGGATTTGATTTTAAGGAACAGTGTGTTGTAATAGAAATATTCATATCTATTCCTGCAGCAGCCAGATTTTAAATTGTATCAATGTCTTGCTGACCCCTCCTGTCAGTGAAGCCAAATTGGCCTCCAAGGACAAGAAGCTCCTGTGATACATAGTAAGTCTGAGCCTCCTTTTTTCAAGTTCATACCATTACAAAAAAAACAAAAACATATATATTCATACAAAATTTCTTGCACACAATTTATTATAATCTCCTCTTTATCATTTCATGCATTTCCAAAATTCAGTCCATTTTAAGTTTCAAAGACACAAAAAATTTTTAACATGCTTTTATCTGCATTATTGGATCGTCCCTTTTACCTTCATGTAACAAAAATCTGTTGATCGACTGCAGACTGAGCCCAGCTGCCAGGGTTTAAACTAGAAACGTAAAGCATGATCTCATCACTTCTGTTTTAGCATCTTCCCACATTTGCAGAAGTCTTCTGTGGTTTTCAAATACTAAATTAAAACCTAAAGGGAACAGAGCATTTACAGCAAGGGTCCAAAACTGTAGAAACATTCCCATTTCAGGTCATCAAAATCTGTGATATCTGTCAAATTCCTTCTTACAACATACTTTCATTGTCCTACCCTGATTACTCCTGAGTTCTAAAATTAAAAGGATTTTAATTGTTCTTTTTTAAACAAAATGTTATTTTAAAACTAATTAATTTGCACAGAGCTCTTTTAAATGAATTTTAGGTCTTTTAAAATGTTTTTATATTTCTTGATCTTGTCTTTCTGCAATGTTATGATCTACCTGTTTTCTTTTCCCACACCTCTAAAGCACTTAAGCACCTTAAGTTTATTATTTTATTTAATTTCTTTAACAATCTCTCTCCTTCTCTTTGTTTTCCCACCCATGCATTTTGAGTGGCCAATCATCAATATAAAATGCAAATGGTACGAGTTTATCTAGTCTGTGATACAGCGGAGACATGATAGTGCAAGATGGAAGTCTTTGAAGGAGAGGTGGACAGGGACCCGCTCTTAACACGAAAGGTTCATTCTACGTTCCAACAAAAACACAATCGTGTGGTTATGCACTAATTTAAAACTTAGAAAGCTGTTTTTGCAAGACTGTACAAAATTTATCAAGAAACTATTTTTTTCTGCTTTTACAACAAAACTGTACCGTCATGTGTTTCTTAATCTAAATATCTATGTATATTACCAAAGCAATTGATGAAATTTGGCCAAATTACCAAACAACTGGAATATACCCATAAAACCCATTAAAAAAAACCATAAAACTACATCACAATAGCAAAATGAAATTACTGAACTAATGTTAGAAAACATGGCACAAGAAAAAGAATTTAATTTTTTTTATGCTTTTATTAGGGAATAAAATGTGCTAATATTTCAATTTTCGTTACGGTCTGCCTTTGACCCAGTTATTAAATTTAAATCAGGTGTTTTAGATCTGAAGATTTAAAGAAATAAATGTTTTAAATATCTTGATTTAGAATGCATTGACTTTATATACCTCATTCAATTACACTTAATGTTAAAAAAATAATAATAACATTAAAATGATCATTTGCAATACATATTAATGTGCTTATTTGGGAGAAAGTGATGTTTTAACTTCACTACAGAAGCAATTCAAACACATAAATCTACTGTATGTCCATATGAAGCTAGTATTGATGGAAAGAGATTTTGAAGTCTTCTATCTATCTATACAGCTGTCTGTCTGTGGTTATCTATGAGTAGTTGATGACACTTGGATGACCCTGTGAGACATTCAAAGCCATGCCGCATGTCAGCTCCTCATTTGAATACCTCACATAATAATAAACAAAGCCGAGCATTTCAACTTTGATCTTAACTTCCCCTCCTCAACAATCCCATCTTTTCTTATACGGCCCCAGAATGTGCACAGGGTTCCTGGATGTAAATTTTACCCAAATAAACAAACCTAATTAAGAGTGCGGTGGAAGCCACTGTCCCCCTGCAGACTCAGTGAGCCAGGAAAGGCTCGGCCACAGTCATTTGGCAGTGAAAGGCCTAGTGGTTGTGGCTTCCATTCACCTTGAAACC